GCTGGATGTAAAGTTGTGCAGAGTCAGTGGCCACTGAAAGGGGGACTGCTACCTGAACTCGCATTGGATCTAGACATAAAAAAAGGCAGAAACAAATCAATAAGAATATACAAAACTACTACTCCTGCTGATATGAGTATTGAAACATATTTTTCTAGCTGCAATCACTCTTTTTTACAGACTAAATTCACACTACTCATTCTGTCTGTATATTAAGAAGTTTATCTAAAGCTTTCCAAATTAGTGAAAGGAAGTCACCGCCTGTTTAGTACTATCCATCCACTGCAACTAAAGACAAAACAAGGGAAATGTTTTCTAAAAAAGCTGTATTTTGACTTCAGATAACCGCATCATTGAGCGTAAGTTGTTGTTTCTCTTACCTGTGGTGTGTATGATTGTGGTGCTGCTGCTCCTGTCCTCCCCCTTCAGACAGACAACACTTACTTCATACGTCTGACCTGGAGTAAATGTGCCCAAATTAACACACACTGACTCGCGTGTCCAGTTTTCACCGGGACTGGACTGGTTTATCCACAGGGAGGTTTGATTCGGATAAATGGGTGGGTGGGATGTGACATAGTAACCGTCGGGTGGGTCATCAGGTGAACTGGTCCAACAGACTTTCAGGTCTCGTGTTGTGTTCAACGCCACCAGACCAGTAGGGGCCCTCAGCGCTAAGAGGCACAGAAGAGTTATTTTGTCCTCAGCGAACAGTAAAGCAAAGTTTGCATTACACAACCATCCAGGCTTTTTGTTTGGATAATTACATAGTACATTGTAAAACATCTCAAACTTATCCACTTTGGTTGACCAGTACATTTTTTTATAAATGCTTTTTAGATAAACGGCCATCACAGAAACCCATGACTGGACCTCTGATCTTAATTACAATCACTATACATTCACAGTATTTATCTCTAAAGGATGCCACTTCACTTTTGTCACCTTTCGATGAGGCACAGTTGCATCTTGGATGTACCGTATGAGTAATTAAGACACTGGTGTAAATAATAAAAATGTGGCCGTTTAATTGTCAGTTTCAGGGCCCTGATGTTGTGATGTTGTTGGCTGGCTGTGGCCCGTCATAGCTTACTCCCCTGCAGTAGAACAGAGGCAGCTCTGCTGTGGAAACATGCTGTGACTTACCGGTGTGTGCAGTTACAGGCGCTTGTCCACAGCTCTCTATGCCATGCTGGGTGACGGCGTGAACTTCAACCCCGTATTTCCTGTGAGACTCCAGCCCTCCGATCACAGCGGCGTATGCCTGCAGCCCACGAGTGTCGGATAACCTGGAGATATTGGTCATTCCAACTAGTCTCACTTGTCCTGAAGACATGTTCACACAGCGCACCACAAAGGTTCGTCCAACCCTCAAGTGTCCACCTGTCAGCATCCAGTGGACACTGATCTGACTGGCCGTACTGGGGCCGAAAGTGATATTTTGAGGGGGGAGAGGTCCTGTAAGAAAGAAAAAAAAAAACGTTAAAGTTACATCTGTTACCATATGACGTTGCCTGAGGACCTTGCGGCTGTCAGCAGACTCACTAGTGTACGCAGTTAGGGTTTGTCCCAAGTTCCAGGTGGAACCGGACGGAAGAGAAGCTAGTAGGGTGAAGGAGTAGACGCTCCCCGGAGACAAGCCTGTCACTGTGACCTCTCTGGACGAGAGGAATATGGGTACCCGGACAATTTTTCTGATACCACTCAAGCTCTGTGTCTGCTTTTTGTCCTCTGACTTCCTGATTCTATGTCCTTCGTCTTGACCCGACTGTCCATCTGCCTCCTCTTGGTACTGGAGGAATATCTCAAAAGAAGAAAGATTGAGAGAGTTCAAGGGTGAGAGTTCACTCCAACGAAGCAGCACGTGTTGCTCTGTCACCTGAACCAGCTCGAAGGAGAATGTTTCAGGCACAGGAGGAGCTGTGAAAGAGCAAGACAAACATTGGGAAACAAAGTAGGGAAGAAAATGGTCACAATTAATATGGTATGGGCTACTTAAAAGCTCTACTCTGAGATTTAATAATAACATGGGTTTTGAGTTAGGACATGTGAAAATAAAGATTTATTTTGGAGACCATGCATGAATGATCTACAAATTGTGTTAAATAATGGATGCACAGTAAAGGCCATGTGTTACAAAGGAAAATTAAGTTATTTACTCTGGAAGTGGCAGACGAAGGGCAAAGGGATGCAACAGAAGAACGGAGTGAGAAAGTATCCTGGGCCTGTGGCATCCTTCTGAAGGGCAAAACAGTCCGTCTGATTGTCTGGCAGTAATGACATCACAGAGCTTGTCAAGTTATAGGCTGAGCCATCAGACCAGAGTGGGTGCCCCTCCTCCTGTGGGGTAACAAAGAAAAAAAAAATATTTGATTGGTTTTGAGGAATAATCTGTAAATTACAAAATGCTGCATTATTTATGAAGATTCACAAATGTGACCCATTGTGAGAAACATCGACAATTCTGCAATGTAAATGTAAATGGTATGAGGAGAAAGAAAAGCATCCTATTTTATCACTCTTTAAAATTAACCGTATTTATTAAAAGGTACCTGCTGGTCATTAAGTCCGGTCCACAGCAGCAGCAGGTTCGTTTTCAGCAAATGAGAAGATATGAAATGCAGATCTTCCACGGCCTTCAGATCAACCAGGTGACTTTCAGCTGCCAAGCCTCTACAGGCGTGCCGGGCGTCAGTCCAGGTCAAACCCGTCCTCCTCACGGAGTAGCAGCTTCTCCCTCTGGCCAACCAGCCAGTGGGGCACTGAGCTGGAGACGGTGGTTATCATCGACAGTCGTTTTTTAAGGCAGATGATCAAATTGAGGCCGTATGATGAATATACTGTGGTTAAGCACATAAAATACCTGTTTCAAAAGCAACGCTGAGTCTCTGCCTCAAGGTCACATCCAGGTGTTTCAAGAATGTAGTGACCAACACTTTGGCCTTGAAGCGCGTGCCGGGCTGGAGACCTTTCACCGTGTACTGAGACTCTGATGCGTTCAGGTTGAAGATGTGGGAGACCGATTGCGTGCGAGTGTCGTATAGACTCAAGGAGGACAGGGTTTGTTCTTTGTGAAGTTTCCACACCAGGAGAGCAGTAGTAGCCGTGCTGTGTACATTAAGTGAGGACACAGAGACTGGAACTGCACACATATAAAAAAAGGGAAAGGGTAAAGATGAGATTAGAAGCCATTACATCAAACTCTAATCGAGCATCTTTTTGTTTCTACCTCAGGAAATTGGTATTCAGAGTTCACACACACTTACTGAAGAGAAAAGACTTTTTATCAAGTGTAGTATCATTTATGCTGGCAGTCAGTGAGATGTTATATCCCGTTGGGTTTTCAACCAATCGTAACGGCATTTTGCACTTGTGCACGGAGCATGCTGAGCGATCGATGGGCCCCACGTGCACCTGCAGAGAATGTGACCATTCATTTAGATAGAAAAACAAATAAACTCCAATGAAACTAGACCAGAGTCGGCATGCCATTGTTCTTACCAGCTGGTTAGTTGCAGACCTGCAGGTGACTGTGTAGGCATCAGAATATTTTGTGGACGGGAAGGTCTGAAATAGAACTTCAACCTCAACAGGCTTTAAATGCTGCTCACATGTCAGCGAGACAACCTGAGAATGTGGAAAGTAACATGGCACGGTGGTTAACCAAGAGGGTTTAGATTCATGCTGACACCAATAACAGTGTTAATAAGAGCCAACAATCTTACCCTTCAGTAAAGAAAACGTCGTTGGTCAACACCATACGAGCACAGTGCAGAGCACGGACATTAAAGTGATCTAACCAGTGCCATTGGTAAGCAACTAAATTACACAAATGCATTAGAGGGAGTGTCGAGAGACTCGGATTACTACACACAATTTAGCAACTTGAAAAACAGTTACAATACACCTATGGAGTTCCATAAGCATGATGGATATTCTCTTACCTGACACAAACTAGCAAGTAGCCACAGGCGCTCTGTTCCACCCATTGCAAATGTCCCTCCGACTCATCGAGCGGTCACTGATCCACCGGGATGCTGTGGTTTCAGCCACTGGTAGGTTCGTACATACAGCACACGCGTCACAGAACATCAGCTGTGGAAAGTCCCAAACTATTTGGAGTGAAAAAATGTTAACTGTAACAGTTGAAACCTTGTGGATTGTATATTCAGAGCTATCTGAACTCGCTTTACCTCGTTTTCAAGCCGAGCCTGGACTTTGAATTTAGCGCTGAGTCAAAGTTCAACGGTAGTTTCCTCCGAGAAGCAAACCCTTATGAGAAGGACGAGAGGTCTCAGGGTGAGGAGAGAGAGAGAGAAAGAGAGAGAGAGAGAGAGAGAGAGAGAGAGAGAGAGAGAGAGAGAGAGAGAGATGTACGAGTTCAACCCAATTTCTTCTGGCTTTGTTGGGATAAGAGCAGTTCGCCATGGCAACCACGGGGATCGGCCCCTCCAGAACTGGGCTGGTGAGGCGAGGTGAGGAGGGTATCTGGGGCGTTCTGAGGGGAAGGAAGAGGGATAAAAGAGATCTGGTGGCGCTTAGTGTTAAATTGAGATGTGCTCAGTGGGCAAAGCCACCAGGCTTCATGCGTCTGGCCGGCCGACAGCCAGCGAGTCAGTCACGCCAGACCGGTCTGAGATGATATTTTCTTAACCTCCAAAATAAGCCTTGGCTCCAATCTGCTCATAACGGAGCGCAGTGGTGAGAATGGCTTGGCTTGGATGTGGGGTGCGGTAGGAGCAATGGCCCATGTGGAATGGCAGGAATGTGAAAGGGAGAAATGATGGACAGACGGGGAGTCTACTGAGGCGTTCTGTTATGAAGCGGTGACTCCCACAAAGCAATAAACTCCGAGCGGACACACACAAACACATGTCAGCACTACAAATGCTGCATCGGCGTGAGAGCGTACAGATAATTTGAACCTCGGGAGTGTGTTTGTAAAGGACACGTTGTGGGTCATGAGGTCAGCCGGTCTTCAGCAATAATTCAGACTAAGACACTGTTAAATCTTTTTATTCCCCTACTTTAAAGTACAGCAACTGTAAAAGCCCCATGGTCACATTAAACCTTTCCAAGGAAAAAAGCTTCACACCGCACTCATTTGTTCAAAGGCTAAATTTGAAGCATGTACAGTATTTGAACCCAACAGCAGTCATGAATGCAACAACTTCTGTGTCATTATTATAGCGATTGTTAATACACATTAGGATAATAGGCTAAGGGCTTCGTGCCGCCACCTGAAAGCACTAGATAGAAGACTGCGTTGGAACAGCAGCTATTGCAGAAATGAAAAACTGAAAAGTGCAGACAAAACTACTTCCTTGAAAACAATCTCAAGCTTACATCACTTATATTCAGAATCAAAATAAAATGAAACATGGCTGGTTTTCATGCTCAACCGTTTTCATGCTCAAACCTCAAAAAAATGGAATTCACCCCTTTATTCATGCAGTCTCTTCATGCGTTATGCTCTCATTCATTTTTCTCTCCGGACTCTATTTTTTAGTTCCACTGGCAGGAACAGTCCAAAGGCTCTTGAAAGTTGTACTCCACGACTGTGGCATTGCGAGAGCAGAAGAGCGTGACAGAGCGGGTCTGCAGTCCACTCTCGCGGCAGCACTTACAGAACCGGGCGTGACTGTTGATGTTAAAGTTGAATATGGTGGCAGACGGGCATTTCCCATCGCAAGAATAGACTGTCACCTGTAAGACGAGCGATACAAGGGTTAGCTTTTAAAAAAAAAACTTTATTATGCAATAATGATAATTTAGTTAGCACGTCTTCCCTCACCGGTGCGTTGCTCCTGCAGTCATCTTTTCTAATGGTGGTTCGAATGGCCACACGTTTGCAAGTCTTACCGTCCTCCTTACCTACACACATGTTCACACAGATTTAAGATGCATACACAGTGAAACATCCAGAAATAACGGTAATTGACATTAAAAACAGAAAGGAAGTTCATACACACAAAAATAACACAAACACTCTGTTTTACTGCAGAGATCTTGCACTCACACAAATCCCAGAGGCCTGTTGAGCAGGTGTTTTTGTTGCCCAGCAGTAGGAGCTTGCTTTGATTGACAGCCGGGTGACGGGAGGGGCACACTTCTCACAGCCGAGATTGGTGTCTTTTAATGGCTACCGACCTAAACTTAACCTCACTTCTAAGCCAATCAAAGCTGGTCAAATGGATTATGTATAGGGGTGAAATGTAGGGAAAGAGCAAAGCTTTTTCTAAATGGATGAAACACTGGAGCTTATTTTATTTCAAAACTTCAGTAGCAGTAACAGTGATTTGATTGTCAAAAAACAATATACTGTGTATTACATGTTTTACTAGTCTGTTCTCTGTTCTATTATAAAACATAGATCAGATGGGCAAAACAAAAAACACACTGATTTCAGTGAAATATTTGCCAAAATAAAGCACAACATGGAAGTGAAAGCAGCACACTCTTTGGTCTAATGTGAAAGATATATAAAAACTGTTTGCCTCTAAAACCAATGAATAATTGTGTTTTATAATCGTGATCGTGAGAGAATTGTCTTCATAATCAACATGGTGTAATCGTGCAGCATGTGTGTTTTTTGAGTTACCCAGTGAGAGTAAGAAATATGAAAAGAGAGAGACACATTCACACAAAGCTTGAAATTGCAAGTGAACGAGTCACTGAGTGACAGGATGCCAAATGTTCATGGTAAGTGGGACAGTGCAAAGTGCTGGTACCTGTGTCACAGTTAGTACTACCAGTGGTGGTTACGGGATTAACGGTAAACGGTAAAACACCCAGTCCAGAACCTGGGAGCATCGTCAGGGTCGCGGCCGCCGGGTTCAAAGAACGCCATGAGAACACACACAAGGTTACGTTGGGTTCAATAAACACAGAGCCGCGAAACACACAGACACACACAGGAGGGAGTCGTGCAGCTGGCATGCACATGGATTTCACTTCTTTTTCGGGGCCGCTACGGGCTCCCAGCCAAGGAACTGAAGTCATTTGATGAAATAAAAAGAGCAGCTCGGCGGGGCAAACTCTAAAACCTGCACCATCACGCATCTGCATCGGTAACACGCTCACCGTGGAGCACCCTGATTGGCCAGACTGCAAGGTTGCTGCAAAAGCAGGCAAGCGGGCGAGGCTGCAGTGCCGAATCCACAGAGGAGAGAAAGATGTCATCACTGCACGTTTATTGAAGCTTTAATCCACACAATTTAGAAAAGTATCTTGTAAAGTAGACACATAGAACCGCTCACACAACATCATCTTAAAAGTTCAGAAAGCTGTATGTTGTCCTAGCAATCGCATTAAATGTTGCCATATTTCATCATTCTATTTAAAGCATTAATAATTTCCACCAAATGATGCTTCTGTAAGCCGTGATAGCTCTTATATGTCAACAGAAGATTTGGGGACAAATTAGGAAAAGCGAGGGATTGTGGAAAATGTAGTGAAAGGCCAAAACATGGCTTTATCTCCACCATCTACAACAGGCCACCCCCAACCACTCAGCCAACAAGCCCAACCACTGCCAGGCAACAAGGCGCTCACCACTTGGACAGCTCAAAGCATTACCAGAAGCATTAAATGCATTTTGATACTCACATGTCCTGCAGCAACCATCCACATAGCTCTGAACCACACCGCCATTCTGCAGAGAGTCAGACATTTACCAGAGTTAATGAGGAAAAAATGAACATTTAGATATACAATACAGGTGCACTGATTACAATTAGCATCCAGTCATAATAGACAGATGTTCATTTTCAACATGGTGTTGAATTTCTATTATAAATCCATTTAAAACACTATAATTGTGCCTTAGAGGGGATCTACCTGAAACTGAAAGTACAAGATTTTTACAAGATTTTAATTTTAGATTAATTTATTTTACACGTAGATGTCCTGACCTGAATACACTCGGTTTCATTGAAAGGTGGACAAATCACCCCAGAGGCCAGTATTACTGCTCCCACTGCTGTTTCCATGCAGTCGTAACGTGTGCAGTTCTCCACCCAGGAGCTCCCTGCCTGCAAACACAATCATGATCAGGAGTTCTCAAAAAGAGGAGCGTTGAGCACGTGTGGATTTCTTGGGAGTTCTTACGGCAAAAAGCTCTGCTGTCCCGTTTTCATTGTTGAAAGTACAGGAGACATTTTTACAGGAGCCGCAGCAGACCTGAGGGTCCGTTGACGTTACGTACACCTGGTGCTTAAAAAGGTGAGCCAAATGCGAGGGATTAGCACAGGACGCCGAGAGGAAGACAAGTAGACCAAGCATGTGCCAATCTGGGGAAACTTACAGGCCCACATTTCTGGGAGCAGTTGACGGAGATAATTTCCATGGCGTAGAAGCCAGAATCTGGATCTTTGTGGTGCAGGCAGTGAACAGCGTAACACATATCTCCTTCAAAGTACTGAACCAGAGACTGGCCTGGGCCCAGTACTGTTACCCCTTGGAAAAGACACACCTCTGCTTTCTCTATACACGCACACAAAAACAAAGCATGAACAATGATACCATACCATAATTACCATAATTGAGAAATAAACATTTTTTTATCGCTAAAGATAAAGGAAGCCTGTGGGTTGAGCAGCGGTAGATGATGCAGCATATCAATCTTCACACTAGTATCAAGTGTGTCTTTGTGCGTGCTCTTGCGCTACACGTACGGCATGAATGCTGAAGACAGCCGCAGTTGGTGCTACTGACTGGAACCTCGACCAGCACTTCCCCCTGAAAGACAAACAGAGTGCTGACTTTATCTTTTCTTCCTTCAAGCAAAGACCTCATTAGACAACAACACGTTAGGCAGCTTTTTGCCGACTTACCACCTGACAGATTGGGGAAGAGCTGTCCTCGCATTGGCATTCTGGGAGCGACACGAGATAGCGAGTGAGAGATGCGGCGTGATGCTAACACGTAACAGGCATAGCGGCCGTAACACCCACCAGAAGTGAATAGGTTGTGCACGTATGTATGTGAGTGTTTTTGAGTGTGTACCGCAGTGGTGCTGCAGGCAGCAATGCCCAGGGACAGCGGTTTGGACTAAAGACAGACCAGGTGCACAGGTCACAGATGAATCAGGGCACAGGTTGACATCGCACACTGCATGGGATAAAGTACAAGCATGACTTTGAAGACACGGACACGGACCCCCCCACGTATGCAAACACACTCACACACTTACTGCAGTAGTACTGTGGACAGCAGCTGTTGGTTGTGTTTAGATCCACAGCCAAAATTTCTCCATGTGAACAACTTGGAATGGATTCAATACAGGACTCACACACTGCTCAGACAAAAAAAAAAGAAATCAAAACTAATTTCTGTGTTGTTGCTGTAATTGATAGAGATGCCAAATAGTGAGACAAAACAGTTCTTACAGCAAACCTTCCTACCAAAGACCTCCAATTTCAGTAGTAGACTGATTAAAACTCACCGCACAGGTATGAGTAGCAGCAGGATTTTGCCCCCCTGACCTCCACTAGGAACTGATCTTCCCTGCAGTTAGGGGCAGACACAGGAGGGCATGCCATGGCGTCACACTCTGAGAAAGACCAGTCACAGCAAAAGGTTCAGGCCAAATATCCCATCAAGCCTTTACGACATGTCTAAAAACTGCAGTAAAAAGTGGAGCATCAAAAGAGTTTTTCACCACATCTGTACTCGGGGCAGCAGGACAGAGCGCTGTAACCGATCACTAATCTGTTCCCGTTATCACAAGGGGGAGCTTCGCTGTCACAGATGGTCATGTTGCACTCTGACAAGTTGTGAGGGAGCAAAGAAAAAGAAAGAAATTAATCAAAAGTCAGACTGGTTAGCTCCAGAATAGGTGAACGGTGAGCCGTCTTTGATACAATATTACTACAAAGGGTGATAGTCAAGGGCAGAACCAATTAAAATATTTAAATGACCATCTGTCAAATGCAATCAAAGGGTTTTATTTGGATCCGTTGCCTGGCAGAGAACTCACCACAGATTTTCTTTGGACAGCAGGTTCCTTCTTTCAACACGTCCAGCACATACTCGCCCTCTCTCTCACACAGCGGTCCAGGGCTGGAGCTGCAGTCCGGCTCAACAGCCACCACAGAGCCATTCTCCATACACTTGTACAGACAACAGCCGCGAAAGGAGCCGTTCCAGACCTCGCCGGGGGCCCGGGGGTTACCCTCGTTATCTGTGCACACTGGACTCATCGCGACCAAGTAAATACACACTGTGTGAGCCTAGGAGTACTTTGCAGTCTGCCAGTGCCGTTTTCATCTCTACGGCGTGTAATTACTGTGTCACTCACCACAGCGGTCCTCAGTTACACAGAAAGGGGAGTCAGCGCGGTGCAGAATAGTTCCATCGCGGCACACACACTCCTCTCTGATGAAGGAGCAGGTAGTCTCCTCGTAGTAATCTCTGTTCAGACAGGTGCGGCTGGCGCAGGTGCTCACACATGGCTGGTATTCCTTTCCAGGGGGGCACCGCAATGCTGCAGGATGACAGGCACTTAGCAACGCATGAGCAAATGAAAGAATGAGGACATCTGCGTTGGTGTGTGTGTCACTTCTTAGCATCCGTCCACTTACGACAGAAGTTGTGTCGTCTCCAGCTGATGCAGACCTGATGTGTGTAGCAGACCGCCACGTAGGCCGCCAGAAAGTCACACTGGTGATCCTTGTAGTGCAGGTCCCCCGCCCACATGATGTCACAGAAGTGCTCTGGAGGAACCTTGTCACAAAGCTTGCTTTATTCGGACAACAGTTCAAAACCCCAAAACGTAAAAAATCACACTACGAATTACAGACAAATCCTTAAATTTGAAGCTCCATATATCAATTTTCTCTTCATTGACTTGTCAATCGATCCCCTTACTGGAACCATGTCAAGTACATACAGACGATCAAGTTTGTAAAATGCCGTGTGTATACTGCAGCTACCTTGCTGTGGCAGGGCGTGAAGGCTCTCTGGCGCAGCATGGACAGGCAGGTGGAGCAGTCCTCAATAGTGCAGTTGTCTCCGACTCTGCGTGTGTGTTCCGTTTCGTCGGTGGTGTGAACCCTCCAAGCCTGAAGAAAGAGCCCCATGTCCCCCACCTCTCGAACCACTGTACCATTGGGCAGCTTCAGGTCATCTTCTGGGTTCCCATCACAACAACCTGACATAATGTGCAGACAAATGTTTTGTTTAAGTGTGTTTGTGTGTGTATGTGTGAGAGATATATTGATGCTTTCTCAGTGAGCAATTTATTTGTGGAGTGAGACAATTAACTAAACCAAATGGCTCTCAACATCTCAAATTGTCATATCCAATAAGGACTCAAGTGATGCTGTTTAGACATTAAGCCTTTGGGACATGAGGCTGCTGCTGATGTAGTCAAAGCTTGTTGTGGTGTTCGTGTGGACTCACCACAAAGGCCTCGAGTGGGCACCGATGCATTATAAGGAGTGATGTACTGCAGAACCATGATGCCAGTGCTGTGATACCATTGTATGCTGACCCCGCCAGGTGTGTGGATCAGGTACATGCTGCCTGTGTCTTCCACATAAAGAGAGTGACGGGAGAATGGAAGTCTAACGGGTCTGTAGTTCACTGTCACCTAGAGTCGGACACAAGAACCACATTATTTACGGATAAGTTGAACTCTTGGCAGTAAATTAGGTTCAGAGAGTCACCTTGCGATCCAGTCGGTTGATAATGATTCTGTAGGAGGAGGTAGTAATGTTCAGCTTTCTAAAACACAGACCAGATGTTCCACCAGTAGGAGTCTGTAGGGGAGTGAAATAGGATAATGTAATAATACAAGATAATATGTGTTGATTAAATAACTTGATATCAATGCAACAACAATTGTAGGCGGGGAAAAGGGGATATGTGGATGTACTTACCGTTCGTCTGATGGAGTTTACACTCTAAAACGAAAAGAAAACATTAAAAAACATAGTTCTAAGTTGTCTTATGATGTAATACATACAGTATTTTATTCTGAGCGTTACCTGGCTGGTAGGACATTTCTCTACAGTGCCAATTATAGTTTCTTGAGGCAGGTTAACCAGGATGTAGGAGCCGTTATCATACAAGGCCACATTGTTGCCATCAAATGTGATGACACGCAGGTCTGACATCACGGTGCAGCGACCTGGTAAAAAGCTAAAAGAGTCAGCACGCTCGAAAAAGACAATTGCAGTAAACCACGGATTACAATCACTACACCTCTCTATTACTGAGTCATAGGCCAAAATATGTTTTTCAACATAAATTAAATTTACAGGGGCACTGCCACAGGGGACAGCAGGCGTCGGTGTTGATGAGGATGGGCAGGCCCAGCAGACTGCACTGGGGCTGAGTGGTGCTGTAGCGACAGTGTAGGGACGAGTTGTGAAGCAGCAGCTCCCCGTTGAAACAGATGAGCTCAGCACACTCATCGATGCGGTAGGAGTATGGAGGCTGAGGGGACAACAACACACATTTTGTGTTCCAGAGCATGTTTACATGTCTTGGCTCTCTCTTTCATAGCCATCTTCTACACAATCGTATACAGTATTGTCTACCGGTAAATACAGAAAGGTTATGGTTATATTTCTAAAAGTAAGTCCTCATTAAAACTATTGATATCTGAATTTCATTTAACTGCTCCAGTTTCAAGATCCTGATAGTTTACAGGCTGGCTGACCGTCATGTCGTCATTACTTACTGGCACACTTAACATTAAACAGAACAGAGCCACTGTTAATGTTGATACTGACACCTGTGCTTTTCCCACTATGACTAGTCAAAATGCCTAGAGTGAATATGCCAATAGATACCGAAATATTCACTTAAAAGCAGCGTAAAGCAATTCATGTAAGCCATCAATAATTGGGGCGTCCCATCAATTTCAATTCACAAATGCATCTTTGATGTGTTTGCGGGCAAGTACAAACACAGCAAACACTTACTGTGCAGGGAGTAGTGGGCAAGAGGAGCGCATGTGTGGTCGATGCTTCCACTGTTACAGAGGAGGTGTCAGCACTGGTGGTCATCTCTGTGGATATCGGCTCGGCGGTTGTAGGAAATGGCTCTGAGGTTGTCTCAACAACTTGATCGTCTGTTGGGGTCGTGGTCTCAATCTTGACGGTTGCGTCACCAGGTGGAGGCCGAGGAGCGGCTGGCGTTCCGGTGGTGGTTTGATGGACAGGAGTTGTGACGGCCGCGGTGGGCGGTGGCTGCGTGGAGGGGGGAGTTAGAGGAGGTGGAGCAGGAGTCTCTGGGGATGCTGGCGACGGCGTCGACAATGCGGCAACGCTGGCCGATGTAGGAGTGGAGGGAACGGTGGCGGAAGAGAGAGTGGAGGGCGATTGAGGAGAAGCAGTGATGGTGACGGTAGTAGCCTCAGGGGGAACAATGGAGGGAGCCGCTGTGGTGCTAGTCGTGGTCTCCCTCGCGGTTACCGTAGTTTGAGTGGGGGTCATCTCAGTCGTCTCTGGCTTGGTTGAGGGAGTGGGAGTGGTAGAAAAAATGGTGGTGGGAGGAGCAGGGGGAGACGTCGATGGAGACAGGGTTAGCGGAGTGGTGACACGCTCACTTGCTGATGTCGTGGTGGAGGTAGCGGGCGTTGTGGTGGTTGTGGAGGGCCTGACTGTAGCGGAGGAGGTAGTTATTGCTCGAGGGGTGTCAGTGGTGGTTGTGGTGGTGGTCATGGTGGTGTTTGTGGTTCTAGGCCTTCTGGTAGTGCTAGTAGTAGTTGTCGTAGTGGCAGTCGTTGTTGATGGCGCTGCAGAGGTCCTGTTGGACCGCGTCACGTAGGCAAAGGGTGTTGGAGTTGGGGCAAGAGACACACCTGATGGAAACAATTCATATTGAAGGACACACTTGGTATTGATTTAAAAAAAACGAATACCAAATGTGTTGCATCAGAAGCCATAAACGCTCCGAGGCAAAACATCCATCCGCTATACTCACAGTCTTCTGCATAGACGCATCTTCTGGTGACTTCATCGAGGACCATGTTCTTGGGACAACGTGGGAAGCAGCCTTCCACACTGCAACACACACAAAGGATTTTAGCACCTGAACGAAGCATAGATAACGTTGGTTATATAATGTCTGCTTTGAATACACCGAGCCTCTTACGGGGGCAGGAACTGGCAGCGGGTTGCATCTGGGTCACCGCACGAGTGGACACAAGGGCTGGCACAGGCCTGGTAGCGCCACTCACACATCATACGGTACGGTATCACGAAATTACTCTCTGCCAAAGGAGAGGAAAAACCCCCAGCTGGTTATCTTTTGGTGCACATGTAATCACACCTGTGCATGTCTGTCGGCTGCACACTTAAGTTTCTGACCCTCCAGTGTGAAGCAGCTGCTTGCTTTGAAGCCCTCTGAGGAGTCGTAAGGCTCAGCTTGTGCAGCAGTACGTGTCAGTGTCAGAAAGACGCCAGGTTGGCCGACGAGCTCAAAGGAGGTGTGACCCGGTAGGAACAGTCCCTGGTGCTGGATGAAGGTGCCTCTGAGACTAAACTCAGGCCCTCGACTCCAGCGCTCCAACTGGAGACTGCGTCCTGACACGACGAGGAAATAGTTCGGTCTCTCTGCGGACTCCAGTGACACGACAGGGAAACCTGTGAAAATAAGCGAATGGAGGTTAATTCACCCCTAAGAGATTAGTAGCGTGCAACTGTGTGAATGTGGATGCTCACGAGATGTTCTCTCCTTCTGCAAGCCTGCTGTGATCATGAAGTTGAACAGTAAGCCCGGGGAAGGCAACTGCCCTGGTCTCTCTCTCACCAGAGGAAACACTGAACCGCTGCTACGATTCACTCCAAACACGGTGTCATTATGAGCAGCACTCACCAAGGAAAATGGGCCCTCACCTAGCTCTACGGGAAGAGAGAGAAAATTGACGTGGTGACGATCTAGCGGGGAATAAGAGTGTGTGAGGTTTAGAAATGAAAACTCTCTGAAAACAACAAACCCTCACTCATACGTACCTTGATTAAAGTATTCACAATCATAGGCTAGAAGAAAGCAAGAGAGTGAAGAAGTTATAAGACATTTTAACAGCTTGGGGTTATATGCGAATTGGATGTTTGCACGGACTGTAAAAAGTGGGTCAAAGAGATGAGTAGGGGTCACATCTCTGACCAAATAACAATAAGTGCGTGTGTGTGTGTACTCACGACAGACAGAGGGCGATCTCCAGTGAATCGTGACCCCCTGTTGGCAGCATTTGTGTGCGTATGCGGCAATGGACGTACACAGACACTCACAGTCCCCCCCACGGTTACAATTGCAAGTGTCTGTCAGGCAGTTCCTGTAGAACCAGGCCACATCCACCTGGAGGGTTTGCACAACATATTTTCATGGTCACACACAAACACACAATCCTAAAACGAAGCAGGCGACTGTTGCTGGGGGACTGGGGGAGATGGGAGGAGGGGGGGAGAAACGGTTTAGGGGGGTGAGTAGTCTTCAATTATTCAGACGGGGAAGGAGTGATGAGATATCAGCACAAAAGAATGTGGGTCAACCTCTGGTGCAGAGGGGATCAGATGAGCGCTGTGACACACAGACAAAACGCATCAACAATGAGTCGCTCTCTCCAGAGGCAAAGTGAACCGTCCTTCTGTGTTTTTGACACGCTTATTGCAATGCAAAAAAACCCAGCACACTTCATCATCATCATAACTCTGACATGTAATATTACCTCACCGCTTTGATGTGTATCGATTAGGTCGCGTGCCGCAACGTGAGCATAGCGATAAGCTTGCAATCTAACTCAGTCACGTTTATTAAAAAGGTTTCCCGGAGTATTTCAGACACTTTGTTATTTTCTATAGTTGTTGCGAAAAATCTCAAAGAACATTGTGTTCCAACACAGTCTGTTACCATACAATTTAAATTAAACGTATCCTACCTTCAATACTGAATGTATTTCAACAACAATAGTTACTAGTGCATCAGTTTTTACAACAAGCCACTATATTTTTATCTTTACTTTTTCTACTACTGCATATTTATAATACTTGCTTTTGGTCGTGTTTGTACTATATCTCTTGTTTGCCCTTTAATCTCTGCTGCTGTAAATCCAGAGAATTTCCCCACTGTGGAACTAATAAAGGATTATCTTGCCTTGTCTTTTCTAACTATAGAGCAGGCTGACTGGATTGTGTTCTCTAGTGCAGTACAATTCATTATTAGAAAAATTGGTTTTCTATCAAGAAAGCACGAGCTCTTTCAATTATGATGTGACTAAGGTCCGCCAGCAAAGCCACTAAATATATGGATTTTTTGATAACTTAATTGGCATTTTAAAATATTGCTTCCCTTCCCTTTTTAAAAGAAAAGAAATCCGACCAGCCAGAGGTCCAGTGTCACTTCTCTTGTCTGAATGCAAAAGGAAAATTACAGGATTCACTTCATCACTTTTACTTTATTAACAGGCTGCAAATGTCAGAACAAAGGAATTATAAAAGCATATGCATGGTTAGTTCTTCCATGTCCATTATAGTAAAGTCTGGGAGTCTCAATGTTATCGTTAGCTACCATCATGGGGCGGTGCCTTTACATACTGTATTTATATAGCTCCATCTGCTGGCGACATAGAGAAATAGAAAACCTTAGTATGCACATTAAGTGTGTGTGCGTATGTTTACCGTTGGTATGGTATTTTAGGTGTTTAGTGTTCATTGGGATTAGAGTTATTTCCCTACCCCCCCCCCCACCTTTCTATATTGTGTCTATGTGTGTGCATCACTCACCACGTTGTGACAGGGTGCAAAGACATCGCTGTACAGGAGCGCACACTCCCTCTTTGCGTACGGCTGTCTGCCCAAATCGCCTTCACACGGCCTCTCGACTACATAGTCACTTTCGCACTGAAACACACAAAACACACACACACACACACACACACACACACACGGAAGGTGATTGAGTGTCTGATTACTCTTAAATATCACAGTGGACTCGAGGGAGACACATACATTAAAGGAGAGCAGGAGAGGAGTGAATCAGTGTGTGGAGGGAGATTCCCAAAGATAGAAAGAGGAGAGCGGCTGAGGGGGGAATCAATGGAGGAGGTGGAGGAGCTTGGCTGACTCATACCTGTCCCAGGGCCCAGCTGTCTCCAAAGGTCTGTGCATTGTTGACTTCCATTTGGCTGGAAGTGGTCATATCATTCACTGTCACGCTATCAAAATTTCCACACAGTCCGCTAAGAAGGCCCTGAATGAGAAATAAAAGACAATGAGCCGTGTGTTCAGAGCTCTTTCATAACAATGTATAATATAGATATGCATGTGTAAACATCAAAGAAGATCTGCTCCTGGTCCAGACCTTCCACTGAGGTCCGGCTCTAATGTGAACAGTCGTCTTCCGGTCCCAGAGGATGGTCAGGTCCTGATGTGAGAAGTGAACCACGGTGTAGTAGCCGGTTCTCCAAAGCTCAAATTCTGATCCTCGACCTACAACAGTCGACGGGTTCTAAGGGAAAACCAAAAGAAGGAGATTGTTATTAGCAGATTTCACTGGATATGTACTCGGTATATTTCCTTTACACATTTGTCAGACGAAAAAAGACACATGTACTTATATAGGTTTGTAAAGAGAGAGCGTGACTGTGTGGGTTAAGTACATACGGGGATGCCAGAATTGTCGGTGAAGTAGATCTTGGTGAGTCCCACATGAATGACCAGTATTTTCATGCACACAATGCCGCTCTCATAGCAGTCCTTGTTTTGGGCGACAATAGACACCTCGGGTTCTTCTGAACTCTGGTGAGAGGGAAAGACAAAATATTACTCTTGTGAGGGAGGGAAGTCTAGACAGGTACTCTCATCTCTGTCCCGAGAACCCAACACAATGTTTTTTTGGGGGGTTTTCTTTTCTTTTATATACGGACACCCCAAAATAGATTCAAATTTGATTCTACCTGTTCAGGGTCATTCCGGGTGCATGGAGGCTGACAAGAAGAAGAAGCACCTCTAGGCAATTAGGACACAGCTCTGACCTGCTTCCTTATCCCTCACAGGTCCGCTCGGCGGTCGGCAGCCTGTTAGCTCTGAATTGGAATGCCTGTTCTGCTAATTCTAATTCTATATCCCTGGGAGCGCAGGAGTCCTGGGGTTTGAAGTGAACACTGGTCTCTTTGTGTCGCTACAGCTTTGAGCATCGTCTGCTAGCATTACCACGGTGGAAACTCCGCAACACACACACACACACACACCTTAATCTGCTTTAATTAAAAACCTCTCTCTTCCAAGGTAACAAACTTGTTCCTACTTTTCCTGATCCAAACCAGTCTTGGATAGGAAACATGGAAGATACACCTCCTTTGCACTTAAACACACACTAGCTGTCTCTCACACACTTTTTGCCTAAACTGAATCAATGAATTTGTCAGGTCAATTATGCTTGATGCTCAAGTAGAACTAGTAGATATCCACACACAAAATGACTCTGCTCACTTTAAGCAGGTAGACCTGACAGTCGGAGTAGTAGTCATACTCGAGGCCATCAAAGGTGTGGTAGTGTCTGTCGCTGTACACAGTACACACTGCCGGACATGGTGAGTAGCTGCAGTTAAAATATCCGCGGTGACACACACTGTGGAGTTGGACAGGCAGATGCACATGAGAAGAGGAAAGAGAAACTCATCGTATTATAAATTATACAATTTTCTGCTCTTGTTCAAAATGACTTAATATTTGCAGAATTACATATGCAGAAAAACATTTAAAACATTTATGTTCAGACTGGTATTCCATCTATAGGAAAATATAAAGTACGGTAAAGGTATGTACCATTTGTAACATGGAGTTTCCACAGTTTCTCCAGGCAGGTATTCAAGGCCCAGCCAGGCACAAGGGCAGTTCTCTGGATAGTAGCACTTGCTATGGTGCAGCACCAGCCTTCATAGGTAGAAAGACTACTTAAGTAGGAGTTACAGAACATGCAAACACCTGATTTAAAATGCATACTGCAGTAAGATAATTTCGCATTTCTTGCGAAAGGTTACTATATTATACTACAGGTTTGGAAGTAAAAAAACCTTCCACTTTATATAATCAGTAATGAAAAGGCCATACCTGTGGTCATTGAGTACAGATGACCACTAGCTTCCAGGCAGCCGCTGCAGCCAGGGTCTTTTTTGTTTTGCCAAAGTTACATTATTCTAGCATGATGCCTTAGTTGCAACAAGGAGCAAACACATGGTGACTCTATAAAAACACAGATTTTTTACACAATCTGCTAGTAGATGTTTATTCTAAAATGAACAGAAAAAAACAATTCCCTCAAAGGTAAGAAGTAAAAACGGATTTTTATTGGACAACAATATAAAAAAGGCAGCAAATGCGTATTTTACCCAGGAGGGCAGACGCAGCCAGGGACGCACGGTGTGCTGGGAGGGCAGGTGAGGTTCAACATCAGGTTATGGCAGGTTGGTGAACAGGCCACGCCTCCCCGCTGCTCGCCGCAGCTATGGTACACTTTACCCTCTGGACACTCCCCGACCTCTACGCTATCTGGCTCTACACGCACGCACGCACGCGCACACACACACATGCACACACACACACGCACACACCCTCGCTCCGCTCGGTGGTAGGGACGTAAACCCATGAGTCATTTAGAAGAACCATCTCCCAGTCCTCTATAGCTCCAGAGACCCCGGCACTGCAAGGGAGAGAGCTACAAAACCCACACAAGGGTTCTTTAGTTCTCCAAGAGGGACACAGCCTGAAACGGCACTTTGTTGTTGGAAAGAAAGAGAGCGGGAACTGAAGGGAGGGGCGAGTGCGTAGAAGTTACCTTTTTCTTCTGGCACACACTCCATCTTCCCGTTTCTGCAAAGGCTGATGGAGGAGATAGGAAGGGGAGAGAATAAGGGGTGAGTCTTTGGGAACGAGAGTAATCTTATCAAACACCAGGGTAGTTAGCTCCGCTTTTGACAATCACTTAAGCGTTAATTACTTTCTCAGATGTCTTAAGACGGATAGCGTGTGTGAGGATGTTACACTGTGTGTGATCAGCAGAGCAGCTGAAGTGAAGTTCAAGGCCAGCTGTGACTCACCAAGGGCCAGAGGCGCTGAAGGTCACCTCCCCTGGCTGGGACACACCACCCATGGAGTAACAGTGACACTGAGACCTGAGGAGAAACACATCACTTTATTGTAGAGCTTCCTCTGTTGGTGTATGTGTGTTCCGGCCAAATAGCGATTGATGACCGTTATTAGGATGATGTATGAGGTGGCAAAGTCTTACAGTTGCACGCAGCGCTGGCGCACATCGTCATGGTAACTGCCGTTTGGACAGCCGCACCCCTCGGCACAGTCGTCAGGGTTACACGTCTCCGTGCCAGACAGACCGCGGCAGAAACGCCCACAAGACGACACACAAGAGTGGTGCAGCATGCCTCCAAGACACACCACTCCTTTGTAAACGCACACACACACACACATGTTATATATACTGCCATTAAGGTGATCATTTTACTCACCGTGCACCGTGTGAGTGACATCAAAGAAATCAATCGACCGGACAGACAAAAAGTCTACGTTTTTATGATTCACTCAATCCTCACATATAGAACCATAATCTCTGATTATTTTGGGCTGTAAATGTAAACGCATTTTAAAGAGAATATAAAAGTAACCCAGTTAAATACTCACCACATTCAGACACATGTGATCTGAAATCAACGTTGACTCCATGTTTGGAGCAGAGGTAAGCGTAGTGAGCCAGCGCTGTGCATAAACAGCTGCTTCCACAACGACAGGCCTGGTAGCGGCACTGCTGCTGGTAGATGTTTGGACTGATGAAGCCATGACATGCGACAAACACACTGCCAAGAAGCACCTCACACTGGGATGCATAGAAAACTAGAATATGTACACACACAAAAGAATCGTCAGCTGCACGCTCATGATCAGACTGGAGATAGAACCACTAAGCAGCTGGGTATGTGGGACTTATTTGCTGATGTGATATTTAAAAGGAAGCTAAATACAATGTAGAAAACGTTCAGCTCCCTGGTGATCTCCCTCCAGCCAGTTGCAATTTTGATAAAAGTTTTTATAGAGAAATGGAAAGAGGATTCATACAGATAACTTCTCACTTAAACTTTAAGAATCATTCATCCCTCATCCATTGGGGGCTTTCAAAGCAAGCAACCGGGATAATTAAAAAACAGTTTATCCAACAAAAGCAGCTCAAAGCGGAGCGCTGTGTTAGGCTGCATCACTTGTGGCCAGTTAGGATACAGTAACACCAACAATTCCAATAGTTAAAACCTTTGGTTTAGTTTGCAATTTTTAGTTCAATTTTGACAGCGCTATAACAATAATATTTAGGATGGGATGTGCGGGCGTATATTGTAGTCCGTAGAACTAAGGCCCATTAATTGTATCCTCCTCGTGTGAGGTATTCTGTAGCTTGCTAAATGTGAGGTCACCCCTCCCCCTTTCCATTGTCTTACTCAACATAAAATCAACATACACAGCAAGAACCCCTAAAACATTAAAAACCAATGAAGTGATTATTACCATTGTGCTGGTTCATCTCACATGGGTCTATGATGGGCAAGTTGACTGGAGCCACACAAGCAGAAGAAACCTTCCAAGAATTGGCATGAAGCTGAGGTGTGCCCTCTATCATTCCTGCTGGGGACCTGAGAAAATGCACACACACACACACACACACACACACACATACACACAGAGTCAGGTATAATTATATTTTAAACCTTGTTCCGGAAGTGAAAAATACTTGCTCACAGGAAGTCATCTCGCAGATTTCCATTGAAGGTTCCACAGAGGCCCAGCGTCTGTCCACGCCACTGGCTGCCCAGCTGCAGATAGACCCGACCCCCTCGACCATCATAGTGCAGCCTCAGACCAACTGCTGCCTTCAACTGCATGAACACAGAGGTAAGCCTCTGCACTTCCAATGCATCTACAGACCCAGAAACAAACATCAAAACCCATGATCAAAGACGAAAGTGCTGTGAAAGAAGGCAACTGTAATAATCTTTTTGATAAATAAAATAGTTATTTCAGCGTAATCCAACATGCATTTGAATTGTAACATGAACCTGTGTTTTTTTCAAAGAGCTTTTGTGACTTCCTACCATCAACATATGGCAGGACAGGCACTGGGTTAACACCAATTATCACCTCCCCCTCTCTGGTCAAAGTGATCTGTCGACTCACATCTTCATCCAACACCACTGTCACTGACTGAATGCACACCTGCTGCTGTAGATACACAGACGGATGGTTATGTCTACTGCATGGTGGGTGAGTGTGTGTATGGAAGCGATCATGGACGCTACCTCTGCACAGGTGGTGTATTGCAGCGTGACGGTGAACCTGCTGCTGCTGCGGCTCTTTACCAGGACGTACTGACATGACCCCGGCTGGAGAAACATCCTGCCGTCAAACGTTGTCACGAACACGTCACCTACCACCGAACACTCGGCTGAGAAGTGTGAGGAGAAGAGGTATAGTCATTTATCCAAATCCACGGTTTACACTTCAGTCACCGTTCTGTTCTAAAAAAAAAAAGCGTAAAAACTCACCTGTGCAGTTGTTCTCAGTGCAGTTCCACACTCCTCCCATGCACACACTAACACAGAACAAACAAAGATGTACATCAGACCAGCACATATGGGTATCTTATAAACAACAAGGTAGAGACAAAAACAAATGCAGATGCTGTAGATGTCAATGTAATCTGATGTGTGTTTGAATTGTACATTTTGTTTATACATCTATTTCTTCTTAAAACAAGTCTAATTGTCATTTTGCAACCTTTGCATTAGGGAACGCTTAGTGAACTGAAAGTTGCTGTCATGCCCCTTTAGTCTTCCTTCCTCAATCTTGATCATAGACCACAAACAGTTTTTGCTTATCCAGACGTCCATACACATTTGATAGAATCCCCAGGTGGTGTTGGGCTACATGTGGGGTTTTTTATTAAAGTAACCAACCTGTTAATTAGTTTATAGTCAGTGACCACACTTACCATACACTACATCCTTGTTGAAGCACATGTCCTTGTACATATGAAGTCCCATGGTAAACACATGGACACTGAGAAACAGCAATACATGTTCCATTTTGTAGGATAAGACCTGGGGGAAATATTGTTGAAAGGTTTCGAGTAAGTTTAGTGTTCAAATCAAATAACATTATTTGACAGTAATTGGTAGATAATTAGATACCATCAGGACAGTAGCAGCCATCCAGACAATGCAAGTTGGTTCCTAGACACTCCTTCTCAAATGTACAGGTGGGTGGACAACAACTGATACAGTCTCTATATACAAAACTCTCCTCACAGCCATCATCTGCATGCAAACACAAACACAGTTTTTAGACAGGCAGATAACAGGAAAGAATGTGGACCCAATATAAATGGACATGAAGTCAAAACTCACTACAAGAAGGGAAGCTGTCTCTCCACTCTCTTACTGGGTAACCAACATGCGAGCAGGCTCTGGTGTACTCAACTAAGGCCTGACAAAACGTTTCCTCGTCGTCAGATCTGAAAAGAAAAGAGGGACAAAAATCCACCTGTGATTTGTTTCTTGAAAACTGCATTATTTTATTTGAAAAGTATCTACAAGTGAAGCCGGTACTAAAGCTAATGATGGAATGTTCATTCTGTAACTCGGCACTGATAACAGCGAAAGAAAGAATAAAAAGTTGCATCGACAGTGTTTTGACTTACACACAAAGGTCGGACACGCAGCTGGCCACAAAGGGATTTGGGTCAATGTTTTCATGACAGGACAGAAATGGGAAGAAGAGAAGGGCGCTGCATTTCTCTATGGCATCCTGCACACATTCACAATAAATACAGCATGATATGAATATAACAGCGTGAAGAAAACGAACCCTGCTGCAGCTATAACTCACAATGACCCACATTAGTCACTCTATTTTCCATCAAGCAGTGGAAATATTTACAGGGTTCACTATGCTGACACAACGGCGTGGACGACAACATGAATACAGAGTAGAGACAAAGTGTCTGTGGTTCTCACGTCCATGTCGGACTCAGAGTGGCAGGGCCCATTGAAGTCGAGGTCCACTGATGGACAGGCTCTCTCGTGAGGCAGGTCCACGGCCCAGCTGTTAGCAAACACCGAGGGTTCATCAGTCCGAATGCCTAAAACACACAGACAATACACATGCACGTCTAAACGTTCGGCACAGGTGGCAGAAAAATCAATTGTACAGTTGTTGCAGTATTCAAACATTAACACAAGTATTTATCTTTCTATATCGTCATTAAACACCTTTACATTACACATAAAATTGTGTTTATCGTAATGATACACTACAATAAAAATGTAATTCTCAATATTTGAATAATTTCTGTCATATGCATTGAACGTATTGTAAATATTTTATGTTGTTAATTCTGTACACATGCCATGTATTACATGTCCTTTCCGGGAGACGGCTCCCTCCTCTCCCCAAAGTTCCTTCCTTTTTACTCCCTGTAAAAGTTACACGTGCCAACGCGAGGATGCAGGACGGAGGACGTCGCATGTGTACAGATCGTGACGCCCTGAGGCAAGTTTGTACATTTTGATTTGGGGCTACACCAATTAAATTTAATTGAATCGATTTAATTGACCATTTGGAGGAAATGTAATAAAATTGTGTTTGTAAATGTGCCATGTCTATTGTCATTTGATAGTCCGAGCCTTTCCCTTTCCACCTTTATTCCCTTAGTCCCCGCTCATCTTCGCTCTACTGAACAGCTTTCAGCGCAAAACAAATATGGGTACAACAGTTCACATTTCTGGTCATCTGAGGAAAAATTCTTGCTCCTACCAGCCATTCAAATCCAACCTATCAGTTCTCCCCTATCATTCCACTCTGTTCTCCTGCTCCCACCGCTCCTATACTGGCCAGAACCAGTGTTGAGTGTATAATAATAATAATAATTGAGGTGCGTGGGTGCTGAGAGAAGGGATAAGTGGTTGGGAGGGTCGGTCAGGCTGGTCTTACCACGGGCAGTGGTGAGGTCATCGCTGGCGAGATGGTTGAAGTTCCCACATAGGCCACAGGGGCCCCCCAGGTGCTCCTCGCTCATTTTCAGGTAGACGCCCGAGCCTCCATCCCAGGCCAAAGAAAATCCAAACACACTCTTCACCAGCAGGTAATCGGCCAGTCGCTCAATAAACACGCCGCCAACGGTCTGAGGCAGACTTAACCTGACATTGTAAGGACAGACACGTCAAGAGAATAGCATCTTTATTTTAAGAATGCTCATAATAATGGGTGTTGATCTGTCGGTGAGTCAGTCGTTTTTTTTTACCACAATGTTTTCAATTCCCTCTCAAAATCTGTGCATCTTTGCTCTTTCTACAAAAAAAGCAACACACACACCTGTGGCCTCCCTGGTGGACCTGATATCCAGAGATGTGGATCTCCTCCTCATTCGGGAAGAACAGACTGAGAGCTCTTGGGCATGAATACACACTTCCGTCACAAACTCTACTGTTGTGGACCTGACAAAAATAAAGGGTCACAGGGGGAAGATGATTAAAATGCACAGCTGTACCAAGGATTAGGCCTGTAACCTGGGCTAACGTTCTAAAAACAGTCACGTCTAATGTTGCCAAAAAGTCTGGATTTACTTAAAATGGGCTGTGTTGTGTCTAAATAAGTTTCTATACCCGTCCACAGAAGTACATTACTGCGCTGTCATGTATGTAAAAACTGTAGGCATGACGGACACCATCTTCAGTAGGTAACAAACTGACTATGAATACTTACCTCATAAAACTTCAAAAAAACACAACTATGACTTTAATATGAGTTTTAAATGCCACTTTAAGTTGACTTATACTAACAGGCTAAATTGTGTTATAATAAAGGGGCACATGTGATATGCCAAACACAGACAATTTATTATGATTGACAATAACTGCTAATTAGCATGCCATGTACTGGTGTCTAGGGATTCAAGTACTTGAATATCCCTTTTAGCTTCATAATGTGACTCTTGGATTATTTTCGTTTAACCAAAGTAAGCACAGTGTTATGGCAAAAAAAGTTAAACCACCCTGTATGTATATAATTGGTATATTATGGTTAAATGTTTCAGAGGACAATATTGATCTATCGCTCTTACCCACACCGTGTACTGTGGTGCAGTGGAGTGGCAGTCTTGGGCCAGAATATAAGAGCAGGTTCCAGGGAAGTAGAAGTATATTCCATCAAATGTTTCGTAGTGGTGTTGACCCCACGACCTGCAGATCCCGTCTCTATCCTGGCCCTGGTTAGGAACTGAGGGGAAGGTGAACAGTTCACTCAGATCAAATTGTTTGTTGTCAAACTGAGAGGATAAGTCAGACAGCCATCTTTTTTATCATCTTCATATTTTTGATCCTCGGTTATTTATTCAAACTTCTCAGTGTAAAATGGATACTCACTAATGTGTGTGTGTGTGTGTGTGTGTGTCTCTCAGTATGTGCACGACACTAACCCTGGGTGAGGGAGAGGAGAGACTGATGCGCCTATCCACACACACACACACACACACACACACACACACACACACACACACACACACACACACACACACACACACAACGTTCTCACACACATTCCTGTTTAATTGAGCATGTAACTGTATACTGTATGCTGAAAAATATGTGAGATTCTCAACCAACGAGTCCGTTGCATACCAGAAATGGTGCTTCTCAATCAACAACAACGTTGTCATGTGGATGACATGTCGGATCCGACAGCAAAGGAAGATATGTAGGTGTGTGTGTGTGTGTCTTACTCACTGATCTGGCAGCGGTCTCCCAGTGCCTGGAACTGAGCACAGTCACACACGCCGCCCTCCTGACACCAACCGCCATTGAGGCAGCCGCAATATTCTGGGAAAGACACAAACACAAACTTGTGTTTAATCAGCCCGATCCATCTGAGTAATGGTCGTCTTCAAGTATCTGTGAATTGGACGCTTCATATTTACCCGAAGAGGAATCTCTGGCTGTGAAGTTGTGTGAAATGCTGCGTGGCACAGCACCCTCCGACAGCAGCGGCCTGTGTGTCTTGGAAAAAAAGATAAACAAAAAACACTAAAAGTAGTTCCTAACACAATTTCTACGTTTTAACAGCATCGGCGACACAGCGCTGCACCGAGTTAACTCGCCGCTGTAAGTTGAAAGTTGCGTCAGCGGGAGAAAGCCTATGTGTGTCTCATTCTGTACAAAGACAGCTTTGTGCCAGTTGGGGTGTTGTGCGCTTGTGGGTGTCCTGAACTCCTCTGGTTCTCTTAGGTGTAGTGTACCAACCTCCTCCCCGAGGAGATCCCGTTTCCTCCGAAGTGCATTAGCCCTTCTGCACACACACACACAAACATGAACATTAGTGGGAAGAAGCGGTCAGAGGGGAGACTTAAGTGCACTTTACACCACTTGAATTCGGACTCCACACGATTCTTAACTGAACCCTCACTCGCACAAGTGCCATTGCAAAACACACTCATATGCCATCTCTGTCACACACTCAGTGACACAAACAGAAAGTACGAATGTGTTAAAGACTGTCTATATTTACAATATAAATGATTGTGGGAATGACCTGTGAAATATCATTCAGATAAAAGATGTTTACACAAAATTACTTTTTTTTAAATTACTAATTAAATTAAATTAATTTTGTCCACTCTAGTATTGTCAGGAAATACTTTTTGTAGTTTCTTCCTTTATTTTTACCTCTGTATTCTTTCTTCAACCACTGAAAGTCGGCTCTGAGCTCCTAAAGACAAAGTTGTACAATTAGCATCAGATTTATAAAAATGTAATAAGTTATTTATTATATATAATAGTCGTTGAAATGTAGTTAAATGTCAGGGAGTCAGAAACACTTAATTAAAATCTGTCATTTTTAGTATTAACTTAACGTTAGCAGGTATGTAGATGTCATATCAGTACACAACAATAGGAAGGGTCAGTACGGGACAAAAAACAATGGTATCAAAAAAGATATGTTGTATAATAATACAGAACAGACCAGATTAATACCCCTCTATGTTTTTAAATGTAGTAACTTTGGACCAGATTAATACCCCTCTATGTTTTTAAATGTAGTAACTTTGGAGCAAACATTATTGCAGGACTATTAAATCAATATGTGAGAATTAAAACAGTCAAACTCACCCTCCAGTAGCAGCAAGTGGGAGATTGCAAATGACGCAAGAAGAAATCGTTTCAATGTCCACTTTAGGTTCATTTCAGAGTCCGAGAGGAGGTTCCGTCGAAACGTTAACGGTGCATCTCAATAGTCCCGTGAGGAAAGGGTTTAAAATGTTCGGTTGCACCGGAACGATGCTTGGTCATACCTGTGAAACCTACCCGGTGATGGTGACCCCCCCCCCCCCCTCCATTTCAGATCAGGTGACCAGCAGCACCTGTGTGGGCAGGTGAGCATTTGCACTGCTCTCTGTGACTCGCTTACTGCACCGTCAGTGCGGGAGATTCGAAGCCTCGGAGTCTTCGGTTCTATCTCGCTTTCACCTCCGTGTTTTACGGGTAACGTTACTAATGTAACGTCTGAAATAATCAATGTGCCACCGCCGCTCATCAATGAAATACAACCACGCAGCTTTAGCTAGAGAACAACAAACGTGAAGACTAAAAAATATATAATATAATGTAAGCTCATTTATAGTTTGGAAGTGCAAACCAAGGTGTATTGGGAGCAGGCTAGCTAGCAATGGTTAGCTGCGCGAATAATTGTTAAAAAACTAATAAATCCGGCATCCATGACTGTTAATTAACATGTGTATTGTTGAAGCTTTGGTTTTTCCAACTTCAAATTAGTCAGCTTTTGTTTAACTAACATTACCTCTTGCTGATAATTAAGATAGCATTATAACTATAATTTCGGGACATATCTGGCTAGCATTAGCCAACGTTAACTAACGTTAAGTTAGTCAGGTTTAACGTTAGGTGTAACTAAGCTAACTTAGCTTAGCTAACATCAGTTATGTTTTCACAATTCGCAGTAGAAAAAAGGCCTGTTAACATTAGCACTTTTTCCTCAGAAATAGTGAGACCAAATTGTTTTCTATTAGAGACATGAGGTTGTTGCCAAATGTTTGTTTGTTTATCATCATTATTGTTACATTATCAATCTTACTTAGACTTGAGACTGCAAGTAAGGTTGCCACCTTTAGTACAGAAAATTAAGGGACGCTATGGCCGACAGGGGGGTTGATTCACTCGTTGGTGCTTTGGCATCGTCCTAGGAAATAAAAATAAAATCATACACAATAGAATGAGCGAGTAAAAATAACTCAGGTGATACCTTAATAAATATATATATATATTTTGTTGTTGTATATTTCTTTGTGAGAACAAACACATGTATGCGGTAATGATTGTAGAGGCCTTAACTTTGTATATTGTTATACATTGTATTTTATGCTTATATTTATGTTTTATTATGAGATGATTATTTACCTCTTTTCTTGTATCTTCATTTATATATATATATATATATATAAAAGATGTTTACACAAAATTACTGATGATAATATTTTATATATATATATATATATATATATATATATATAATATTTTATATATATATATATATATGATATTATTAAATGAATATTTCCTCTTTTCTTGTATCTTGTGAATGTCCTCGAGTGGCCCATTGCCAAAGGCGCTTCAACAAAGTATTGAGCAAAGGCTGTGAATACTTATGTACATGTTATGTTTTCGTTCTTTATTTTTAACAGGTTTGCAAAAATTTGCAAAAAACAGTTTTCACTTTATCATTATGGGTTGTTGTGTGTAGAATGTTGATGAAAATAATGAATTTAATACATTTTAGAATAAGGCTGTAATATAACAAAATGTGGAGAAAGTGAAGCGCTGCGAATACTTTCCGGATGCACTGTATGTACTGTATCAGCTTATGTATCATATGTATGTGTAGATGACCATATAGAACTAGGAGTTTTATTATATGTGTGTGAATGTGTATGGGAGAATCATTATATAATCATTATCCATTATCCATTGTTCATAATCAGACATTTGATCAATTGAAGCAGTGAAACATGGAACGTTCAGAGGTTTATTAAGCAACAAATAAACCAACAGAACTTTAAGAGCATGACATGCAGCAGCTTTCCAGATGTTCTCTGCATCGCAACACCGTACAGACAGGACAGTAAGAGAGACAGTGTGTCAGACACCGTGTGAGACATAGGAGAGTGTGTGAGACAGTATGAGAGACAGTGGGAGACAGTCCGTGGGACAGTATGTGAGACAGTCTGCGGGGCAGTGGATGTTCGGCTGCAGCGTGTGGTGTTCATCACGTAACGTTTCAGCTCGGGGAAATCTAAATAAATGATTTCTTGTCCTCAGCAACTATAGCGCTCATACAGGACGTCATTGCGGTTAAACGGGTCTTTGTGATCTCGGAGAAGTCTCTCCCTTTAAAACATTAATCTAACTTATATCGCTACTTCATCAATGAGCTGCCCTTTTTTTCCGGGGGAGTGATGAACTAATCCAGCAGCTCAAATGCACCTGCGCAGGAGCAGGTTCAGGTTTTTCGATGTGTTGCTATGGTGATTTAGACAAACCTGCTTCGGGGAACCGAAAAGCCTGATCTATGTCATCTCATCCTGAAAATTATCCGGCTAACTCAGTTAGCCACGTACGAGGAACAGGGCCCAGATCTGACGCTTCTCAACATCTTCCAGCAGGAAGTGACAACACATGTGGAACACTGCGGGAGTCTCTCTGATCCTGGAACTCATGTGTTCCTGCTGGTTCTACAACCTGAAGACTTTACAGAGAAACTCAAACTGAGACTCTGCAGCATCCCCAAACTCTTCGGTGACCAAAGCTTTGATCACTCATGGTGCTGATATCAAAATCAAGGAAGGGAATTTCAGGTGTCTGGGAAAACTCAGTGAAGACAAGAAGACAAGACTTCATCACTGGTCCAGGGGATTATTTCCAAAAAACATCCCAGCACTGCGTGGTTACCTATGTGGAGTGAAAAGGAAAATCTGTATAGTTAAACGCCAAACATTCTCTATCAGTCTGTGGAAATGTCTGACGCAATGTGTGAGTCTTTGTGCACCTGGGCCCAACGTTCTGCTGCTGCTCAACAGGACACAACGATTAAGGTCTAATCTGCGTTGGTTTGGTGAAGATGCTTTTAAACACTCCATGGTCATCAGGACAAATAATCTGATTGAAAGCTTAAATGTGAATCAGCTGCTGCAGGCCTGTGGAGAAAGAGAGTACAGCATGCTGGAAGGTGACCAAAGAGAGGAACCTTCCTCACCATCAATGAAGAGATGAAACCACTCCGAATCTGGTTCTGTGTGGGAGGACAGGAGCATGGAAGACTTCAGCAGCCAAGGCTATATTAGGTCAGACAGAGCTTCTCTCCAACTCCTCAGAGAGTGTTAAACATCAGGGAGAGGTGTGTGGATGTTGGGTCTCTGTGGTGGAGCTGCCTGCCTTGTATGGAAGACTTCAGGAGGCAGTGATGGAGGAATCACTCAAGTGTGTCTCCCTCTGTGGTCCCAAAGGCGTCCATGTCTTCATTCGTGTCCTACCTGTGGGTCCCCTCACTGATGAAGACAAGCACGAGTTAGAGACCATCCACAACACGTTCAGATTGAAACCATGGTGGAGGAAAATGGAGGCAGCTGCTACACCAATGAGATGCTGCAAGAGGCTGAAGCAGCGATCTAGACGGAAGTGGTGAGGATTCACTTTTAAACTTCCTGCAGATTTTACTTAGTTTTACTTTCTCTTTCCAGCTGTATGGGGCAGTGAGCCGTCAGGCGGTGAGTGAACCACCAAAACGATTAAAGAGGAAGTAAAAGCAGTTAATGTGTATGAAAACTAAATCTGCTGATTCCAGTCATTTATGATTGAGCAGCTGATCATCTATCAGCTGCTGAATCTGACCGCTATCAGCAGATTTAGTTTATCAGTATGATTATTATTAGTGCAGCGGCTCCACACCTACACTTTTATCATATTCTTCTTTTAGCTTTTTTTCACTTTTATAGCTTTAGTGCACTATGGACACAAGGCACGTAACGTTAGTTATCTTTACGGTCACCGCAGTGTTTTTGACTTTTTACCGCCACCTCCGAGCAGCCGACATTCGGTTAGAAGCACCGGGGTGGGGCTGCTGGCTACCGGAGGGCACCCGAGGCTTCCCCGCGGCCTGAGGAAGGAGACCCGGGGTAGCGTGGGGTTATACACCCGTCCTTCCCTCCTCCGTCGGGGAGATCACCGGGGCTCTGTCTCCCCCGACGAGATGGACGAGTCATCGGCGCGGAGAGAGGGCAATAGCGCGCCTGCAGCATAATGATAAAAATGGCGGTGTGGCTAGCTGCGGTAACTACAATCCCCACTGTCGACCAAGGGGATTCTCCCGTGTTATCGCGATAGCTCTGCAAACAATGAGATGGCGCGTGACGTCATCCACACGAGGACAATGCAATTCAATAGTTTTGTTCATTTGAAAAACAAATGTGAACCTGAAAGTTTAAGTTGTGTTGTTGAACATTGAAAACATGTATTCAAAATAAAAATAAGTATAAAATAATATTTTCGGGTTGAATATAGCTTTGACTCAGCTCTACCGGTGTATATATATATTTTGGACTAAAAAAGTTTTTTTTGCATCTTCACTTACATTCATTTTTTGATATTCCTTGTATTATATTTTTCGTTAGCAGATATTTTCACATACAAGTCTTATTTTTATTTTGAATACATTGTTGTATTTTTCAATGTTCAACAACAAAACATAAACTTTCAGGTTTACATTTGTTTTTCAAATGAACAAAACTTTTGACCTGGATTTGGCTCTATAGAAGGAGAGATGTAAAGGAGCGTTTGAGAGGAGTAAGGAAGCTTAGTGAAGCTAACTGTTGCTGTATTCCTGCACATTTCCCCTCTGTGGGACTAATAAAGGCTGACAAGGCCAACAAAGATTTATTCAGTCTTTCCTGAAGATGGACTCAAAATTACTGCCAAGAAACAGAAATGTACATCAGGAGATGAGTTTACCATGAACTGTTCTTCACTCTCTGTTATGAGATGAAAACCACTTTCTGTGCATGAACTCATGAATTCAATAACTGCATTTAGACGCCTCAGTTGAGATCAACCATATGATGACAGCTGTCCAACACAACAGCAGATGTCTTTATCATAGTTAGCTGGAATGAGTAATGATGAATAAGAAAGATGCGTTTGTATCAGTTTACGTAGTCGTGAGTTTCACTTTTTTTTTGGTCACATTTAAAAAATGAAAAGTAAGGTTAAGTTGTTCGCATAGAAAACAATATGTCTGTATTATTACAACTGTAGTTTTGCTATTGTATAGATTTGTCTAGTGTTTTGCCTTTGTTAACAGCGAAGATATGATTATTATTTTTAATGTTGGTAGTGATCAACAGCTCCTGTGTTTGAGTCTCGAGGCAGTTTTCTTTTAACCAAAAATGTATTTCCTTAAATAACACCAATGATGAAGGACAAAACAAATAAAAAATATGTTCTCTTAATTTACAAAGCAATTTCATAATAAAAGGAATAATCCGAATCTTCCGTGTCCTTTATTATTATTATGGACTCAATTTATTGACATTGATAATTCTATTGGGTCAATAATTTAGTTTTCACCTTGCTAATAATCAAACACGCATCTAACGATGCACAACAAAAAGATGTGGAAATGATCCACTGATTTAAAAGGGAATGAAAGTTAACATTATATTGTTCACTACACATCAGGGCCCTCAGGTGCTGTATAGTTACTGGAGATGCTTTCATATCAAGTTATGAGGTTACGTCTCGGTGTGACATTATTTAACTCTCTTTCATTCCTCTCTTCATTCAGCAGTTCAGTTGAACGGTTTGAGCGGAGCACATGATGGCGTCCGCAGCACCAGGTGAGTCCAGTGTGGCCTTATCAGTCCTCTCTGTCCACAGACATGACATTTGCTGCAACAATGTGCAGTTTGAGGCCAAGAGGGAGGGCGATAAATGAAGACGCCGCTCTCAACCCGATGATCAGACTGCAGACAGAACTATCTGACTATCTAACTATTGCACGTGATAATCAACTGATCCTGATACCAACCCCCCTGCCTGCCATTTAACAGTGAGAGAAAATAACCGCTGTTTTAACATCAAATGTGACTTTAACAATCATTTCATCTTTGGTGCTAAACCTCATTTTGAGTTTATTCAACGAATAGATTGGATCACAATCTAAAATGTATTTTCAACTGAACGAAACACACACACAAAAATGAAGTAGGCCTATTCAAGAGAAATTCATCCTCCCTGAAACAGTGTCTCTTACATTAAAGGTTACTTGTGAATAAATCAACGCTCTTTATTCTTACAGAGTCAGATTTTCAGCCTCTGAAGCGGAGCAGCAGTTATCAATTGCTGCCACCTAATCGTGAGTTTAACTGTTTGTTATGATATGAGTACAGTGTTCACTTTAATCCACCTTCAAACCGCTTTGACTTGTGGTCTCCTCCTCAGTGTCTGAGCTGAGGGTCGTTCTGCTGGGGAGCAGCTGGTCACAGAGGAGCTCAGTGGGGAACTTCATCCTGAGGGAGAACAAGTTCAACACTGAAAAAGAACCAGGCGTCTGTCTGACAGCCTCAGGAGGATATAAGGAGAAACAGATAGTTCTGATCAACACTCCAGACCTGCTGCATCCCAACATCTCTGACAACGAACTGGCTCAACATGTAAAGAACTGTGCAAGTCTCTCTCATCCTGGACCTCATGTGTTCCTGCTGGTTCTACACCGTGAAGACTTCACTGAGGAACTCAAAGAGAAGCTCTGCAGGGTCCTGAAACGCTTCAATGATCAATCATTGGATCATTCATTGATCCTGATAACGACATCTAGAGAGGAGCGTTCAGGCTTCATGGACAAAGACCAGCCCTTTGAAGACATGATCCGAATGAGTCAATACAGATATTTGTGGCAGAAGAACCTCGGACGTCCAGAACTGTTCACACGTTTTACTCAAATTGTAAAAGAAAACAATGGAGAGCACGTTAGCTTCGAAGTTTATGAGGATGCAACATCTGTTTTACCAGGTGATCATCAACGTCCATTTTCTATCACAGATGCTGTTAAAGCTGCTGGTAAGTGCAGAAAGAGACAATAAATACTTTGTTGGCAGAAGTCCTTCTTGGTGAGATTAAGGCATGAATGATTTCTTTTTGTTTTTCCAGGGCTGCATGGAGCTAAAACCAGTCCACAACTCTCCTTCCCAGAGAAAACCACAGAAACTCCCAGTAAGTAAAGTGATCACAGTACTGATCATGTGATGTCCTCAACCGAATACATCCCTCAATTCCTCCCTGTCGATAAGGAATATAACAGAATAAAGAGGCTAATCTGCGTCATAAACCACACAGGAGAGTTTCTACAGCATTCAGCAGGGGCTCTGCAGCCTGTAAACATTATTAAACAAACACAACAAGGCCATGCTAAACACACGCTTTGCTAACGGGCCAGACCTCTAGCCTTACTGGGAGTAGTTGAGAAGACATGTTTCTCATAGTTTCAACTCGTGGTGTCTTATACCAGAACCGAGTGGCGTGGTTTGAAGCAGCAGACTGGAGGGGCATAACTTCTCAGAAGCAGCATCATCGTTGTTCCCACCTTACACGAGCAGAATCAGACAGAATAGATCGTTTTTCCTCGTGGAGCTTGTTTCATACAAAGCAGCAGACGGCTGCAGGTCTCTGTGGCTGTGCGGTTACTGTGCCAGGGGGTTTGGTGTCACATTCTGCCCACATGGTGCAGATCCCAAAAAAACCTTGGGGTTTGGTGGTGTAATATTATTAGTGTTACAAACTGTTGTGTCGTTACAATGCTTTTTGTTGGTTATTGATTGTTGTTATAAAACTATAACCATGACTCCATCTCGCTACACGTGGGACCAGTAGTTCCAACCGCTGCGTCCTTGCCGTTGGTCGGTGAACAATATATTCTGCTGCCTGCTGAAAAGCGACAAAAGTCCTTACGGCTTTGCTATGTTTGATGGTATGTGAAAAATTCATACCTTATGGAAATTTGAGACTGGCCTGGGTTGAACCAGCACCCCCCCAGTGTAACTGCTTTCAGGGGGTGTGGTGGCCTGCTTTTGCATTTTCTGGTTTCGGTGCCTGGGACTCCGCTTCCTGACTCACACGTTGTCGCTCCCATAGAAAACACTCAATACTGGTGTTCTCATTTAGGTTGTTTATTTAAGTTTTACATTTGGTCGTTTAATTTGAACATGATTAACATAGTGGACAACGTGAGGTCAAAATACTGCCGATGTCCCGTCCAATACAAAAGCCAGCCCTTGTGACTCGGTCGCACCCCTCCTCTTATCCATTGATCCTCGTCAGCTGAATCAAATAAATCATGAGAAAGTTATTTCCAATATGAATCTCAAATACATTAAGGGAATACAGATCATTCCTACCAACAAAACAAATAAATATGTTGTAACAAAACAGAAAATACGGCTCCAACAGGGGAACAAACGAGGAGGTTTGTTGTCTGACTGGAATCCGCTGATTAGGAAGCACAGAATTCAGTAGCAGGAGGGAGATGTTGACGCACTTCCTGCATGGCACGAATCTTGATTGATGAAAACACCACATTTACATCCAGGTCCAGGTATTGTACATAGGGGAATTTGCTTTTGAAATAATATGTGTTATAATATACATTTGAATGCGTATTTTACAGCCAAATAAAATAGTATGTTTTCTTTATAATACATTTGACACTTTACTTCACGTGGATCTTTCTCTCTTTCTTGCGACAGCTTCTGGATTCAGGATTGTTCTGCTGGGAAAAAGTGAAGACAAACAGACAAAACTCTGTAACTTCATCATCAAGGACGGTTTTCAAAACCCCAAAGACAAACAACGTGAGGTCACTTTTGGGGAATGGAAAGGAAAACCAGTAACAGTAGTGAAAGGCCCAAACATCTTCAGTCTGTCCATGGATGTTGTGAGAAGAGAAGTGAAGCGCTGTGCGACTCTTTGTTCACCTGGACCAAACGTTCTGCTGCTGTTAGTGAAGCCTTCTGATTTCACTGAGGAGAAAAGGAAGACACTGAAGTTCTTCCTAGGTTTTCTACATAAAGATGCCTTCAAACACTCAATGGTCGTCCTCACACATGAGGGTCAAAAGAGTTTTTCTGTTAATGACCTCCTAAAGGATTTTGGAGGAAGATACTACAGCATGTCTCAAGGTAACCATAGATCATTAATGGAGAAGATGGAGAATATTTTGAGTAAAAACAGGGGAACCTTCCTCACCTTCAATGAAGAGGTGAAACCATCTCTGAACCTGGTTCTGTGTGGGAGGACAGGAGCATGGAAGACTTCAGCAGCCAAGGCCATTTTAGGTCAGACAGAGCTTCCCTCCAACTCCTCAGAGAGTGTTAAACATCAGGGAGAGGTGTGCGGATGGTGGGTCTCTGTGGTGGAGCTGCCTGCCTTGTATGGAAGACTTCAGGAGGCCGTGATGGAGGAATCCCTCAGGTGTGTCTCCCTCTGTGGTCCTGAGGGCGTCCACGTCTTCATTCATGTCCTACCCGTGGGTCCCCTCACTGATGAAGACAAGGGAGAGGTAGAGACCATCCAGAACACGTTCAGCTCTCGGGTCAACTACTTCACCATGATTCTGTTCACTGTGGAGTCAGATTCTAAAGCTCCAGCCTTTTCTGACTTTATAAACAAAACAAAGGAGCTCCAGGTGCTCTGTCAGAGGTCTGGAGGAGTATATGTTCTCAACATCAAGGACCAGCAGCAGATCCCAGAGCTGTTTGATTACGTGGAAAAGATTTGGCGACTAAAGGAAAGACCAAACAGCTACACAACAGAAATATTTGCACATGCTCAAATAAAAAAGATCAGCTCACTACAAGCGGAGCTGGAGGACAAGAGAACAACAAGTCGTGTGCCCTGTAAGTATTGTACATGTATTGTAATAATACATCATAACGCTTGTTTTGTTGTGATTCATCCAGTGGACTTTGCACCTTGCAGTTGGTTTTGTTCCAATTCTCACATTTGAGTTAACTCCAGTTCTTCTTACTCTACAGGTGTGGAAGACAAGCAGAGCCCAGAGGCTCTCAGGATCGTGCTGGTAGGAAAGACTGGCAGTGGAAAGAGTTCCTCAGGAAACACCATTCTAGGAAGGAAGGAGTTTGTAGCCAAATTAAGCCAGACATCCGTCACCAGATGTTGTCAGAAAGCAGAGAGTGAAGTGGACGGACGTCCTGTCGCTGTGGTCGACACTCCTGGTCTGTTTGACACGACTTTGTCCAACAAGGAGGTTAACGACGAGATGGTGAAATGCATCAGTCTTCTGGCTCCTGGACCACATGTCTTCCTGCTGGTGTTACACATCGGTAGATTAACAAAAGAGGAACAGGAGACCATACAACTCATCAAGGAAAGCTTTGGAAAAAATGCTGAAAAGTTCATCTTCATCCTTTTCACCGGAGGAGATAATTTAAAGCGAGAAAAGAGGTCCATTGATGAGTACATTGAAAAAGATTGTGTGGACCAATTCAAGAGAATGATTGAAACATGTGGGAGAAGGTACCATGTGTTCGACAACTGCGATGAAGAAAACCAAATGCAGGTCAGTGAGCTGAAAACCAAGATTGAGGCAATGTTGAAAATAAATGGAGGCAACTGCTACACGAACGAGATGTTCCAGGAGGCCGAGGCTGCGATAAAAAAGGAAGTAGAGAAAATTCTGAAGGAAAAGGAGGAACAGATGCAGATAGAAAGGGAGGAATTAAAAAAAAAACATGAGGAAGAAATAGAAGCAATGAATAGAAAAATGGAAGAACAGAAAGCAGAAATTGAAAAGGAGAGAAAACTGAGAACAAATCAACTTGAAGAAATGAAGGAAAAGATCAACAAGGAACGTAAGCAGAGAGAGAGAGAACAGAAGATGAGAGAAGAGGACGACAGGAAGAGAAAACAAGAGGAAACCGATCAACAGCTAAGCTGGAAACAAAAAGTTGAAGCTTTGGAGCAAAAAATAAGAGAAGAGTCAGAATCAAAGGAAACCATTGACAAGAAGTTGGAGGAGATGACAAAAGAGCGAGAGAACAAGGAGAAAATACAAAATGAATATTGGGAAAGACGAAATCAAGAAAATGAACTGATAAAACTGGAGCAGCAGACCAAACTGAAGAGGCTTCAAGAACAATATGAAAAGGAAAGAGAAGATTATGAAGAGAAAAGAAAGGAAGAAGATCGTATCAGAACGGAGCAAGAGGAGAAAAAGCTAAAAGAGTTTGAGGAAAACTTCAAGACAAAACTGGAGAACTTACAGAATAAGTATGAAGAGGAGGCCAGAATTAAAGCTGAAGAGTTCAATGAATTCAGAGATAGGAAAGAAGTAGACTTTTCAGCTTTAGTAGACAGACACATGACAGAAGTGGTGAATCTGAAACATCAGCACGAAAAAGACTTCCAAGAGAAGCAAGAAGAATACGACATGTTGAAGGATCTCACGAGCCACAAAGAAACATCTCTAAAGCAAGATATGGATAAACTACAGAACAAACATACAACAGAAATGGCAGACCTGATTCTGATACTGCTGACCCAAAAGAAAGAAAACAAGAACAAAATGAAGGCAATGCAGGCGTCACACAAAACAGAAGCGGATAACATGAAAAAACAGCTTTTGGCCAAACACAAAACTAAAGAGAAGGAACAAATTAAATTACTAGAGATAAAGCACAATAAGGAAATGAAAGCCACAAACAAGGAACCTTTAACCCAAAGAGAAGAACTGCAACAAAGAAAAGCTGAACTGTCTCTTCAACATGAAGTACAAATGAAACAGCTGAAATTGGGCTTGCTCACCCAAATGCATGAACAACAGAAGAACGAAATGGCTGAATTAGAGAAAAAACATCAACAAATATTGGATCAATTCAAAGAGGAACTTTTGGAAGAAAACAAAAGAAATGAGAAAGAAAAAATAGATGAACTGCAGAAGAGACACAAACAAGAAGTGTGGGAGTTGAAACAGCAAGTTGAGACCCAAGACAAAGATGGTGAAGCTGAAGAAATGGAGGAACTGCAAAAAAAGCATGAACAAGAAATTAATGAGTTAAAAGAGAAACTTTTGAGCCCAGAAGAGGAACGGTCCTGCTGCATTGCGTGATTTGATCGTTGCAGAATGTGACGTAAAAGCAGCCTGAAACAGAGCGGCTCATTGGTCCAGCTCACTGGTAGCATGTTGCTACCTGAACGCCTCCGCTGGATTCACTCACCTGCAGCCCGGATAAAGTCAATGAACAACTGTTTTCCAGGTACTTGCTAACCCAATAAATAGATTAGACTAATAGACTTAAACTTGATGTCGAGAGGGATATTCAAATGTCATAGAAGCCCGTTTATTCTCATCTGCTTTAAGCACATTTGGCTTCTTATATTGTTTTTCTGTTATTGGCTTGCTTCTTAAGAATATAAACAATTGGGGCAAAGGGGCAACCGTGGCGTATGGAGTAGAGAGGGTGCGCCGGGAGCTGCAGGGTTGGCGATTCGAACCGCGGCTGCTTCATATCCCACGTCAAAGTGTCCCTGGCGGCTCCCCGGGCGCCTTTACTGGCAGCACACTGCTCCCACTCTGTGGGATGGGTTGAAAAACATGTAGGCCATGTGTTAAAAATGCAATGTAAGCCGCGTCAGCTATATGTGTAATGTAGAATATTTGCTTTTTAAAGAAGTTAGTGGAGTACTTTTTCACATGTTCATTTATCCAGAAGGTTTTCTCTGATGTAAAGTGGATTCATGCTTCTGGCTTAGTTGAACAGTGATGGTAGACGTGTCTTCAGGATAGAAAAGTGATCCGTGCCAACACCAGCAGTATTGATGAGAGAGCAGTAATGAATGTTAATGTCCAGTTTGATTTTTGTCAAAACGCTCAGGTGTCTCAATCACAGCTGTATTAAATTTGATCTATAATCACATTTGAGCATTATTTTTTTGTATTCAGTTTTTATGAATTTGTATGTTTGTAAACTAATTAAGTCATAATTTAACAATACCTAGAAATGTGTGATCCTCTTGTTCATAAATAAACTGAAACATGTGATGGCTGAGAACAATTTCTTCCATGTGCTGTTTTCATTGATTTCCTTTGATTCAATAAACATATTGTTTATAATGTTCCAGCGCCTCTGGATCAAAGGCCAGCTCGTATCACATGCATACCTTTGATGTAACTAACAACCCGTGTACTGACTATAATAACAACTCTTGTTTCTGTCAGTGACAACAAATTTGTAATAATGAAACTAAAATCCCATATTAATGGCAGTGACGACTACCATCATCTTTTTACTGCTGATGATGTTTGCTGGAGCGATGAAGGCGGCGGCCAATCTCTCCATCTGTGTTTGTGTGCGTTGGTGGGAAGAAGGTTTAGGAATCCTGAAGCTAATTTTCAAGACTCAATGTTGACAAACTGACCACAGAAATGTTGCTTAATAACTTAACTTCCCACCTGAAAAAGTCCTAAAATTACATTCTGTAACTTAAATAAATCTTTAAATCTAAATCTCTAATCTTTAGTATCTGATTCCTCCAGGAGACGGTGTAGTTCTACGACAGATGTTTGTAGCATCTCTAATTGTGTAGAAATGTTCTGTTCTGAAGATGGGGTTTTATTTTGACGATTAAATATTGAATTGCTGAACGCATGTTAGGTGTGTGTGCACAGTGACGCAGGTCAAAGGTTGAGTCTCGCTCAGCCTGGAGTTTGACGATGTCTCTGTTAATGACCTCCTAAAGCATTGTAGAGCTTCTGTCCAACTCCTCAGAGTGTTAAAAATCAGGGACTGGTGCTCCAGATCGGACGCTTTATAAGAGAGGAGAAAGAGCCTGCAGAGCTCATCAAGAAATATTTGTGAAAGAAGTCTGGAGACTTCATCAACATTGTATCCACCTTGTATCCAAGGAGATGATCTGGGAAATCAAACAATTGAGTTACTTACAGGACTGGTGACGACTCTCTGAAAAAACTGATAAATGACTGGAGGCAGAAACCAGGTCTTTAACAACAGAAATCCAACAGAGCGCACACAAGTCAGAGATTTGATAAGGAAGACCTACAAAGTGATGAAGGCGAGTGGAGGCGGCTACTTCACCTCAGAGATGTTCAAAGAGGCCGAAGCAGCAATAAAGAAAGGTGGAGAGAATCCTGAAGAAAGATGAAGAGGTAAAGAGACAGAGAAGGAGCTACAAAAAAAACATGGAAGAAGAAACTAAAGCAGTGGAGAGAACAATGAAACAGAAAGATGCAACTGAACAAGAGAGGGCCAAAGAACTCAGAGAAATGGAAGAAAACTTCAACAAGGAGCGAGAGGAGAGAAGGAAAGAACAGAAAAAGAGGACAGGATGAGGAAAAGAAGAGAAGATATTACACGATAGGACCGGGAGAAAAGACGTGTCAAAGAGGTGAAGAAGAGTAAAGAAGAGATGGAAAAGCAAAAAAAAAAGCTCTGGGAAGAGGAAAGAAAAGAATGGTGGCTTAAACAAGCTCAAGAAAATGTATTTGGAGCAAAAGAGACTGAAAGACCTGCAAGAAGAATTCGAAAAGGAAATAGAAAAACCAAATAAAGAGGAGGCCAGAAAACAAGATGAGTGATAATGCAGAGACTTTTGTCTTGGCACCTTTCTAATTTGAGGCTAAAGCCCAACTCTCATCAGTGTTTATGAATGTCGCTTTATTGTGAGATACGGCTTTGGGATAGAAATGGAAATGTATAATACATACATTTCTGTAAAGAAAATTGATAACTAAACCATTATTTCACCAGCAAAATCTATATAATTATGTTTCAGCTGTAGCATATATCAGCACAGAAAAGAAGAATGACACATTCATTAAAAAAAATCTCCTACGGTTTAATAGCAATGCATGTAGTGATACATCTTTGTTTAACACTGTTGGAGTTTAGGTACAAGCAGGAGGAGGAAAGTTACTCAAGGAAGAAGGTTTCCAGTCCGTAAGAGTCACTTGCATAGTGTCAAGGATAAAACATGGTATAGTGGTTAGATTGACATAGTTAAGAAGCTTAAAGTGTTTAAGGGGAATTAGGGGAAGGTCAGAAACATTATTTGGAAGAAGGGGAGGTAAATGCTACAATGTCGTAAGTAGCCCACCAAACAGGGCGTCACTGCTTCATTTCTTGTTGGAAAGCAGGGCTTTTATTTCATCCTCTGGCTTGAGGCTATGCCATTGAGCTATTGGCCTACGAGGGTTCGCCAGCATGTCTTCCCAGTGCCGTTGCTCAGTCCCAGTACCGTTAAGGCCCAGCAGCACTTTCCCAATGGCATCATTCTTCCCAATCTTATCGTAGTCCAACACAGTCACTCCAACCTGCACCTTCTGTAAAGAAATATATACGAACACAAAGAAAACTAATGAAGTGTCTGATGAATTACGTTTGTGTGTGTGTGTTTGTATAAATAAATGTACCTCTATTTGTTCACATGTCACTTCAAAGCTGAAAGACTCGTTGTAGTACGGGTTTAAAGTGTTCTTCTTTGTGGTTGTTTTCTTTTTCTTGAGTCTTTTCCCGTTCTGCATTAAGTGGAGCTTCACGTAAGGGTCTGACGGAGAGAACAATGAGGTTTTTCATCAGAGCAGCGGATTCACATCGTGGCACCGATGCAGCAACTCCCTCAGTGAAACACAACTATTGCAGTAGCTTCTGCACATTTCCTTGAATTAGGAACTGAAAAGCAGTTCAAAAGCCTTGTTACTCAACAAAAGTTAACAAATCTGGGCTATTTAGGGTGCATATGAAAAAATAACTATTATGCATGTTTACCACTACTTGAAAAGCTGTAAACTAAAAGTGTTACTTTAATGTGGCAGTGAAATTGTCTATACAGTAAAGTACTTTGTTACTGCTTGGCTCACCAGATAATCCACCCACATCCATTTTCTTCAGGTTTTTGGCCTCTAAAATCACCACCGTCAGCTTCCCTGCAGATGGCACATACCTCAAGGACAAGCATATGTCTCCAAGGCGTTCGCTCTAATAGGGAGAAAAAGAATTGAGTATGTTATTGGGGAATTGCCCTAGAAAAGTGTAAATATCAAAAGGAGAAAGTATGTGATTTTATTCAAGCCAAAGAGACACCAAATCCACAATTGAATCTTTTTGTGCCCCCCCTCCCCCCTCTTCCTCTTTCATGTGTGCTCCCACCTCCTCTTTCTCTGCCTTCTGCAGATCCCTCCACTCCTGCAGAGACTGGCTGAAGTCCACGCCGCTCATCGGTATCTTCACAGCGCCGATGGCGTCGTGTTTAGAGAAGCGATCAAAGTCGTACACGGTCATCACCAGTGTCTTCCCGCCCAGCTCAGTGTAGGGCACCTACGGAAACACGTGTCAAAGACGACAACCTTGAAACGTGCGATACACTACGCGCTGATCGTGAACCTGTGAATCAGTCGGGATAAACAATTGACTTTTTCTTCTCCAGTCTACCTTAAAGGTGAAAGTCTCATTGAAGTTGGGTTCAAGAGTCTTCCTGTGGACTTTGGTTTCAAACTTTTTCTTTTTGTCCGGGAGCAGGTAGAGTTTAACATAGGGGTCCGAACTACCACCCACGTCCATCGCTGGGAGTTCAGCACCTTGTAAGATGCCGACTATCAGCTAAAATGAGATTGCAAAAGAAATGAATGAGATAAAATCTGGTTTACCGACAGACTGTTGGCAGATTGTGAGCAAAACACGTCACGGTGAAAAGCAGCATCTCACCGTATCATCTGTGAAGTTGTAGTCTAATGTGAAATGTATAATAATAATATAATAAAGATTGTTTTATGGTTCATCTGTGTTGTTTTCATTTGTGGAAGAATGAATGAATGAATGAACGAACAAATGGTCATTGGTATAAGTACAATTACTGCCTTTTATTGATACAAGGAAGGTTTATTTGTCACATACATAGAAATACTTACGTAAAGCATGTAGTAAAATTTCGTTTAGTGTTAAGCTTTTTCTGTGCGAGTGTGAAGAAAGAAAGATCAAGAAATATTAGTCATAAATAGCAAAAGGAAGTATAAAGTGCAGTGTGTGTACAGTCCATGTGCAAGTGAAAAAAAGTGTAATTGCTGTTTATATAGTCATTGTGTGTGTTCAGGATACGGAATGCTTGAGGAAAGAAGCTCCTCAGTCTCTCTGTTCTGGTCTTGTAGCAGCAGAGACGTTTGCCTGACCTCAGTGTTTTGAAATGTCCATGGTCAGGATGTTAGGAGTCCTTTACAATACTTTGGGCGCTGGTACGTAGTCTTCTCTTGTAGGTCTTCTGCAGAATAGGGAGAGGTGCTCTGATGGTGTGGCACTGCAGTCACGGGCTGTACAGTTCCCATACCAAGTGATGATGCTGTCAGGACACACAGCTGATGGGTGCTGATGCTCTGAACTTCCTCAGCTGACGTCGGAAGTACAGTCTTTGCCTTGATTTCTTCAGTGTGTGCTGGGCGTTCACAGTCCATGTTAGATCGTCAGTAAGGTGTTTTCCCAGGTATGTCAAACTTGATCTAAATGACTTAACATAAGCATAACATTATCGTATCATTGTTCTTATTGGACGCGGCTATGTATACAGCACTATTTATAATCCATTTAGCCCACTTTTGAGGATGTTCGGGTGTTTTCCTCTTTATCGGTAACGTTGAATCTAACCACGGTGGCCGCCATCTTGCCATTCTGTTGACAAAAAACAGCTACCTCATTTGTGTAGAACGATCACGTGTCGAAAGGTGCCAGCACTCGCGACCAAGATCCTATTACGCTCTGAAGAAACTAGTTCGGCATAAAACATAGACGCACCAAAAATTGACTGGAAAGTGAGCGACGAACTTTTTTTTGGTAGCTAAGCACAACTTGTTATTTTTTATGAGCTAAAGATTAGGTAGATGCGCGACTTTGGAGCGGGTTGAAACGAAAACAGTGTTCACATTGCGGCCTATGGTGAGGATTTACGTTTAATTTCCGGCAGATGTTTTACTTTCTCTTTCCAGCTGTATGGGGCAGTGAGCCGTCAGGCGGTGAGTGAACCACCAAAACGATTAAAGAGGAAGTAAAAGCAGTTAATGTGTATGAAAACTAAATCTGCTGATTCCAGTCATTTATGATTAAGCAGCTGATCATCTATCAGCTGCTGAATCTGACTGGAATCAGCAGATTTAATTTATCAGTATGATTATTATTAGTGCAGCACAGAGCTGCCAACTTTTCAAAAAACCTTGGAGTGAGATTTTGTCGGGGGTGACCAAAATTTTGCCGCGCACGCAGCCACACACGTTGGTGGCTCAAATATCAGGAAATTGGAATTCATTTGGCGTAGTACCCATGTTGTACCCTGCATTCTGGTGGTTTGTGGGGCCCAAAGTCGTTGATAGGGGCGGCCTACTGGAGATGGACAACATCCTGTGAAGCAAAGACATAGCTGAAGGTCCACCCCCAGGACATTTGGGTTTAAGTAGATGTTATTTCATGCATTCTCGTGGATTTTTGGGTGGTATGCTTGAACTTATTCTGATTTATGTTCATCTGCTCATGACTTGTTGGGCCTTCTAGACTTGAGCTGAACATTCAACCAGAAAACTATTGCTGTGCCTCAATGACTGTCTATGTACCACAATATAGCCTAATTAATAGACCTGTGTTTAAGATTAGATTAGCAGCAGTGCTGCTTGTTATGACAGCTGAGTTTACATTCACCACTCAAAATCACACGCACAAACACAACAAATAATTTCTTTCAAGATTTAAAGTTTAAGAGAGTGAGTACTTAATTGAACCACATGTCATTAACATACCTTAGTCTTTGCTCCTCCTGAGTTTCTCCCGCGGTTGTGTCTGTTTGAAAATCTTCTTCTGTTGCTAACTTCGGGACTCTTTGGGGTAAATAGGATGTCTATGCAGCGAATGGGTTTACAGATGCGCTCCTTAGCGCCATCTATTGTCGGGGAGTTTGAAAAGGAACGAACGCGCTTCGGCCCAAAATCAGATTTTTTTTTTTGCCGTGAGAAATTGGTTGTGTGGCGTGAGTGCGTGTGAAAACATGCAAAAGCGTGTGTCACACGGCAAAACCGTGAGAGTTGGTAGGCCTGGTGCAACAGCTTTTCACTTTTATAGCTTTAGTGCACTATGGACACAAGGCACGTAACGTTAGTTATCTTTACGGTCACCGCAGTGTTTTTGACTTTTTACCGCCACCTCCGAGCAGCCGACATTCGGTTAGAAGCACCGGGGTGGGGCTGCTGGCTACCGGAGGGCACCCGAGGCTTCCCCGCGGCCTGAGGAAGGAGACCCGGGGTAGCGTGGGGTTATACACCCGTCCTTCCCTCCTCCGTCGGGGAGATCACCGGGGCTCTGTCTCCCCCGACGAGATGGACGAGTCATCGGCGCGGAGAGAGGGCAATAGCGCGCCTGCAGCATAATGATAAAAATGGCGGTGTGGCTAGCTGCGGTAACTACAATCCCCACTGTCGACCAAGGGGATTCTCCCGTGTTATCGCGATAGCTCTGAAAACAATGAGATGGCGCGTGACGTCATCCACACGAGGACAATGCAATTCAATAGTTTTGTTCATTTGAAAAACAAATGTGAACCTGAAAGTTTAAGTTATGTTGTTGAACATTGAAGACATCTATTCAAAATAAAAATAAGTATAAAATAATATTTTTGGGTTGAATATAGTTTTGACTCAGCTCTACCGGTGTATATATATATATATTTTTGACTAAAATGTTTTTTTTGCATCTTCACTTACATTCATTTTGTGATATTCGCTGTATTGTATTTTTCGTTAGCAGATTTTATATTTTCACATACAAATCTTTCTTTTATTTTGAATACATTGTTGTATTTTTCAATGTTCAACAACAAAACATAAACTTTTGTTTTTCAAATGAACAAAACTTTTGACCTGGATTTGGCTCTATACAAGGAGAGATGTAAAGGAGCGTTTGAGTAAGGAAGCTTAGTGAAGCTAACTGTTCATTTAGTTTTCTATGTTGTTGTCTCTTGTTCCACTGTGTTGCTGTATTCCTGCACATTTCCCCTCTGTGGGACTAATAAAGGCTGACAAGGCCAACAAAGATTTATTCAGTCTTTCCTGAAGATGGACTCAAAATTACTGCCAACAAACAGAAATGTTCATCAGGAGATGAGTTTACCAGAAACTGTTCTTCACTCTCTGTTATGAGATGAAAACCACTTTCTGTGCATGAACTCATGAATTCAATAACTGCATTTAGACGCCTCAGTTGAGATCAACCATATGATGACAGCTGTCCAACACAGCAGCAGATGTCTTTATCATAGTTAGCTGGAATGAGTAATGATGAATAAGAAAGATGCGTTTGTATCAGTTTACGTAGTCGTGAGTTTCACTTTTTTTTTTAGTCACATTTAAAAAATGAAAAGTAAGGTTAAGTTGTTCGCATAGAAAACAATATGTCTGTATTATTACAACTGTAGTTTTGCTATTGTATAGATTTGTCTAGTGTTTTGCCTTTGTTAACAGCGAAGATATGATTATTATTTTTAATGTTGGTAGTGATCAACAGCTCCTGTGTTTGAGTCTCGAGGCAGTTTTCTTTTAACCAAAAATGTATTTCCTTAAATAACACCAATGATGAAGGACAAAACAAATAAAAAATATGTTCTCTTAATTTACAAAGCAATTTCATAATAAAAGGAATAATCCGAATCTTCCGTGTCCTTTATTATTATTATGGACTCAATTTATTGACATTGATAATTCTATTGGGTCAATAATTTAGTTTTCACCTTGCTAATAATCAAACACGCATCTAACGATGCACAACAAAAAGATGTGGAAATTATCCACTGATTTAAAAGGGAATGAAAGTTAACATTATATTGTTCACTACACATCAGGGCCCTCAGGTGCTGTATAGTTACTGGAGATGCTTTCATATCAAGTTATGAGGTTACGTCTCGGTGTGACATTATTTAACTCTCTTTCATTCCTCTCTTCATTCAGCAGTTCAGTTGAACGGTTTGAGCGGAGCACATGATGGCGTCCGCGGCACCAGGTGAGTCAAGTGTGGCCTTATCAGTCCTCTCTGTCCACAGACATGACATTTGCTGCAACAATGTGCAGTTTGAGGCCAAGAGGGAGGGCGATAAATGAAGACGCCGCTCCCAACCCGATGATCAGACTGCAGACAGAACTATCTGACTATCTAACTATTGCACTTGATAATCAACTGATCCTGATACCAACCCCCCTGCCTGCCATTTAACAGTGAGAGAAAATAACCGCTGTTTTAACATTAAATGTGACTTTAACGATCATTTCATATTTGATGCTAAACCTCATTTTGAGTTTATTGAACGTAGAGATTGGATCACAATATACAATGTATTTTCAACTGAAAGAAACACACACAAAAAAATGAAGTAGGCCTATTCAAGAGAAATTCATCCTCCCTGAAACAGTGTCTCTTACATTAAAGGTTACTTGTAAATAAATCAACGCTCTTTATTCTTACAGAGTCAGGTGATCTTCAGCCTCTGAAGCGGAGCAGCAGTTATCAATTGCTGCCACCTAACCGTGAGTTTAACTGTTTGTTATGATATGAGTACAGTGTTCACTTTAATCCACCTTCAAACCGCTTTGACTTGTGGTCTCCTCCTCAGTGTCTGAGCTGAGGGTCGTTCTGCTGGGGAGCAGCTGGTCTCAAAGGAGCTCAGTGGGGAACTTCATCCTGAGGGAGAACAAGTTCAACACTGAAGAAGAACCAGGCGTCTGTCTGACAGCCTCAGGAGGATATAAGGAGAAACAGATAGTTCTGATCAACACTCCAGACCTGCTGCATCCCAACATCTCTGACAACGAACTGGCTCAACATGTAAAGAACTGTGCAAGTCTCTCTCATCCTGGACCTCATGTGTTCCTGCTGGTTCTACACCGTGAAGACTTCACTGAGGAACTCAAAGAGAAGCTCTGCAGGGTCCTGAAACGCTTCAATGATCAATCATTGGATCATTCATTGATCCTGATAACGACATCTAGAGAGGAGCGTTCAGGCTTCATGGACAAAGACCAGCCCTTTGAAGACATGATCCGAATGAGTCAATACAGATATTTGTGGCAGAAGAACCTCGGACGTCCAGAACTGTTCACACGTTTTACTCAAATTGTAAAAGAAAACAATGGAGAGCACGTTAGCCTCGAAGTTTATGAGGATGCAACATGTGTTTTACCAGGTGATCATCAACGTCCATTTTCTATCACAGATGCTGTTAAAGCTGCTGGTAAGTGCAAAAAGAGACAATAAATACTTTGTTGGCAGAAGTCCTTCTTGGTGAGATTAAGACATGAATTATTTCCTTTTGTTTTTCCAGGGCTGCATGGAGCTAAAACCAGTCCACAACTCTACTTCTCAGAGAAAACCACAGAAACTCCCAGTAAGTAAAGTGATCACAGTGCTGATCATGTGATGTCCTTAACCAATTGGTGCCACATTCTGCCCACATGGTGCAGATCCCAAAAAATCCTTGGGGTTTGGTGGTGTAATATTATTAGTGTTACAAACTGTTGTGTCGTGGTGTTTTACCTTGTTTAATTTGTTTTGTTGGTTATTGATTGTTTTTATAAAACTATAACCATGACTCCATCTCGCTACACGTGGGACCAGTAGTTCCAAGCGCTGCGTTCTTTGCCGTTGGTCGGTGAACAATATAGTCTGCTGCCTGCTGAAAAGCGACAAAAGTCCTTACGGCTTTGCTATGTTTGAAGGTATGTGAAAAATTCATACCTTATGGAAATTTGAGACTGGCCTGGGTTGAACCAGGACCCCCCCAGTGTAACTGCTTTCAGGGGGTGTGGTGGCCTGCTTTTTCATTTTCTGGTTTCGGTGCCTGGGACTCCGCTTCCTGACTCACACGTTGTCGCTCCCATAGAAAACACTCAATACTGGTGTTCTCATTTAGGTTGTTTATTTAAGTTTTACATTTGGTCGTTTAATTTGAACATGATTAACATAGTGGACAACGTGAGGTCAAAATACTCCCGATGTCCCGTCCAATACAAAAGCCAGCCCTTGTGACTCGGTCGCACCCCTCCTCTTATCCATTGATCCTCGTCAGCTAAATCAAATAAATCATGAGAAAGTTATTTCCAATATGAATCTCAAATACATTAAGGGAATACACATCATTCCTACCAGCAAAAAAAATAAATATGTTGTAACAAAACAGAAAATACGGCTCCAACAGGGGAACAGACGAGGAGGTTTGTTGTCTGACTGGAATCCGCTGATTAGGAAGCACAGAATTCAGTAGCAGGAGGGAGATGTTGACGCACTTCCTGCATGGCACGAATCTTGATTGATGAAAACACTACATTTACATCCAGGTCCAGGTATTGTACATAGGGGAATTTGCTTTTGAAATAATATGTGTTATAATATACATTTGAATACGTATTTTACAGCCAAATAAAATTGTATGTTTTCTTCATAATACATTTGACACTTTACTTCACGTGGATCTTTCTCTCTTTCTTGCGACAGCTTCTGAATTCAGGATTGTTCTGCTGGGAAAAAGTGAAGACAAACAGACAAAACTCTGTAACTTCATCATCAAGAAAGGTTTTCAAAACACCAAAGACAAACAACGTGAGGTCACTTGTGGGGAATGGAAAGGAAAACCAGTAACAGTAGTGAAAGGCCCAAACATCTTCAGTCTGTCCATGGATGTTGTGAGAAGAGAAGTGAAGCGCTGTGCGACTCTTTGTTCACCTGGACCAAATGTTCTGCTGCTGTTAGTGAAGCCTTCTGATTTCACTGAGGAGAAAAGGAAGACACTGAAGTTATTCCTAGGTTTTCTACATCAAGATGCCTTCAAACACTCAATGGTCGTCCTCACACATGAGGGTCAAAAGAGTTTTTCTGTTAATGACCTCCTAAAGGATTTTGGAGGAAGATACTACAGCATGTCTCAAGGTAACCATAGATCATTAATGGAGAAGATGGAGAATATTGTGAGTGAAAACAGGGGAACCTTCCTCACCTTCAATGAAGAGGTGAAACCATCTCTGAACCTGGTTCTGTGTGGGAGGACAGGAGCATGGAAGACTTCAGCAGCCAAGGCCATTTTAGGTCAGACAGAGCTTCCCTCCAACTCCTCAGAGAGTGTTAAACATCAGGGAGAGGTGTGCGGATGGTGGGTCTCTGTGGTGGAGCTGCCTGCCTTGTATGGAAGACTTCAGGAGGCCGTGATGGAGGAATCCCTCAGGTGTGTCTCCCTCTGTGGTCCTGAGGGCGTCCACGTCTTCATTCATGTCCTACCCGTGGGTCCCCTCACTGATGAAGACAAGGGAGAGGTAGAGACCATTCAGAACACGTTCAGCTCTCGGGTCAACTACTTCACCATGATTCTGTTCACTGTGGAGTCAGATCCTAAAGCTCCAGCCTTTTCTGACTTTATAAACAAAACAAAGGAGCTCCAGGAGCTCTGTCAGAGGTCTGGAGGAGAATATGTTCTCAACATCAAGGACCAGCAGCAGATCCCAGAGCTGTTTGATTACGTGGAAAAGATTTGGCGATTAAAGGAAAGACCAAACAGCTACACAACAGAAATATTTGCACATGCTCAAATAAAAAAGATCAGCTCACTACAAGCGGAGCTGGAGGACAAGAGAACAACAAGTCGTGTGCCCTGTAAGTATTGTACATGTATTGTAATAATACATCATAATGCTTGTTTTGTTGTGATTCATCCAGTGGACTTTGCACCTTGCAGTTGGTTTTGTTCCAATTCTCACATTTGAGTTAACTCCAGTTCTTCTTACTCTACAGGTGTGGAAGGCAAGCAGAGCCCGGAGGCTCTCAGGATCGTGCTGATAGGAAAGACTGGCAGTGGAAAGAGTTCCTCAGGAAACACCATTCTAGGAAGGAAGGAGTTTGTAGCCAAATTAAGCCAGACATCCGTCACCAGATGTTGTCAGAAAGCAGAGAGTGAAGTGGACGGACGTCCTGTCGCTGTGGTCGACACTCCTGGTCTGTTTGACACGACTTTGTCCAACACGGAGGTTAACGACGAGATTGTGAAATGCATCAGTCTTCTGGCTCCTGGACCACATGTCTTCCTGCTGGTGTTACACATCGGTAGATTAACAAAAGAGGAACAGGAGACCATACAACTCATCAAGGAAAGCTTTGGAAAAAATGCTGAAAAGTTCATCTTCATCCTTTTCACCGGAGGAGATAATTTAAAGCGAGAAAAGAGGTCCATTGATGAGTACATTGAAGAAGATTGTCTGGAACAATTCAAGAGAATGATTGAAACATGTGGGAGAAGGTACCATGTGTTTGACAACTGCGATGAAGAAAACCAAATGCAGGTCAGTGAGCTGAAAACCAAGATTGAGGCAATGTTAAAAATAAATGGAGGCAACTGCTACACGAACGAGATGTTCCAGGAGGCCGAGGCTGCGATAAAAAAGGAAGTAGAGAAAATTCTGAAGGAAAAGGAGGAACAGATGCAGATAGAAAGGGAGGAATTAAAAAAAAAACATGAGGAAGAAATAGAAGCAATGAATAGAAAAATGGAAGAACAGAAAGCAGAAATTGAAAAGGAGAGAAAACTGAGAACAAATCAACTTGAAGAAATGAAGGAAAAGATCAACAACGAACGTAAGCAGAGAGAGAGAGAACAGGAGATGAGAGAAGAGGACGACAGGAAGAGAAAACAAGAGGAAACCGATCAACAGCTAAGCTGGAAACAAAAAGTTGAAGCTTTGGAGCAAAAAATAAGAGAAGAGTCAGAATCAAAGGAAACCATTGACAAGAAGTTGAAGGAGATGACAAAAGAGCGAGAGAACAAGGAGAAAATACAAAATGAATATTGGGAAAGACGACATCAAGAAAATGAACTGATAAAACTGGAGCAGCAGACCAAACTGAAGAGGCTTCAAGAACAATATGAAAAGGAAAGAGAAGATTATGAAGAGAAAAGAAAGGAAGAAGATCGTATCAGAACGGAGCAAGAGGAGAAAAAGCAAAAAGAGTTTGAGGAAAACTTCAAGACAAAACTGGAGAACTTACAGAAGAAGTATGAAGAGGAGGCCAGAATTAAAGCTGAAGAGTTCAATGAATACAGAGATAGGAATGAAGTAGACTTTTCAGCTTTAGTAGACAGACACATGGCAGATGTGTTGAATCTGAAACATCAGCACGAAAAAGACTTCCAAGAGAAGCAAGAAGAATACGACAGGTTGAAGGATCTCACAAGCCACAAAGAAACATCTCTAAAGCAAGATATGGATAAACTACAGAACAAACATACAACAGAAATGTCAGAGCTGATTCTGATACTGCTGACCCAAAAGAAAGAAAACAAGAACAAAATGAAGGCAATGCAGGCGTCACACAAAACAGAAGCGGATAACATGAAAAAACAGCTTTTGGCCAAACACAAAACTAAAGAGAAGGAACAAATTCAATTACTAAAGATAAAGGACAATAATGAAATGAAAGCCACAAACAAGGAACCTTTAACCCAAAGAGAAGAACTGCAACAAAGAAAAGCTGAACTGTCTCTTCAACATGAAGTACAAATGAAACAGCTGATATGGGACTTGCTCACCCAAATGCATCGACAACAGAAGAACGAAATGGCTGAATTAGAGAAAAAACATCAACAAATATTGGATAAATTCAAAGAGGAACTTTTGGAAGAAAACAAAAGAAATGAGAAAGAAAAAATAGATGAACTGCAGAAGAGACACAAACAAGAAGTGTGGGAGTTGAAACAGCAAGTTGAGACCCAAGACAAAGATGGTGAAGCTGAAGAAATGGAGAAACTGCAAAAAAAGCAAGAACAAGAAATTAATGAGTTAAAAGAGAAACTTTTGAGCCCAGAAGAGGAACGGTCCTGCTGCATTGCGTGATTTGATCGTTGCAGAATGTGACGTAAAAGCAGCCTGAAACAGAGCGGCTCATTGGTCCAGCTCACTGGTAGCATGTTGCTACCTGAACGCCTCCGCTGGATTCCTTCCTTTTTCCAGGCAGATGATACAGATGTACAGTATGAGCTTTGTAACCTAACACCGATACTCAATAAATAGATTAGACTAATAGATTTAAACTTGATGTCGAGAGGGATATTCAAATGTCATAGAAGCCTGTTTATTCCCATCTGCTTTAAGCACATTCAGCTTCTTAAAACGTTTTTCTGTTATTTGCTTGCTTCTTAAGAATATAAACAAATTGTCATGAGGGGCAAAGGGGCAACCGTGGCGCATGGAGTAGAGAGGGTGCGCCGGGAGCCGCAGGATTGGCGTTTCGAACCGCGGCTGCTTCATATCCCACGTCAAAGTGTCCCTGGCGGCTCCCCGGGCGCCTTTACTGGCAGCACACTGCTCCCACTCTGTGGGATGGGTTGAAAAAAAATGTAAGCCGTGGGTTAAAAATGCAATTCAAGTCGCGTCCGCTAAATGTCTAATGTAGAATATTTGCTTTTTAAAGAAGTTATTGGAGTACTTTTCCACATGTTCATTTATCCAGAAGGTTTTCTCTTTCCTCAGTAACAGTATTGATGAGAGAGCATTAATGAATGTTAATGTGCAGTTTGACTTTTGTCAAAACGCCCAGGTGTCTCAATCACAGCTGTATGAAATTTGATCTATAATCTTTATTTAATTATTAATTATTTTTTTGTATTCAGTTTTTAGGAATTTGGATGTTTGTAAACTTAATTAAGTCATAATATAACAATATCTGGAAATGTGTGATCCTCTTGTTCATAAATAAACTGAAACATGTGACGGCTGAGAACAATTTCTTCCATGTGTGTGTGATCTTTTCCTCATAGAGGAAAAAATGAAATAAAGAGGAGGCCAGAAAACAAGCTGAGTGATACTGCAGAGAAACTTGTGAAAATGCAGAGACTTTTTGTCTTGGCACCTTTCTAATTAGAGGCTAAAGCCTAACTCTCATCAGTGTACTCTCTTATCTTTTATGAATGTCGCTTTATTGTAAGATACGGCTTTGGGATAGAAATGGAAATGTATAATACATACATTTCTGTAAAGCAAATTGATAACTAAACCATTATTTAACCATCAAAATCTATATAATTATGTTTCAGCTGTAGCATATATCAGCACAGAAAAGAAGAATGACACTTAAATTAAAAAAAATCTCTTACGGTTTAATAGCAATACACATAGTGATACATCTTTGTTTAACACTGTTGGAGTTTAGGTACAAGCAGGAGGAGGAAAGTTACTCAAGGAAGAAGGTTTCCAGTCCGTAAGAGTCACTTGAATAGTGTCAAGGATAAAACAGGGTATAGTGGTTAGATTGACATAGTCAAGAAGCTTAAAGTGTTTAAGGGGAATTAGGGGAAGGTCAGGAACATTATTTAGAAGAAGGGGAGGTAAATGCTACAATGTCGTAAGTAGCCCACCAAACAGGGCGTCACGGCTTCATTTCTTGTTGGAAAGCAGGGCTTTTATTTCATCCTCTGGCTTGAGGCTATGCCATTGAGCTATTGGCCTACGAGGGTTCGCCAGCATGTCTTCCCAGTGTCGTTGCTCAGTCCCAGTACCGTTAAGGCCCAGCAGCACTTTCCCAATGGCATCATTCTTCCCAATCTTATCGTAGTCCAACACAGTCACTCCAACCTGCACCTTCTGTAAAGAAATATATACGAACACAAATAAAACTAATGAAGTGTCTGATGAATTACGTTTGTGTGTGTGTGTTTGTATAAATAAATGTACCTCTATTTGTTCACATGTCACTTCAAAGCTGAAAGACTCGTTGTAGTACGGGTTTAAAGTGTTCTTCTTTGTGGTTGTTTTCTTTTTCTTGAGTCTTTTCCCGTTCTGCATTAAGTGGAGCTTCACGTAAGGGTCTGACGGAGAGAACAATGAGGTTTTTCATCAGAGCAGCGGATTCACATCGTGGCACCGATGCAGCAACTCCCTCAGTGAAACACAACTATTGCAGTAGCTTCTGCACATTTCCTTGAATTAGGAACTGAAAAGCAGTTCAAAAGCCTTGTTACTCAACAAAAGTTAACAAATCTGGGCTATTTAGGGTGCATATGAAAAAATAACTATTATGCATGTTTCCCACTACTTGAAAAGCTGTAAACTAAAAGTGTTACTTTAATGTGGCAGTGAAATTGTCTATACAGTAAAGTACTTTGTTACTGCTTGACTCACCAGATAATCCACCCACATCCATTTTCTTCAGGTTTTTGGCCTCTAAAATCACCACCGTCAGCTTCCCTGCAGATGGCACATACCTCAAGGACAAGCATATGTCTCCAAGGCGTTCGCTCTAATAGGGAGAAAAAGAATTGACTATGTTATTGGGGAATTGCCCTAGAAAAGTGTAAATATCAAAAGGAGAAAGTATGTGATTTTATTCAAGCCAAAGAGACACCAAATCCATAATTGAATCTTTTTGTGCCCCCCCTTCCCCCCATTCCTCTTTCATGTGTGCTCCCACCTCCTCTTTCTCTGCCTTCTGCAGATCCCTCCACTCCTGCAGAGACTGGCTGAAGTCCACGCCGCTCATCGGTATCTTCACAGCGCCGATGGCGTCGTGTTTAGAGAAGCGATCAAAGTCGTACACGGTCATCACCAGTGTCTTCCCGCCCAGCTCAGTGTAGGGCACCTACGGAAACACGTGTCAAAGACGACAACCTTGAAACGTGCGATACACTACGCGCTGATCGTGAACCTGTGAATCAGTCGGGATAAATAATTGACTTTTTCTTCTCCAGTTTACCTTAAAGGTGAAAGTCTCATTGAAGTTGGGTTCAAGAGTCTTCCTGTGGACTTTGGTTTCAAACTTTTTCTTTTTGTCCGGGAGCAGGTAGAGTTTAACATAGGGGTCCGAACTACCACCCACGTCCATCGCTGGGAGTTCAGCACCTTGCAAGATGCCGACTATGAGCTAAAATGGGATTGCAAAAGAAATGAATGAGATAAAATCTGGTTTACCGACAGACGCAGTATTAGGAGTATTAGAATGTTGGCACATTGTGAGCAAAACACGTCAAGGTGAAAAGCAGCATCTCACCGTATTATCTGTGAAGTTGTAGTCTAATGTGAAATGTAGCCGGCCCAACTTCCCCTCATCCTTGGGCTCAATATCTGACAGCTCTGTTTTTTCGTTACCTTCATCTTTCAGCGGCTGCAAGAGAGGCGCCAAAAATCACATGCAGGGAGAGAAACTTCACAAATAATAAATGAGGACCTTTGGTATCATGTGGAGCAGCTATTTCCTTCTCTGGTACAACATCACACAGACAATTAAACAAAGATAACGTTATTACTGAAATGAATTTACTGTTTAAAGGGAACAGGCAATTTGTACACCATCAGTGTTCACCATCCTTGAAGTGCAAGACCTCCAACAACCAATCTCATGGATCCACCTTTACAATATGAGCATTGTGCAAAACATCCGTTAACACACCCTGACAGTGTGAATCGTCCTGGGGAACCTGGATGTCGATACATTGCAAGGACAAGACATCTGCAAGGGGAGTGTGTGTGTGTGTGTGTAGCTCACCTCGCTGTAACCTCCATCCATTTCCGTGTCAGACCCTCCGCTGGTCTTGTCCTTTCCCTTTTTCTTGTCCTTTTCTTTGTCCTTCTTTTTCAAGCACTTTTTCCCCACACACACGGCGAAGGACAGAACCACGCACAAACTCACGACGCAAAGGGCGGCGACAGCCCATGGTGGCCCTGCAACACACACACGCACACTTATGATGAGGATACTCATATTTTACTATTTAAGTACTGTTTTAGTGAGCCGCTTCAATGCGCTGTTGGAAACGTCTCTCTTAAATCTCACGTGCAGATTAAATTACTTTTCTCACAGTCTGAAAGCACAAAGTGCAAAGTGTAACCTAACACACCGAGAGACAAAGATAAACGGACCCACTGGGGAATGCAAGACAAGGTAATCCAAAAATCTTGTACTCAGTTTTGTTCCTTGGTGTAATACTGGATTACAATATATTGTAAGGTCTTGTCTCTTGTACACTTCTTATGTATTCTGCTTGTTCTAAAGCACTATTGAAGCTATACATACATGAACGAGATGCCAACTGACGTATTCACATACAAAATAAGTTTTGCTTCTCTGTTATAAATGCACATAACATTACCAGCAGTAATGAAAAGGAATAACCTCCACCCAATAGAAACAGATATTTATTTATAGTCTTTCAACAAGACCACAGCATTGGGAAATATTATTCGATGCTTCACCAAAAAGCATATCTGGCTTTGGTGATGGATATTTGACACATATATCTTAAAATGCAATATTTCACCACATGATTGCACACATTTATGTTTCACCTGACCTGCCTAAAGGTCGTTGAGAGTGACTTATACGTCCAACTCACTGTGGATGCTGTGCAGTTCATTCATGAACTTGTGACTGTGACCACCAGATTGTTTTTGGCCTGGAGAGGTTGTTGTATTTGGCGAGTTTGTTGGGATGGACGGGGTTCCCGCTGGAGCCGCGGCCGCTCGACGGTTCCCAGTCATTATTTGTGGAGGGACAACAGATCCGTAAATAAACTGGTGGAGAAATGTAGACACAGAAAATGAATGTCTCAACTTTTCAAAGCAACTTGTGCAATATATGTGGAACAAAATAGGCAAACAATCCAAATCTAAAATGTGTCAAATTTGAGGATCCCTCCAAACATATACTGCATAAACACACACACACCCTCACACACACAAACAGATCAAAGTTTCCATAAATGCTTTTGATCAGATGTATTTGTAGCAATCATCTGCTTATAGACACTATATGACCATCGGTGTCAAAGGACTTCTCCTGTTTCTGCTGCCCTGGCACTTGATCACAGAATATGCAAGCAGCTGTCCGGACCAAACCTGCTGACATGGATGGGAGAGGGACAAGGGGAGAGGAAAGGGGGACAAGTGAGGTGGAAGTGTCCCGCGTGGACTGCAGCTGTTCCAGAGTGAGCTGCTAAGGGGTGAGAATCATGGGCCAAGGTCATGCTGGGTACGACAGAGAAGTCCCACGGACAAGGCTCGACCCCCCGAGTTTTGACGTATTATTTTTCCATTCTGCAGACATCCCGGGTATTGAGTATCTGGGGTTGTGTCAGCATTGTGATCGGATACTGATTCCGAGTTCATGGCTGCTGTTTGCCTGATTCGCTGACAGCTGCAGCGTAAAACAGAAATTATCAATTTTAAGCATTATTTCTGATTCTGATCTGCTTTTCAGGAAATGTAATTAAGAAAGAAGTTATAATGAATGATTCAGAGGTTCTATATCTTTATGTGCAAATATGAAACAAAAATATATTTAAATCACCTGTACCAAATAAAGAATGACTCATCCGCACCAACTGGTCCCCTAACTTCAGTTGTTTATGCTACTTAAACTAGTTCTACAAATAATCTCAGGAGGTTACAAATATATAAAAGTATTTTGAATTTAATGCTACTTCAATATTGCTGCTCTTAAACATTTGAGGGCTTTAGACAGCCTGGTTTTTATCTTGACATTGACATTTTCTCCCCCATCAGAAGAAGTGAATCCTCCATTAGGATCCAAAGAAAATAACTGAAATTTGAGTTACAAACAAATGACCCGTAACAATTTGGTATTATTTCATATTATTGATCTGCATTCGTGGGTTTATGCACTTACTTTTAACTCTGCACTGGTTTTAAAAATAAACACTAAGTACTTTCCATTAATGAATCAGAGAAAGAAAAAAAGGTCCCAAAGACAAACCTGTATTCAGTCGTCCATGCGGCAACGTCCAGACTCACAGGTACTCCTTTCCTCTCAAAGTGGAGATGAGTGGAGGAGGAAGATAAAAGAGGGCAGGACCAGAGAGGGCAGCAGAGGTGATGGAACAAGAAGAAGAGCGCAGGTACGGATGCTGAGGCGAGAGAGAGGGCGGGCGGGACAAGATAGAGTTGGGTGGTATCAGTGGAATTGCAGCACGGTCATCTTGTCTTGTTTCTGTCTGTGTGTGTGTATGAGAGAGAGAGAGAGAGAGTGTGTGTGTATTATGTGTTCCTTGTAAATGTGATCTTTCCTGTCATCAAGTCCCACGGGAGCACGGGTGCTTATTTGTGACTCCCCTATTGTGACCCCTCTCCCCATCCCTCCAGGTCACCCTCACTGGACCGCTGATGCATATTCATTAGTGTAGTGACACGGCTTTTTAAAGGCTCGTTAGCATAGTGAGAGTTCAGCAATAGAGGACATTTACATTCAGAGTGGACAGCTCTCTCTATATGTGTTGCATCTGTACATCTGGCACTACAGCTGCAGAACTGTCTCATAATGTCTATGTATAGATGATGTTGCCTGATTTAGAAAGTAAGGATGTGGTTTCTGCAGCAACACAGAGATCAAGTTCCGGCCCCGCCCCGTTCACCTTGACGTACCATAGAGATACTGTACAGAAGGAGGGATGAGACGGAGACAAATAGAGGGGGTAGGGGGATGGGAGCTCCGCATGACCTCTGCCTGTGACTTTTGAAAATACACCATGTATTATTTTTTTCGATCAATTTTAATTATGACTCCTTTTTTATTTTTGTCTTGAGGCCAGCTAACTAACCAGCTCATGTTCAAATCTGCATTGATGTGGAAGGATTTAGCATGTTGGCCTCAGCGCATTTATGTTTGAAGAAAATTAAGCTTAATTTGTTTTTCAGGAGGTTCAATTAATAAATGATTTATTTTACAAGAGACCAAAGCAAATTACATGTGAACATCATTTTAGTTCAGTAGGCAAAATGGTCCTCTCTTATACAAACACAAAATGCAAAACAGATGCAAATATTATTAAATACAAGAGGCTGTGGTTTTAACTCGACTGTAGATATTTGCAAATAAAATGCTCTGATCTCATTTGTCTTTTTAAGGAAAACCCCTTTTGCACATGTTTTTTGGGTGTGCCTAGTGAAAATATTTTGACTTAATAACATTAACAGTGGCTTCATTCTATCCAATTGTGCCAGAAACCATGACCGTGCCCCACTATTAACAGTGTAAAGCCTGTAAAACCAGGATATCAGATAATGAAAGGACAAAGGATGTTAACAGACAACTTGCTCATGTAACTCATCCAAGCTGGAACATAAAGTCTCATAACACACACACACATAATCATACATGCAAAAAGGGAATGTTCCTTTTTGTACCCAAACAGTGTAAAATGTACACTTCGTATGAACCAACAACACATACATCTTTAAACACCTTTACATGACTGATCTTGGTTGTGGGGATTGAGAACAGCTCACACATCCTGCCGCTAGGCGGCGATAGCCATCTCTGGTTCACATAACGGTGACGTCACAAGCACAGAAGAAGCCTCGTCTCTAGGAGACAGCGAAGCGTTCCTGCGGAGGTGAGTTCCCAGAATAAAGCATCACGTTCTGTGGGAAAAGCGGGTCGTTCTTTATTGTCCAGCCGATAGAAATATGTGCTTCTAAGTGGTATTTCATGTTGTACGATAAAACAACCTCTGCCGCGTTCGTTCAGTTAGATAAATTAGCAGATGCTAAAATGCTAACGGTCTCTACGACTCAGACTATATCATAACACACATGTCGTACACAAATACAGTACATTATGCTGGCTACATTCGCTGAACAATATTTAGTTAAGGACCTGACAATTGACATCTGCCATGATTTAAATGTTGAAGTACAATTGTGCCTCATGAACAATTTTGTTTATCCTTTTGTGCAGACTTGAAACATATTAGCCAATAATATTTCAATACCTCTTGCCTATCCTCAGCATGTGTGCCGTTCAGAGTGTGGGGATGCTGCCAGTGGAGCATCTTCACCTGGAACATGTTCTGCAGACTGTGTGTGTGTTGGAGTCAGTCGTCTGCCGCAGTTTTGGCCCAGAAGGAGGACAGGTGTTGTTCACACAAGACACCGGGCAGGCGATGTTGAGCCGCAGCGGGGCTCGCATTCTCACTGCACTGCGACTGGAGCATCCGCTGGCCAGGTGATGCACACTACACATTCATCGTCTTTGTCATGGATCAGTGTTTTTTCTTATGAGGTATTTGTGTGTTTTTCATTTCAGGATGGTGGTAGAGTGTGTCTTAAAACACAGCACCGAAACGGGGGATGGGTCCAAGACATTTATAATACTGATGGCTTCATTGCTACGGATAATTCATACAACGGCCTGCAGGGAGCCTCATGTGTCTCGCACCCATACCTCCAAGGCAGCAGCAGAGACGGCCTCTGCCAGGCACTTGGCTGACAAAATGCTGGCGTTTGCATCGGAGGAACTGGACGATCTCATCGCCGCAGCAGTGGTCCCGTACGGATGCTGTCTCTCTTGGGAGGAGCTTTCCGCAAAATCACAAGCACACTCAAACAATCCCTGTGTTCAAAATCTGCTGGCATCCTTTTTTCAATCTCGCGTGGGTCCCACACACTGTGACTTAATGAGCAACCTCACCTGTGAACTGCTCACTAACTGGAAGTTTAAAAATGACTCACCTTCCTCATCACTTCACTTTATAAGAGACAACTTGGCTGCCTTGCATACACCTGTGTCAGGCTTCCCTATTAGTTTTTCACGTTTGGTTGAGGGGCAAGTCATTCACAGGGACTTTGCTGCGCCCTGCCCGAGGGCCGACCTGCAGCCGGTTAAAGCTGTCGTTCTCACTGGGTACCTGCAGCCAAAACTGCTCCGTGCAGGAGAAGTGCTGGAGCTGGGGCGTGGAGAGCAAAGCGAGGAGAGAAATATCATGGATTTTAGCGCCTGGGGCGAACGGTCACTGGAGTGTGTCCTTGCGAACCTGCAAAGTTTGGGTGTCTCCGTGCTCCTGTCTGCAGTCAAACAGTCCGCTGCTGTCCTGGCTTTGGCCACGCAGGCAGAGATGTCCATTGTGGAGTGTGTCAGTGAAGATGAACTGTCTCTCTTTCAAAGGCTAAGTGGCGCCACACCTGTCAGAGACTGTCGGGTGATTGAACCAGAGCACGTTGCTACGCTGACCTTTTGCAGACCAATACTGCTGGGAGCCCACAGGTATGAAAAGGTGTCTCACCTCCCCTCTCATCCACTGCGTATGAGGAAAAGTATCAAAAGTGATACAATGAATGTTGCATAGCACATACTTGTATTTGAGTTATGGAGGTTGTTTTCTTCTCTTCCACAGGTATGTCCACGTGGCTTTCCATGATACTGAGGAAAAGATCACAGTCAAACCTTGTAGTCTGGTTCTTTGTGGTTTGGGGGAGGGGCAAACTGACCAGTTTGCTTGTGCTCTAAAAGATGCTATGCGCATGCTACTGTCAACGTGGGACCCCATCGGCATCACTGCAGCTCCCTTCAAGCAGTGTGTGCTGGAGCCGGGCTGTGTTCTACCTGCGGGTGGGACATTTGAGTTGCTCTTAAACAACGCCCTCCTACAACATGGCAGCAGCTGCTCAATATCTGATCACACAAACAAGGGCGTCCCTGCTGTTTCCCAGCTCTTGGCAAAGGCCCTGTTGAGCGTGCCAAGGCAGATTTACTACCACAGTCCACGGCGTCTCCTGCAGACTCAAACCAGACTGCTGAGTTTGACCAAAAATCATTTGAGCATCGCACACAACAAAATCCTCACACAGAGTCATCGAGAGGACGGGACGCTGACCGAGCCTTGTCGTGGGGAGGTTTTAATGTCAGGCTCGGGCCTCGAGTCCGTCTCCTGTAAATCGCAGGTACTTTTGGCGGCGCTGCAGTGTGTCTCAAGCCTCCTCCGCGTGGACGCCGTGCTGCGCACACACACTGCCTTACACACTCAGTCACACAGGCGTACAAACATTTCCTGGGCGGGCACAGAGGACGAGGCTGAAGACTGAGATTGTATTGTGTCCCAAGATGAAACACATGAACACATTTTGTCTAATAGTTACTTGGGTATCATTTAAAAGTAGAAGAATGATCTGATTTGTTAGCGTATTACTACAGATGTTTTTTGTGTGTCCACAGTGTTTTTGGCCTACTGCGATATATTTTTCATGTAAGTTTATACATCCACTCTAATGTCCAAATAAATGTTATGATGCTTCTTTACCAACATCCAAATCCTGAATCAAGTTTAGGTTTACAGTCAACGGTGTAAAAGAAAACATCAAACAGCTTAGTGTACAGGAAAGAATGTGCTGTTTTCCAATAATTGAGTCCTTATCTTATCTGTGTTGACGTGAAGTAGTTTGAGTGAGTACAAGTGGATGTTGGCCTCTTTCCTCTGGAGCTCTCGTTAGTTATACTTTTATTTCCTGCAGTTCTCTTTCTTATCTCAGTTTCCTGCCCTTTGTCACCGGCCAACACATACTGATACTGAAAAGACGTAAACACAAAATCGTCTCACGTATTTACACACTTCTTATAATCAGCGTTATCTCAATCGGAGGGGGGTCTGAGAGGGAAACACCCGGCTATCAACCACCAAATCAAAGTGTACTTCCTTGCGCTATAATCAGAGGAACTCTAACTCTATTCTCACCTCACCTCTTTTTGGTCAAATGGTGAGTCATTAAAAATGGCTCGATTAACTAGAACACATGTGACCCGTTTACTTTAATCAGTGTGATGTAAACAGATTCCCTGATATTTTATTTGTGATTGCATGACTCAGAGACCAAGACATTTCTTGTGCTTTTGATCAAACTGCATGAGTCACAATTGATGGTCGGCAATATCAAAGAGGGGGAAGCTGGGTGGGTGGTTTTCCCACTGCGCACACGGAATAATAATTTGGAGGTTGTTTTCGGTTTTATCAAGGTCCTTACGCCCTTCTGGCCCTGACATGCTCCCTGTATCCCACGCAGCTAACTCAGACAAACCAATTTGTTAATGCGTTAATCCAACGGTGAAGATCTTTCTCTGGTTAATTACTACTTTCACTGAGCTTTGGAGAATAGGCAATAGTGTTTTAATGAAACACTACGGCCCATTTGGATTTTTCACTCTGTAGGTGTGTGTGTGTGTGTGTGTGAGGGATTGTGTGTCATATTATAATTCTTCGGAGCCAACCAGGTCAGTATATCTTGGTTTATTTGGTTCTCATTAATATTTGTCTCGGTGAAACATTGCATATGGTATAAATCAACCCGAACTGCAAAACGAAAAGAACATTATAAAATGCAAACCACATATTAAACTACACGGTACTATATAACCACACAGATGAATTCATCTTTTACGAATAAAAAAAGAAGACATTTACAAATCAAGACAAAAATTAAAGGCCTTTTTTTGTAGTTGTTGAGTAAAAAAGGGAACAAATAAAATGTAACACTGAGGGAACTAATGTGCTACTCTATCGCCGCAGTTGACAGCTCTGCATTGAACTTGACCACCAGTCACCATAGTCCGACTGTGATGTTGTATGAAAAATAATTCCCTTGGCTGCTGCTGTATCGTGCTGAGGTGGTTGTGGTTGCCGTCTTCTGTGGCCCTGATCCATGACTCGTCGGTTCGGTAGTGAGAGTGCGATCGGTAAACAATAATATGATCTTTTGTAGCAGTTTACAGACACTAATTTCAATCAAAGGACCACAAAATGACACATTTCTACACTATACTGCCAAGAAGAATAGACGTGAGCCATTCTATAGTTGGGCCCAGTAACCACATCACAAGGTGGGTTCAAGTGTCAGCAGCACAGTTACAACGGATGGATTACGTAATAATCGGAGAGAGATCTGCACCCAGCCTAGTTTTTCTTTGAACAAGTGGTGTTTCTATTGGCAGTGGGGTAGTCGCGTGACTCAAATGACATCATGCAACAATCAATAAAGACTCTGGGATGCGATGGTGGGTGTCACACCACCTCCCGCGACTTCCTGATGGCGCAGCACAGGAGCATGCTGAAGATCATCCCAAACACCTACAAGAAAAGGGAGGGAGACACACACTGCTTGGGTTATTTCTGAGCCTCCTACAGGGCAGCAAACCCTGGAATTCAATAAGTTACAATCAATCCCACGCCCACTTACCATAACGACACCGATGGTGATGCCCGCTCCTCCTATGATGTGCAGTTTGGAGTCAAACACCTCATCAATGGCGTCGGGGCAGCTCTGCAACACACAAGCACAATTTCCCTCAGCTTTTGCCGAGACTTGATTTTTAGTATGGCACAGACAGCTTGGGGGCATGCGGGCTCCAGTAAACCATTGTTGCCATGGTGACGCTGCAAAGAAATTGAGGGAATTTCAAAGGGAAGACAAATGAACCAAAAAAAGCATACAAAGCATGCCTGACATCGCTGGTACAAATTGTTTTTCTTGCTTTGGCACTTGAATTACTCGGCATCTGTTGGTAAAATCTTAAATAATGTTTTGTCTTGGTGGACAGAGGGTATGTGGGCTCACACGGGGATTTGTGAGCCCGGTATCCTAAAGATCTCATCTTGTTTTATTGCCTAGCTGTAAACAAAGTACCACCTTCTCTTCCACCACGATCGTAAATACCAACTCTCTCTCAAGCAGATGTGGGGGAGGTGACCCGTCTGCGCTGGTCCAGCCCCCCCCCTGCTTAGAATGTGTGTTATCTGAGATAACATAATTCAAAGTGGGAGAAGGAAACATTTGCGTAGCCTTGCTGCATGAATGACAAGTATTCAATAAATGTCTTGTTTCATGATTTTACAGCAGTGTCGAGTAACATTTCTTTCAACAGCATCCAGTCGCACACAGATGTGGAGGCTGGTTGTACCTTGGTAATGAGCACCTCCAGTGGGTCTCCCCGGGGACAGGTGTCTTTGGCAGAATCGACGACAGAACCAGTTGGCCCACAACATTTCAGCTGCAAGCATAGACAAAGTCACGCCTTTAAACAAGGCGAGGAAAATACAAGCCTCTAATGATTGGTGTTTTTAAAGGGATAGTTCAACATTTTGTTTTGAAACAGATATTTCCCTGAAAATACCCTTTGTCCCAAATTCCTTTTAGATATGACTTGAGTCTGAATTGATATTCAGACTCAAGATATGACTTGAAACTGAGGATAACAGAGGACGCTCACCCCGGTTTGAATCACACGCAGAGTTTCTTTGAGTCGTTCATCTCCTGTCGTCTTGAAGTTATTGTAAGTCTGCATGTAGAACGTTGTGATATCGTTCACCACCTGCAACACAGCGGCAAACCCGGGAACAATTTTACTTTTTATCTACGTCAATGATCTTGCATTGTTGTTTCATTTGGTGATTTGTGGCATGTATTTTGTTTTTGCATGGTGCTTTTTCTTATTTTATTGCCTCTAAATTTTGGTGTCACAGCAGCATGTACAGGGAATAAAATAGAATTAAAGATACACATTATATACAATATAATAAGATAAAAAATATTAAATAAAATAAAATAAACTAAAACAAAGAAGAGATCATTTGTAAAAGGAGAAGAGAAAGAGCAGCAACACCACAATGTGCTTCTTTAAAAATGATCAATCTAATATAATTTAAACATGTGCGCTACCTTGCTTTGGTTGGAAAACACCCAGATTCCTGCAGCAACCTCAATGGCAAATATGACCAGCAGGAAGAAGAAGAACTGCAACACATAGAAAGAGAATTAAACAGTGCTGATTGTGTGAACGTGTGCCTCCGTGAATGCGTTTACTTGTATTTTGAGCGCATGTGTGAACAAGTAAGGTCACTTGAGTGTAGCTGAACCCAATTTACATAGACTCCTCCTCCTGAGAGATTTAGCACAAGAAGATTAAGGCCAGACCGGACGGGAGGGAGGAGGGGAACAAATGTAAGGGAATCTAGACTCTTTTCTGGCCTTGATACTGTTCAGTAAAGTGGTGAAAGTAGCTGGTATTTCTTAGCGAGCCCAAGGTCAGTTAACAAGATAAGTTAGATAAGTGCTGCTGGGTGGGATCACAACAAAATAAAACAACTCAGACGGTTAGAGCGACAATTTTGGTTTCCAAACGTAGAGAATGAAAAAGTGGTACGAACCACTCCAAGCATGCAGGGGGACTCCTGGATGGCTCCGCAACATCCCAGAAAACCCACCACCATCATCAGTGCTCCAGCTCCAATCAGGATATACACACCTACACCCACAGAACATCAGACATACAAACACATTTTGTGTTTTTCGGAACATAATCCAAAATGTAGTTGCAACTTTGCCTAAACGATGACGGCTAATGTGTCCAGCTCAAAGACGGAGGGGACCGTACCTGTGTAAAACACGAATGGAGAATCTGCTTCTTCAAACAAGCCTTTGGTCTTTGGGTCTAACCGAAGCCACAGGCCGATAGCGAAGACAGCAGTGCCTGCAAGCTGAAACACAAAACGTTATTAGTTATAACTTCACGAAATGCATCGTGCACACTGTGCACTGTCAGAATAATATGTACAGAGGACGAATTGGAGAATAACATTCAGAAATGAAGATGATGATTAATGTTTGCACAGTGAAGTAATCCATATGATTATCATTTTAACCAATAACTGTCTGGTTGCTATTGAACCTCTTTTTGCATCACCTTCTCCCACTTGTCCCATCTGGAAGCCTTCTCAAGCTCTCACCCTAACAGCTTCGTTTGGTTTCTCTCTTTTCTCTGAGTCCAGGAAGAGGTTTCTGGAGCCCTTGTGTCATCTAACTCTTCACCAACACCAGAATGTTGTCTCCTCCGAGGTAAATTCATATTTGGGCTTAGAGAGGCTATACATTAGGTGAGTGGTTATTTAAAGATGACGCCCAATCACCAACTCTTATATGCAACTGTATGAGTCTGCCTAGAAAACAAAAGCAATCTAACAATCCGGGCAGAGAGACATGGCAGTGAAACAAAGGTCCATTGGATCCATTGGATGTTTTATTCTCATTCACCAGCCTGTATTTAACATTCATACAAAGTGAATGTGTCAATACAAAGCTGCATGCATGTTATTACAACACCAGTACTTAAAACAAAAATGCATACAAGTCTGTAATTTGTGCCGTATTGTGTAATGTTCATATGCAGGCATTTCCTCACAGAGCTCAACAGCAGGGAGGTGTTTGAATGATTAACTGCAGTCTGTTTTGTTGAGGAGATATTTCTGCGTGGCTTAAACTGTTCCTCGGAGCATTTTGTCCGTGTATACTTTTTGTTGTATAATCCTTTTTACTTTTCATTGAACAAACAAAATGCCGCATTAGAGGAAACTACAATAATGGCACAGGTTCAATAGAAGCTTCTCCGTCTCTCTCTCTCGTTCACACCCTGACACACAACACATTAAGACAAGAAAAAGTAAGGCACACCTACCCAAAAGAAAAAGTTGAAGACAAACATGAGATATTTTAGACACGTTATTCCGCTGTGGCTCGTCATGCTGGCTCCGTCTACACACGTCTAGTGGGAGTAGGTAATAATTCACTTCGTCCCATACAGGAAGTGAAACGTAATGGTGTCAGTTGAAGAAGGTGTGGACAGAAAGTCCAAGTGTTTTCATTATGACGCCTTCAAATATCACCTGATGCAGGTCGAGATAGTTCATTGTGTTTGTGAGGAATCGTTACGTGTCCATGCATGCCCAGTTTGTCTCTTAACTACTGCACTTGGGAAGGTTGCGCAAGGGTGCAGGTTTTTTGAGATCTGAGACTGAGGTAGCAGCACAGAGGGATCTGTTGAGGTGAAATTAAACCTAGAATCAGCTCCGGTGTCTGAACTGTGTGACTGTAGCTAATAGACTGCTCTAAAATACACGTTCTTCTCACTCCTACTCCCAGAAGCTGCTTTCATTGCATTCAAACCCTGCTCCTGATGCATTGACACGGACGCTGTCGTGCTCAGACAGAGCTGACATCAGATATCTGTGCCGTCGGATGATTTGTCCAGTATCTTCACTTCCTGCTTGCATATGTTATATATACATATAGAAAATGATGACCCACACGTTTGAGCGGATCCTCCATGGACTCTGAATAAGGGACAAGAAGTGAACACTGGCACTGCGGTTAATTAAGATTATTATTTTTGAATCTTCGTGGTTGTGCTGCCTGGTTCACACACCACCCCCTCCCCCTTTCTCTCTCTCTCTCTCTCTCTCCCTGTCTTTCACACACACACACACACACACACACACACACACACACACACACACACACACACACACACATGCATTGGGAAATCCCCATCTGCCCTGTAATGAATGGTTGTTCTTTGCTCTATGTATAACTTGCACACATTATATACGATTATAAAATGGGCAAAGCATACATTCTAAACCACACACACACACACACACACACACACACACACACACACACACACACACACACACACACACACACACACATGCAGAGATCCCAAACAAACGGTCTCAACAAGACACACCCTGAAGGCTTAGAAATACACAAATAGCCTGTGCGGGATACCCAGGATTCCTTCACGCACACGCACACACACACACACACACGGGATGGCTGGCTCGCATGCGCAATTCGTCACATCACGTGGGGGAGCAGAAGTCTTAATTATGATAACATAATTCTTTATCAAAATACCCCACCTGTTATTTTATTAAAATGCAGGGTGCGCAAACTCCAGGGCTAAGTCGACAGAAGTGGGTCACTTGGCCACTCCTCCTCCCCGCTCCGTCTCCACGCGTATTATTGGAGCACTTTGTGCTCGATACTGTTCTGCATCTGGGACGCCATGTCATTTAATTCACTGTAGCGACACGCTAACACGCACGCTGACCTTTCTCTCTCCCTCTCTCTCTCTCTCACTCAGACACATACGTAACGCACAAGCAGAACGCATTTGCCTAAACGAGAACACAACACCTCCTCACTATAAACTCACCCAGAATATCAGATTGAAGGCAAACATCAGGTATTTGACGCACATTTCTCCTCCGGACAGCGCAGCCATGGCGGGACTCGAGCAGCGGATCTCACTTCTGGCTCCACTTCACGTAATTCCGACCTGGCGTAGAACAGAAGTCCTTCTATGTCAGCGTGCAGAATGGGGTTATTTTCCAACGCGCAGGCTACGCGCGCCGCGCTGTGCGCGCCCGTCGTGTTCCGCCCCCACGCACCACGGGGGCAAAGCCTCCTGGAGCTTTTTTCTCTCTCCCCTTTTTATTCTTACTGATGTGTTTGTTACTTTCACCTGTAAAATGTTCTTTGCTTCCTTAAAATTACCCACATTTTTAGATGCACTTACTATTTGGAAAATGTCGAATATTGCAGGCAGGATGTTTTTTTTTGCGACTTTTAAGCAACGATGTTATCCTTCCATAGTACTTGCATTTCATTTGCATATTCGTGCAGAGCAGCTTGTAATAGCATTTGTGGCACTACGTAGGAACAAGTTAAGTATACGTATTACATTGTGAGTCCTTCCTGCATTCAACAATGCCCAGAGAAGAATCCTGCGGTGGGCTTTTTCACCAGCAGTTCCTGCAGCAGCCACGGCTGAGCGATGACGTAATTCTCCCAGAATAAGAGAGACGCGTTCATGGCTTGAGTTTATTGCACATGAATGAACGCGGTGCACGAGTACGTCCACGCACACCACAAAACAACACAAGGTTACCGACCTCCTAAACATCAGAGTGATCAGTTTGACCGTTTTGTATCTCCATGGTATTTGTATTGTGTGCATGCTGCTTTTGTTTCCTTCCTTTAATATTTCTAAACAGTCCTGCTGCAGTATGCATTCTATACCAACAGAATTTGGGAACTACCTATCATTCATAAAAATGTATAATTTGCAAATAATGACTTTGTTAATGGAAATGCAAATGGTTAGTTTGATTTGTAGATCAGTTATTAATAGTCAGTCATTAATAAGAATGAACCATCCTGTAATGCCTGTAAAAGGGCTGCAGAGAATCTCGACCAAAACATATCAATATACAAATACAAATATCCACACTGTATTAAGATTTACAACTGCTGCATTGATCAGACTGAAGCAGAACACTGATATATTTTCCTGGTGGATTGATAGAAGGTGTGAAACCAACGTGATCTCCAAAACCTGTTCGTAAATATGTATACGAAAATCTTGAACATACAAATTCGTAACAATACATACGAGCTGGCGGTGGTTAACCACGCCCCTTGAGTGAACAACAGGATTTTTTGAGGGGGTTAGGGATAGTATTCTATTCTTACAATTTAACATTGATTTCTCGTTAAAAATGCAATCATAACACGTTTATTTTACATCGTTAGACTTCACGAAGTGTGTTTACGGGGTGCAGGTCCCCATTCACTTTGAATAGGGTGACGTCATCAGTTGCAGTCCGTATTTATTTCGTATGTATCACTACGAATTTGTATGTTCAAGATTTTTGTATACATTTTTACGAACAGGTTTTGGAGATCAGGCTGGTGAAACACACAAGAAGAATCCTTTATCGATATATTGACTTGCTGACACTTGTGACCACAGGCTTTTTTCACTGTAAGAAACCCATTTGTATTTACAACCATAATTTACCCTGATCAAGCTTCTTTTAAATTTCTGGGCACGTGGGTGTGTTTCAGTTTTTCTGGACAATTAGATCCCTGCTGGGGACGAGACTGTGACGTGTCGCAGTAGGAAGCTTGTTCATTTTGTTGTAACTTGATAGCTTATAACCATGGCTACGTGTTTATTGAGTCTAGTAATTTGCAACACAGCTCCACCCAACAGCAACCCGAGGAGAGGCCTCATGAAAACACCTCAGAGCACAATGTTGAACAGGGATGCCATAATTGGATACAGTCGTGCACACAATATTTGAGTTGTCTTTTGGCCAAAGACATATCTGGTATCTGAAGTTTGCAGCTGAGAGTGTTGACCCGTACACATTCCCAGTGTGTGTGTGTGTGAATTTATGTGTGTGATATTTTGTCGCAGGATAGCGTTTGTGCACCACCACAGCAGTGTTATTGCGTGCAATATCTCCAGTAAGTGTGTTTTCCACAAGAACTGTTTTGGTTGGCGCCGATACAGATACGTACGTGTAGACTAATCACTCAGCTCGGCGATCAGTGGGCATATCCTGGCATTGTCCTGCTGAGTGTGTTTGGTGGTGTCAGTCGGCAGGCGTTGAGATTTGGACGCCTGACTTTCTGCCCTGCTTGATATAACCTGGCACAGGGGATGGGTCTTAAAGGAAAGCCAGTGGTAGTTGGGCGGGGGTACGTTCTTTGCTATAAAATCAGTTCCAGGGTGTTTGAGCTTCTAACCAACCTCTCAGTTCAGTCCATGTTTGATTGACTGAGGCCATCGCAGTATGCCTTCACTGGGAGAGGTTTAAAAGTTCACATTTGGATTTTCTGATTTTGGATGTGTTTGTTTTTCCTTTGCAACTGTGTGGACTAACTGGAGCCATGGAGGTAGGGTTAACTGGAGTTTGGTAGACTAAAGAAACAGGCTATGCAAATCCCTCAGAATATTTGTGTGTTTCAGGTCTACATGGGAAGATATTTGCGGATGATGTTGGTTTTTCTACATCTGGCAGGTGAGCGTCACAGGATGTCCAAATGCTATTAATTTCCAGAGATTTCTCATGGAATATCCCCCTTTATCCTACTTCTACAATCAGCTGCATATTACTGTATTTTGTGTGTGTCCAGCTAGCGTGGCAGGTCTGACAGGCAGATGCAGCCTGTTTGGACGACAGCACATTCACACCTTTGATGGGGTTTTATACGAGTTTCCTGGAGACTGCAGTTACCTGCTGGCTGGAGACTGCAGTCACCGCTCCTTCATACTACTGGGTGAGTCACACAGTTTCAAACTCAGTTGTCCTCTAATGGCCTCTAATACTCATTCAGTGCAGAGCCTCTGCTATGGTTCTAATTATTACTGGGACGTGTGTACTTAAGCACACATTCATCCTCCCTTTAAATTTGTCTGAAAATGATCATTACTCTGATAATATAAAGGTGTGTTAAATCTGCAGGTGATTTTGTCAATGGCAAAAGAACTGGAGTCACTCTGTTTCTGGGAGACGCCTTTGAGCTGCACCTGTCTGTAGACGGACGGCTCTCACAGGGGGAAAAAAAGTTGAGTAGCGCGTGCATCATAAACGGTTGTTGTCGCATTGACATATTCTAGAAGATGAATCATTTGATTATGGTGAAGCTTAATTTCTATCTTCTTCCCCCCCCGCAGACTACCTGTGCCCTTTGCATCTCATGCGGTTTTCGTGGGCTCAGACCTCGGCTTCCACAAGCTCTGGAGCGAGGAGTTTGGCTTCGCCGTTACGATTGATAATGCAGCCAATATCGCCGTGACAATGACCAGACACAATGCCAACCGGACCTGCGGCCTGTGCGGCAACTTCAACTCTGTGTCAGCTGATGAATACACCGCTCAAGAGGGTAAGATGATCAGAGCAAGTGGGTAACGTCAAAGGTTTGTAGCTGCGTGCCTATATGTGGGATGTGTAAAGAGAGTTCATTATTACTGGAATCAAGGAAATGATTTGAGTCACCGGCACTCAGCAACAGGAAGTGTATCAGCTCGGTGCAGGAAAAGATAACAAGGTAAAGGAAAGCAAGAGGAACAGCTGTGGCAGGATGAGATTAAGGACAAACATGTTCATGTGTGTCTTTTTAGGATTTCTAACGGAGAACAGTTATGACTTTGCAAATTCGTGGGAAGTGAAGGGTGCTGATCAGTCCTGTCGACGAGTCTCAGATCCTAGCCTGTCCTGTGACAGCACAAGAAAGAGTTCAGCGGTGAGAGGACGATTCACACACACAAACATGTGCACCAATACATGCAATGTGTTAACTGAAATGTCTCTACCTAATAAAAAATATCTTTTATTCAAAAAGACATGCAGTACGGCATCTGGTTGAAGGATTTGGCCAGTGTAGTATTATTATTATTTACTGTGCTTAAAACCTTTAGCTGCATCTTGCTCAATAACTGAGTATCTCTGGCTTTCTCTGCAAACAGTGTCATATTCTGTCTAGTGTGCAATTATTTGCTTTTTGTTAGTGAGGATCTGACTTGTTACAATACTGCGAAACATCTCGTATTATGGGGGAATTATAGAAATGGAATGTAGAATATAGAAAATGTTGGCTCATTTTTTTCATTTCAAACATTACACACTAGTTCCATTAGAAAGGAACAGCTGGTAAGCAAGCAGATCTGACAGGAGTCCCTGTTTCCATCATGATGAAGGTAGCCAACACCTACTCCTACATATCATATTTTCTACAACGCATTACTCTAATTTACATGAGCTGATAGGAAATGACCGCTAGTGTATGCAATACAAGTATGCTAATCTTCTCAGGCACCAAAAACTTGGCGCATCTAAAAAAACGTATTAATACAAAAAACCCAAAACTGCTAACTGCGAACAAAATTCCTACAATAAAAAAACATTTTCTTTTAGCCGACATAATAGATTTCCCTCTGACATCATCGGGTTTTGTTGCTTTGTGTGTTTGTGTAGGTTTTGTCCAGCTGCAGCGTGTTGCAGACGTCCAGTGTGTTCCTGCACTGTGCCCACTTGGTCTCCTCCGAGGCGTTCCTGTCTCTGTGTCAGGAGGAGGCATGCCACTGTGACCGGGGGGAGGCAGAGGACTGTTACTGCCCAATCCTGCTGGAGTACGCGCGCACGTGTCACGCACACGGGATACTCCTCCGTGGCTGGCTGCAGGAGAGTCAGTGCTGTGAGTTTGTATGTTACTGTTAAAGTAGTTGCAAGCCCCGAAGTCCCATTCATAATCTAAATGTGTGTGTGTGTGTGTGTGTGTGTGTGTGTCTTCAGTTCCCAAGTGTCCAATCGGGATGCAGTACAGTGAATGCACCAAGTCCTGCTCTACCACCTGCCACAGTCTCAACATCCAGGAGGTCTGCAAAGAAGAGTGTGTGGATGGCTGTACATGCCCCGGTAGCCTCCCGCTCGTACCGTTTCCCTCTTTCACACCGCGGCTCCGATGCTCGTAGTTGTAACATGGTCACGTTTGTTTCTCAGCGGGCAAAGTGTTGGACGGTAACCGCTGTGTGGAGGTATCTCAGTGCTCCTGTGTGCACATGGGCCGGCATTTCCCTCCAGGATCCACCATCTCTCAGGACTGCAACACCTGGTGAGGGAGCTACGAGCATGCAGAAACATAGATGTACTGCCACATCACAAGTGCAATGCCTCCTCAATAAATTGTCCCTTTGCTGCAGTGTTTGCCGCCACGGTTCCTGGGAATGCACTAATGAAGGCTGCCCTGGTGAGAGAGATGTACAGTGGTAATCAAAGCAGCAATTTACACTTTCTACTGGTAGTTCCCGGCTGATCATCTTTTCTGTTCGTAGGCGAGTGCTTGGTGGTCGGCCAGTCTCACTTCAAGACCTTTGACAACAAGTTCTTCACTTTCACGGGTCACTGTCAGTATCTGCTGGCAAGGGACTGCACAAATAACGGGTTTTCTGTCATTATTGAGAACGTACAGGTAACACGTGTGGTTTCTCTTTTTTTTTAGGTCACTTTCCTGCGTCTAGTTTAGACATGTACAACATTGGCTTTTGGTCCTGTGTTTCAGTGTGCCGATGATCAAGATGCTGTGTGCACACGCTCAGTGACGCTCAGCCTGTCCTCTCTGGAGGACATGACAGTGAAGCTAAAGCATGGAGGAGTTGTCTCTGTCAACAGCATGGACATCCAGACCCCAATGCATCATGGTATGCCACTTTGGCAGAAAAGTTGATCAGATCTGAATTTTATATTCCCTCTAAGCATAATGTGCTGTGTATGATTGTTGGGAAAACCTAAATAATGTTTTGTCCTAGTGGACAGAGAGCCTGTGAACTCTCACACAGAGACACGTGGTGTTCTGGGGTAACAAGATGAATTGTGAGACAGTATCAGGGCAGTTTCCAGGGAAACTATGTGGTGAGGTTTTATTGTCTAGTTGTAAACAAAGTGTTCTCTGTCATCTCCTGCAATCATGAATAACAACACTATATCTATCTCTCTATCTCTCTCTGATGTGGAAAAGGTGGCCAGTCCCCCCCGCAGAAAATGTGTGTTAGACTTTAGAATTCAAAGCCAGTGAAGAAAACCTTTGAGTAGTCTTGATGGATGACTTGTATGTTGTATGTGTCTCAAATCTGCTCCTTCTTACAAGTATTTAATAAATGTCCTGTTTAAATATTTTAGAGTAGAGTTACATTAAACATACATTAAAGATTAACATTTTTCTAACAATGATATTAGATGTATAATAAAGCATGAGGCATATAAGAGAAAGTACTTGGATTGTTATACTTCAACCTATGATATTCCAAAGGGGACAAGACATTAACTCAAAGATACAGTGAAGTGAAGATGAAATGTATTTCCCTTGATATTCCTGAGAACATTGTGATCATTAAAATCAGCACAAAAATGAGTTACTGATAGAACTATTGATTAGTTTCATTTGTTTAAATCAACGCCATCTTGATCCCTTATGCAATTTTGCAGGTCACCTGCATATCCAGAGGTCCGTGCAGTCTTCTGTGCATGTGAAGTTCAGAGATGACTTTCGTCTGGACTGGGATGGGCGAGGCCGAGTGCTTTTAAAGGTATTCTCCGATTCTTCCGATTCTTATGGACAAAGACCTTTGGGGTGGACCATGCTTCTTTTGTGAAAACATAATCAAACAACTTTATTGAAATGTGTCCATGTTCCCAGCTGGGACCCCGATGGGCGGGGCAGACCTGCGGCCTCTGTGGTAACTTTAATGGTAACCAAGGTGACGACTTCTTGTCTGGATCTGGTCTGGTTGAGGCGGGTCCTCAGGCGTTTGGACAATCATGGAGGATCAATGGAGACTGTGAATCGACCCACAAACATGAAAGCGATCCGTGTGCCATCAACCCCAAAAGAGGTTCTACTCAACCACATAGAAAAGCACAAGACTTGTTGACAAGTCTTTACATACACTGTATATAAACATACATACGTACACGACCCCCCTCCCCCCCCCTTGCCCCTTTCAGTGCGTTTTGCAGAAGAGGCCTGTTCAGTGATGATGTCAGAGGTGTTCAGCGCATGCCACTATCTGGTGAACCCGGGTCCGTTCCAGCGGTTCTGCCGTTATGATGTGTGTGCGTGTGAGGACGGCGAGGAGTGCCTCTGCTCTGCTCTGTCTGCCTACGCAGCCGCCTGCACTGCCAGAGGAGTGATGCTCAGCTGGAGGTCTCCCTCGCTCTGTGGTAACAGTCTTTGATTAACCTAACGCTGATCATTCATATGCACATGTACTGCTAAATATACAAACATTTCATTACATTTGAACAAAGAAAACAGTGGAGTGAATGACAAAGTCAGTAATAATCTTGGTTAGCCATTACTGAAGATCAGGACCCCCTTTGAATCTGTACATTTGAATATTTCTGTCATCAAAGAACAAAGATCCAGAACAATCCCAGGAACTTTTTCTAACAGATTAAAAACAAAAAAAATGACGCAAACCCTGATTTTGTTTTGTCAGAGCTTGAGTGCACGGGAGGCCAGGCGTATGAGGCCTGTGGGAGTGTGTGCGACCGGACGTGCCGCGCTCTGTCTGGCGCTGAGCCGGGCTGTCTGAAGGAGAGAGTGTGTGAGGAGGGCTGTTATTGTCCCGCTGGAAAGTACCTGAGCGACTTCGGGGAGTGCGTGACTGCTGACCTCTGCACTTGCATGCACGATGGACAGCTTTACCAACCTAATGATGTTTACGCAGATCACAGCAGCATCTGGTCAGTGAGCATGCATGTGTGTATTCACACAGTAAGCTAATTGAGATTAACTTTCATAGATTCACTTTCATTTTGCTCCTTGTTTGCTTCTGTGTAGCCACTGTGAGAACGGCTCCATGCGCTGTAGCTCCCCAGAGAGTAACACTTTACTGTCTGACCTCTTCTACGATGATGACCCAGCACCATCCAGAGGTACAATTTCAATAATATACAGACGCTTTATTGAATGTGTTTCACTTGCCCATTTGTCTTTGACATGAAACATCACTGCACTCATGTGCAGTGAACAACTGTGTCAGTGTGTCTGTGGTCTGATCACCCTAAAGATCAGGTAGTTCTACAGCAACAACAGCTAGGAATTGATCACTAACTTCATGAAAGGCAGCCACATATTAATATTTTATTTTTGTGTGTGTCTTCAGACCGCCGGTCAGCACAGTGCCCACCTCCTCTCGTCCGTACAAACTGTGATGGTGTAGGAAAAGGGCTTGAGTGTGCCAGAACCTGCCAGAATCTGGATCTGCCCTGCGTCAGCCTCGCCTGTATCCCTGGCTGCCTCTGCCCCCCCGGCACAGTAGGTGGTTTGTTATCTTTGTGTTTGTGTTCGCTGGCAGACGAGGCACCGGACGTCTACAATAGAACACGCAGATTGACAAGTGGATTGGTTTCAGGTACGTCACCACAGAGACTGCATCGCACCGGAACAGTGTCCCTGTTACCATAACAACAGGCCATTTGCAGCAGGACAGACTATCTCTGTGGACTGCAACACCTGGTAAAATGACTGTTTCCATACATGATTGTGAAGGAAAATACCCGCAATGCGTTTGCTAAACAGTCTTTCTCGTTTACAGCGTGTGTGAGAACAGGATGTGGCGTTGCACAGAGAGAGCGTGCGATGGTGTGTGCCGCACTGTTGGGGAGGGGCATTACATCACTTTTGATGGCCTCAAATACTCGTTCCCTGGCCTCTGTCAATATGTCCTGGTCCAGGTAAGAGACAGAGAAATAAAAAAAGAGCTCCAGGGTGGATCACAGCACTGTGGTGTTTAACGGAAACAGGCAACATGCATTGATTTCATTTAATCTCTTCTAACTGTCAATAGGATATGTGTAACGGAGAAGAGAGTTCATTCAGAGTGCTGGTGGAGAATGAGGCCTGTGGAATCGTGGGACATCGCTGCGCAAAAGCTATCACAGTCTTCTACCAGGGAGGGTTGGTTGTAATGCAACATGGAGAGGTAACACACACATACACACGTGGTTGGTATTGTGTGTCATGCAAAACAAATGAGCATACTGTAACTTCATTACATTGCAGACAATATTGGCTTTCTTCCTAAAGCACAATTCAAGTGTGTTTTGTTATAATACAACCAAACGTAATCATCAGAGAGAAATGCAGCACTAAGATTTTGAAAGAAATTAAACGGTATGTTTAAATTAAAGTATCAATATGTACTGCACATGCACAGATCTTGAACAGCATTCTTGCAGGAGTGGAACTGTGTGCTCAAAAGATTAATTCATTACTATATGGAGATGATTATTAAGTAATTGATAGAGCTGAGTAAAGATCATTATTGGAAAGAAATTCTTGTAGATGAATATATGCCGGAACACACAAAAACCTTTTCCCACAGTCAGAAGAGATGTGTCTGATTCAGCATCTCATATTCTGTTTTACCCACTCAATCTTGCAACCAAACTGCTCAGGCTTGACCTGTGAGTGTATGCATCCATGCCTGGCATCTTTCTCTCTCATAGGTGACGATGAAGAGGCCGGTGCTACAGAACTCACAAGTGGAGATTGTAAAATCAGGTCGGTTTTACACAGTGCTGCTGGGAAAGCACATTTCCCTCACCTGGGATAAAGGAACTAGCCTCCTGGTTCACATCTCAGCCACATACAGGGTACTTATTCATTATAACACCCTTTTCGCCTGGTTGGACCTTATTTTTTATTACAATATCGTTTATGTCAAATATATTCATTGTGTTGCATACATTGTATTGTGTGTAGGGGAGGGTGTGCGGCCTGTGTGGTAACTTTGATGGGAACGTCAACAACGACTTGGTGAGCAGTAACAACCAGCTCGAGGTCGACTCCTCACACTTTGGCAACTCCTGGAAGGTTGTTCCCAGCTGTGCAGATGTAACACAGGTAAAGTCTGGTCTCAAATCTAAGGGCCCATGTGCTCAAATTACAAAGCAGCACATTTCCTCTCTAGCTAGCATAAATTATGCTTGGATGTTCAAAAGTGCTAGCTTGAATTTCTAGTAGGCGATAAGATGCTGATACTTGTACTTCCCTTGTTTGATGTGCGTTTGGTGTGTGTGTACTGTAGACACCTGCTCCCTGCAGCAACAACATTGTCAAGCTGGTAACAGTTGAGCAGTCGTGTCGCGTGATCAATGGTCCACTCTTTAGAGAATGCAACCGCGTGGTGAGTTCAATTACAGACACACCAGACGTCACTCTACGCCCCGTCCATTGGTCTTCCTCTTCACATTTTCGGGTGTGTCCCCAGGTGGATGCCGAGCCATATGTAGATATGTGTGTGGAGGCTGCATGCTCTTGTCCATCGGTGGGCGACTGTGCGTGTTTCTGTGATGTCATTGCGGCCTACGCACAGGCCTGTTCAGAGCAGGGTGTGTCCATCAGCTGGAGATCCAACGAACTTTGCCGTGAGTGTGAAGAATTTCTCCCGTTTCCAGTGCACATTAAGAATATCATTTTACAACTACAGCCCGAAGTAGGTCTGAAATAGGATTTGTTGTCAAAAAAAAGATCATGGCTGATAACCTGTTGACAATGTAATCTAGCTATAAGTGGCTAGAGGAAAAGTTGAATAATAATACAAATAATAATATCAAGGATAACAAAATGTCTCAAACACCTGCCATGCAGCTTTTCTGCGTTTTTTAAATTCTTAACAATTCACCACAATTGCTGAACTACCACTTTTGAGTACTGCTGTTGTTCGTCTAAATGACATCTTTTTTAATAAAGTATATATTATTCACCTTTTGCTTCTTTAGCCATAAGCTGTGAGGAACTGAACCCAAGGAGCCTGAGTGCAGGGGAGCAGTTATGCCAGTGGAGGTATAATGCTTGTGGCCCGGCCTGTCCCGTCACCTGCCAGCACCCAGATCCCCTCCAATGTTCGCTGGCATGTGTAGAAGGTTGCCATGCCTACTGCCCCCCAGGTGCCAAAATGACTCTCTGGAAGTATATGAGCATGCAAAATTCAAATGCATGTTGTACTTGTATGTAAGTATGGGCAATATACAGACAATGTGGGACTTCAGTCTTTCTATCTTTGTCTTAGGCCAGCTACTGGATGAGGTGGCCATGCGTTGTGTGGATCCTTCTCAATGTCAGGTGTGTATCCATGAGGGTCAGAGAATTTCCCACGGCAACAAGGTCATCGTGAACAACGATAATCCGGAGCACTGCAAGATATGGTAATACTGCATCAGAACACTCAGTAACACATCTGTTGATTCGTCATTAACGCTTTGCACATCATAAGATCCTTCATTTTTTATTTTTTTCACAAGTCACTGTGAAAACAACACACTGAGCTGTGAGGCGTGTGCCTCCTCTGCCATGTTCACCACTCCCACACCAACACCTGTCATCTACACAACCCTGCCCTTCACCACCTTGATGCCCGAGGGCATGTGTGACCGCGCTATGGATCTGGCATTCCTACTCGATGGTTCAGAAGCTCTGAGTGAAGATGAATTTCAAGCAGCCAAAGAGTTCATACTGGGAGTGGTTGAACGGTTCCGCATGGGCGCAGCTCACACTCGAGCCACGGTCCTGCTTTACCACTCTGGAGTGAAAACATATCATCTGCAGGTAAATTAACATAGGTCATTGCAAAGAGACCAATCAAGTCAACGTAGTTGTGCTTCACCTGGTTGATTCTTGATTGTTTTTCTCCTCGTTCTACATGCCTGTAGGTTCAGAAGAGGCTGTTTAGGAAGACTGTAAATGAGCTGCGTTACACAGGAGGCGATGCGGCCTTCTTGGATGAAGCTGTCAAGTACCTTGTTATCAACATCTATGACAAGAACAAGCGTGACCATGCTGGTCGCATTGCCATCATCTTGACTGCTAGGGCCAACCCTCGCCCCGTCCGCGCCATGGTCAATTTGCTCCGGAGGAAAGCCATCACCACCCTGACAGTAGCGCTCGGCCCCGGCGTAGACATGAAGCAGATTAATGACATCACCAAGTTCAACCCAGAAAACAGGGCCTATGTGCTCAGCAGCACAAGTGAGCTGCCTGAACGTCTGTTGGAGCTGACAGATTACCTCTGCACCTTGGGGATGGAGCCTGAGGGGGAAAAACCTCAAACAACCACCACAACCCGGGCTCCCCGTCTGGAGCCTAGTCCGACCCGACACCTTCCCAACACTCCTGCGTCCACCTCCCCCTCCGGCCCGTCTCCCATCAGCACATCGCCGTCCTCCATCTTTCCTACCACCGATGTGACAATCATCCTGGAAGGCTCCGATGCGGTTGGGGAGTCGAACTTCAACCAGTCGCTTCTCTTCCTGCGGGAAGTTGTCTCGCAGCTGACGGAGGAGAAGTCCATTCGAATCACTGTGATCCAGTACTCAGAAACTGTCACCGTGGAGATCCGCCGATGGGAGTTGAGGCAGCAGACGTCCGTGCTGCTGCAGCAGCGCCTGAGCGAGATACGTTGGAGGGGCGGAAGTCGGACCAACACGGGAGCAGCTGTCACGACCGCTGTTACAACTTTTCAAGAAACGGCTACGGTCCAGCCTTCACGCGGCCCAACCCCTCCTCAGCTTGTCTTCCTTGTGACAGAAAATCCACCTACTGACACCGTGAGACGCCCGCCATTTACCAGCACGCACACTCAAGTATACCCCATTGGTGTTGGACCAAAAATACGTGAGACTGACTTGAGGTTAAGCTCACCTCCATGGCCACTGATGGTTGACGAGTACAGCAGCCTATCGACCCTCGTACACCGAGTAGTGAACATCACACGCTCCACCATCAGGCCCCGCTTTCCTACGCTGTCACCCGTGGTCGTCCAAACTCCCTCCAGCCTGCCTCCCTCGGGTACACACAGATGAGACGACGCACTCGTTTGATAAGTCCAATTAGCATGTGCTAATTGTGAATATGTCTTTGCACAGTGCCGTGTCAGAAGCCTCTGGATGTGTTGTTCCTGTTGAAGGCAGGACGGCAGTTTGAGGACATGAAGACGTTTGTGAAAGGTTTCATAAATAAGGCGGACATAGGTAAGTGTGAGGGACATCTGGGATCTTTTTAATATATATAATAATCAGCCAAAGTGGTTTGGAAGCAATTCAGGAGGAAAAGGACACAGCAGACAATCACCCACAGGAGAAAACACCAGGGCAGGAAGTGAAGTTAATTCAGAGACACAGAAGAGGCAGGGAACTACAAAATAAAACAGGACGGACTCACACTGTGAAATTTTCTGGTAACCAGATCCTACATCCTACTTCCTTCCCTGCATGCATCATTAATTGTAATTTGTTTACGGGTGCAGGGTTGAATGGCACTAAGGTGAGTGTGGTTCAGTATGGAGACACCAACACAGCAGAGCTCACCTGGAAGGGTGAACAGAGCAAATCGCAACTCCTGAACCTGGTGGGGAGGATCCCAAGCAGAACCTCAGCTGCCCCTGCGCTGGGTAATGGATACATTGACTGGCATGTGCACACACATTAGAGCGGACACGCACAAGCTCACTGCTCTTGTCTTTGTGCAGGTTCCGCCCTGCGATTCGCTCTGCAGACGGCCATCTCGCCGGTAAGCGGTGGGAGAGTCGGCGTGGCCAAGGCTGTGGTGATGCTAGTGACCGACACATCCGCTGATGATGTGAAAGGAGCCGCAAACCAGGCACTGGCAGCAGGTGATTAAGTCACCACTGATAAAATGACCGCGTGACTCCTCAGATCAAAATTCAGTGGTTTGTTTCCATCATCACACATACTTTTTCATATAGCTGGTGTGGTTGCACTGATAACATGCTCTTCACTCAGGCGTATCAGTGTTCCCCATCGGGGTGGGGTCGGACTATGACAGGAGTGAGATTGCCATACTCGGTCACCATGGAAACCAAGACAACACTCTGCACTTGAACAGCATGGATCAATTACTGATGTTGGAGACTCTGGACAACAGTTACACAGAGAAAATCTGCAGAGGTACTTGCACGCTTACATAAGGGTTACTTTTTTTTCTGAAAATAATGATTGAATTATTTTGTATTGTTTTAATACATTACTATAATGTATATATGTATTTATACATTGAAGTATTTATTTAAAGTATTTAGTATTTACTTTTGTTCACAGCTGGTCCACCAGGACAGTGTGTTGATGATAATGGAAATGAGAGAACGGTGAGTAACGTCTACAGAGGTTCAATACAAATTAGAGCTGTGCAGCAACCTTTTACAGCATTACTTGAAATGAATTGTCTGTTTATTGTTTCAGCCTGGTGAGTCATGGCTGCTGGAGGACGGCTGCCACACTGTCCTGTGTCACCCCAGTGGGGCAGTGACAGTACAAAGCCACAAAGTCAGCTGTGACAAACTGGAGCCGCCGGCCTGCAAGAACAACATGCCACCTGTCAGAGTCCAGGAGACCTGTGACTGCCACTGGGAATGCCCTTGTATGTACATCTGAAGGATCAAATAGCTTCTGAAGTTCATAGCACCACATTTACTGTCTATATTAAGTGCAAACAATTTCCCACGTGGGCTGGAGGCTTCCATACTATTTATACTGACTGTGAACAGATTGCGTTGCTCCTGTACAATCACTCTCTCACTCGTGCCTCGTGTGTTGCAGGCATGTGTATGGGCAGCTCCACCAATCACGTGGTGAGGTTTGATGGCATGGCACTTAGGCTGGATGGGGAGGGTGTGTGCTCCTATACACTTCTCACTGTCAGCGGAGGCATCGGTGAAGGGTCGGAGGTGAAACTCCATAGTGGGCCGTGTCAGAACTCGGCGAATTACAACCAGGTCTGCATGAAAGCCATGGAGGTGATCCACGGGCCACATAAACTGCTGCTGAAGGATGACATGACGGTGAGCTGTGTGGTTTGCTGGCCAGCGTGCCTTCGTGCTGAAATTGACGATTACACGTGAGTGTAAGAAATGTTTTTTTGCTGGCCGTGTAATTGTTTGAGCAGGCAGTGATTGACAGGGAGGAACTCAGTCTGCCATGGCGGTTTGCTGGCCTCGAGCTGGTGCGATACGGAGGAGTGATGCTGCAGCTCAAGTCCGACCACGGCTACGTCCTGACTTTCACTCCCCGCAGCAACGAGTTTACCATCACACGGCACAGCTCCTCCACCGCAGGGGACACCGCTGGACTCTGCGGTAACAAAAACTAACAAATTTATTCAAGTGTAAAAAGAGTCAGCCCTGATTTTATGCATTTATTTTCTTGCTGCCCAACTTTAAATCCTTCCTCAAACCACAGTTCTCTCTCTCTCTTTGTATCGTTTTCCAGGGGCCTGTGGGGAGGAGAAGGGCAGCGTCTTGTTGTTACGTAACGGAAGCTCAACCTCCGACCAGCCGGGCTTTGTCTCAGATTGGACTGTTGCTGTAGACGATGGTGTGTGTCTCCCAAAGCGCAGGGCCGTGTGTGTGCTTGGAGCGGCGATGGGATGTAAGGCCCTACGTTCGCAGGTATTTGAGCCGTGCCATGATCACATTCCTGTGCAGGTGTTCCTCGCTAAGTGTGAGGAGCAGGCATGTGAGGAGTCAGATGTGTGCGAGCTGGTTTCTGCCTACGCACGCCTCTGCAGACAGAGAGGTGTGTGTGTGGACTGGAGGAGCACTGACCTTTGCCGTGAGTTCGTTTTTGAATTGTATTTTTCAATCCGATGAACAATGAGGGGGAAGCTGAGGTTTAGCCTGATCTGTGTGTTGCAGCGTTACGATGCCCGGGCTCCATGGTGTATGATGCATGTCGGACAGGGTGTGTGGAGGACTGTGGTAGCATACAGACGTTGCCAGGCGACTGGTTGGTTGCCAGCGGCAACGAGTCAGCCTGTATGGACACACCTACTGAGGGCTGTTTCTGTGCTAGAGGCACAGTTTTGCATCACGGACAGTGTGTATCGGCCGAAGCATGCAGCCAGTGTGTCGACCAACATGGACACGTGTATCAGGTGAGACGCGTGAAGGCTCCAATATGACTAACTTCTCATTTACAGAAACACATTCCGATAGGACTGGATCGGGCCACCATCAAGTTGTTCACCAGTACAGTGGGTCGATGTGGTGCAGGGGTAGAGAGGGTGCGCTGGGAACTGTAAGGTTGGTGGTTCAAGCCCCAGCTGCTCCATGTCCCATGCCGAAGTGTCCCTGAGCAAGACACCTAACCCCTAATTGCTTCCTTGGCAAAAACGTATTACAAGCCATTGGTTGAAAATGAAATTTAACTTGCATTGGATAAAAGCGTCAGCTGTAATGTAATGTAAAGTGGGCTGTGAGCGCCCTCTAGTGTTTCTTTTTTTTAAGCCAATAATAATTTTGAACACGGCTTGATGTTTTCGTACAGTACATGCAGAGTTGGGTACCGGATGAGAACCCATGTTTGATTTGCATGTGTTTGGACCAACAAAACATCAACTGCACTGCCCGGCCCTGCAATGATGTCAGAGGCAAGATTACTGCTACTTATGCTCGCACAATATAAAATACATATATAAGCGTTGTCTGTTTGGATATGCCATTTTAATAATAATTAATCCGATTTATGTGTGTGCAGCTCCAGTATGTGGACCCTGTGAGATCCTGAGAGAGAAGAGGGGTTCTCAGTGCTGCCCAGAGTACGAGTGCGGTATGTAAAAAAAACATTTGTTTTTATTATTATTCAGTATTAGAGAAGACTAATCAAGTGAGAGCAGGAAGAACAGACTTTTCTGTGTTCAATAGGATATAACTGGAAACAAGGTCGCACCCAGAAGATATATTGGTGCTGAACACCAGAATATATTGCTTACACATCAACAATGCAACAAAATAAACTATGTCATATATTGACAGCAGAAAATAATGATAATTCCACCATCAGCTAATTCAAACTAGAAATCTTCAATTATTCATTGAAATCGTAATTGCTCTATACTGCAGGCTGCAGCTGTATGTCAAATATGTATCATGCATAAATGCAACAGACTGTCTCCCTGTGACTTTCCAGCGTGTGATCTGGTGACTTGTGACCTGCCTGAAGTACCCCGCTGTGAAGACGGGCAAGCTGCGGTTCTGAAAAACCCTGGGGAATGTCAACCTATACACGAGTGCGGTATGCCATTAACGGATTCTCTGTGATGTTCGAGCACACAGACCTGAAACAGAGCACCCATCTATGTGATCTTCCATGTGTTTCTCTTCATCTCCACCCCCCTCCTCGCTCGCAGTCTGCAAAAAAGGAGAGTGTGCTCTTGAACCTCCCGCCGCTTGTGCCGCACATCGTCAACTGTCGGTGAAAAAAACAAAGTGCTGCGACGTGTTTGAATGTGTATGCAACTGCCAGAACTCTACCCACACCTGCCCTGTGGGGTTCATCGCATCCTCCTCTACCAACGACTGCGGCTGCACAGACACCACCTGCCTGCCAGACAAGGTGTGTGGCGAGTTGTGTTTTGGCTTAAATGCCTCTGTTTTCATTTATGTGTTTTTCCTGATGTCCTGTTTCGTCATTTGTGCGTCTGTCCAGGTGTGTGTGGTTGGTGGCGTGGCTCACCCAGTGGGGAGTGAATGGGAGGAGGTGTGTCAGAAGTGCAGATGCACCCAGTTGCAGGACAAAGATACGTCACTGCACATTGCTCAGTGCACGCTACCCGTGTGTGATCGTAACTGCCCTGAGGTGAGACACGCGCACACCCCAAACACAGCCCATTTGCATTAAGCTCCTATAACCGTTAATCCGTATATATATTTATTCCATATTTCAGGGCTCGACATACACTCCATTAAAAGGAGAGTGCTGTGGGAAGTGCATAACGACCAGCTGTGTGGAGTCAAAGGGAGAGATGCGAGGGGACACGCTGTTTGGGCAAACCCTCAGACGCGTACGTGCCTGAATAATATGGGAAATCTATACAGCTTCATGTGATGTTTAAATAACAACAACAATCCTCTCTGCGTAATACATTTTTTGCGGTGTTTATTTTTTTTTTTAGTAGAACACTTTCACCTCTCTCTTATTCGATTTGAATCTAATCTCTGTTTCTTTTAATAGGTGGGAGAGATGTGGCCGTCTCCTCGTGACAAATGTGTTTTACATCAGTGTATGAAAGTGAAAGACGAACTGTTCATCTCTGCAACAAACGTCAGCTGCTCTGTTATGGAAACGCCTTCCTGCCCGTTGGGAACAGAGTTACGCTGCAACACCCAGGATTGCTGCCCCAGCTGCCACTGCGGTAAACACAGACTCTCCAGTGGCGTTGCGAGTTAGAAGAGTGTTCTTCAACCGGCATGCGCTGTATCATGAACTCACTATCTACTGAGGTGCAGTCACAGCGTCCGTCCAGCAGATGACGCTCTCCCATAAGTGGCACCTCAGAGCCACTTATCCTGACCTCACCTCACAATGCCTGGGGTCTAATGCTCTGTTCAACAAATAGCATTTTAATTATTGATGCTTTCTTTTCTCTCCGCAGCACCCATGGATGTCTGTGTCCTCAACCACACTGTGATAGGAGTAAGTCGTGCAGATAAAGAAACCTTTTCTTTTGTAGGAGAACATTTTGAACGGTTCCTTCTATGCTCCATGTGTGTTTGTGCAGGCAGGCGACAGGCTGATGGTGGATTTGTGCACGCACTGCGAGTGTATCGTTGAAAAGGGTGCCGTGAAGAAATACACTCTGTCCTGTAGGAGAATCAAATGTCCCACGTGCCCTATGGTAAACATCTTCCCTCTCATCATCCTATCATCATCATGACCAACCAACAAATATAAATGTTTGTCATGTTCATCAGCCACAGACTTTTTAAACAACTGTCCACATTGCCTCTCGACTCATCATTAAATTGTGGCCGTATCTCTTTCCATGATTCACTCCACCTACAGAGGTCAACCATGATACATTTATTTGAATGAAATGCTGGGGGACATTTGTCTTTGTAACTACATGAATGTTCAGAACGTTCAATACGTTTTCAGGGATACACTCTGCAGAAGGAGGATGATGCTTGCTGTGGCCGATGTGTTCCCACGACCTGCTTCATGCAAAGGCCAGACGGGAAAATGATCACAGTGCAGGTAGGTTCTTAGGCGAAAACACAACCGCCTTGCTCATGAACCAGCTGCCACATTCAGAGCGCAGACATTGACATTTTTGATATTTATACATTTTTCTACAGACTACAGATTTGGGGATTGCACCATATTGTACCGTGCTATAGTATTTCAAACAACTGCTACCATGTTCTGTTCCACATCGTACTATGCTTGTTCCACGGATCAATAAAGTTTGTGTACATCAGCCATATATTGTTTTGATTTCATTTATTTACCTCAGTACATTTCAAAAAGATGCAAGCAGCACGCACGAACGCTGATCTACGCGTGGGCCTCTCTCTCTCTCTCCAGGTGAACACCACCAGCGAAGAGGGTTGCAGCTTGTACACGTGTGGTGTAAACGGTAAAGGGGATCTTGTCCTTCAAACGAGAGTGACCTCCTGCCCTCCTTTTGACCGTCAAACTTGCCTGGACCAAGGGGTACAACTGCTTAAAAAAATCTCCATCTGCCATTATTCCCACTCCTGCATATGTAGATGTATGTTATTACATTTTGCCTCTCCTGTTGGTTTCCAGGGGAAAATTAGCCGGATCGGAACAACTTGCTGTGAGATGTGTAAGTACATCCGGTGCCTTTGCAATACTGGGAAACAGCCGGATATTGAGACTTCAGTAAGCAGTGCGTGTGTGTGTGTGTGTGTGTGTGTGTGTGTGTGTGTGTGTGTGTGTGTGTGCAGGTGCCGAGCCAGAGTGTCGGAGGACAGTAGGAACACTTAACTACATCAAAGTGGATGATTGCCAATCAGAGCACCAGATAGAACTGCACTATTGTGAGGTAACAGACTACACACACACACACACACACACACACACACACACACCAAAACCGTGAAGGATTAATCCCCCCCGCCCCCCCATCCGCAAGGATTAAGTTCAACAAAATCAAACTATAACACTGTCCCTCTCCATCCCACCCTCTGTGTCTCCCACCCTCTGCTGTCTATCCAACCATCTGTCCACCTGTCCATCAGGGCAAATGTCGCAGTAAGTCCATGTTCTCCCTGGAGACGGGTGCTGTGGAGCAGGAGTGCGTGTGCTGTGCTGCCGTGCAGACGGAGCCTCTCAGCGTTCCCGTCCTGTGTGCCAACGGCACTCGAGGCCAGCAGACTGTTCTGTCTGTCACGGCATGCGACTGCATGTCCAAGGACTGCACTTAGAGAAAGCCGGAGAGAGAGAGAGAGAGAGATTATAAATTCATACGCTGTATGTGTATCCAAGTAAAACTTACCCATTTATGAAACAAATACATAAATAACAATAAACAGATGACTGACAGTTGTGACGACTAACTTTGTGTCTGGCTTTCCATTTAACATTATTATTGCTATTTAAATGTATGGATTTATATAGAATTATGTTTTTTAGTTTGTTTTATTAGTTTAAAGTTGATAACACTCCATCACAAAAAAGTAAAGGAATTGATAAGTGCATTTCTGCTTTTCAGCTAATTATTGAATGCTTTGGGAACGTGCACAAATATATTATTAATCAATACAATAGTTCAGGTTTTTACTCCACGGTGAAGATAGATAATAAGCTTATTTTTTTAAAATACGGGTTGTTTTGGGTGTTGCACAAGGTGAGGGAGGTTCAGTTTCAGGTCCGGTCACTAAGCTTTCTTTCCTCTTTGGCTTACGCGCACTCGCGCGCGTGCACGCAGCCACGCGCTCGCAAAGGCGCGCACAGAGACATTTGAACACCCATCACCTGCCCGTCGGCATACGGGTCTGCAGCTTCCTTCCCTGCCGCGTGAAGCGGTTAGCGGAATTAGCCGTGATGTGCTCGTGCGCGGTAAGCCACGGGGCCCCGGGAGCGCGCGCGGATTGTTCCACCATCTCAGCGCCGCGCCAGGCTGCGCATTTCTGGCTATAGTAATCTCCACGGCGAAGCCCTGATCCTCCACGAGCACCGGTGAGTTGCTTTTCCCAGTTTTATCTCGTGTAAAGTGGGATACTTAAAAAAGTGCGCGGTTCACGTTCATCCCTCATACAACTTTGGAGATCGTTCGTTGTTGCGGTCATTTGATCGATAGGTGGACACTTGTTGTGCTTCCATCTCCCCGTGGGGCTGAGGGTGTTCTTATTTATCTGACCACCTGCTAGCAGGCAGCTGTTAATCAAACGCATATTTGTAAAAACGAACAGCTCCTGACAGCGGCTCTAATTGATTAATTAGTCAAACAAGAAACGTTTTACTTCATGTACTACGTGTGTGATGATTAGATTCACAGACAGGTGCGCGGTGAAAGTTTACCGCAAGTATATTTGATTGGGAGTTTTATTTTTTCTAGCTCAGGCACTAGAAAAGCAAGCAGCTATTTGAAATGATAAAAGCGTAATCTTCAGTAGCGAGACCGCAGGCCAATTGGACAGCTCTCCAGGTGGCCTCTGCCCTGTTACCCGAGTTGGTAGCAGAGGATGCAGCTGACTCTCGTGCTGTTCACAGAGCTTTAAGGCCTTTAAGCCCCTCGCGGGGACACACACTTGGAGGCATTTGCTCGATCCTCGTGTGCCTTCTCTCTAACCATAACAAGATATGTTGGCCTTAAAATGAAAAGTGGGTAAGCAATGCAAATGAAATGCAAATAAACCAATAAAATAAAACACAGTATGGTTTATGGTATGCATGACGTCATAGTGAACCATTTGCAAAGGAGACATTGGGGCAGAATTAAATCACAAACCATCTTAGCTGAGTCTTTCCAATGTGGCCTCAGACAAAAAGGAGAATCTTTAAAATATCCAGTTAAGATGCTTTCATATGAGATCCAAGAACGGTCTAAAAAGACTGGAATACATTTTTTTTTTTGGGCCGTAGCATTTTTAGGAGAGTGACATATTAGTTTGTTACCATTTTTTTTGTATTGATTAGCATGAGCAATATAAAGTCTTGGAAGCTGCAAGAATATAACTTTTATATTAGAACATGACTAAGAACAATATGAAGCATAGTTTTACATTTGTTTCAGGAATGTGATCTAAATATTACGGTGTCCTGATTGGTCCAAGATTTACACAACATCTCATTGACCGGCTGAAGAGGCATGTTCTCTATTTCCTCTTCGCTCTGTGTTTACTAACACACGGTAAACTGGGATTATTTTGTGTGAATGTGTGTGCATTTGTAAGGGGATTGAAGGATAAAGCAATGCGTATGTTGTTGTGTGGTCCACGGTTCTTGTATGTGCATGATGGCTTCCCTCCGGCGACTATGACGTGTTGTTTTGAAATTGTTGTGGGACCACTGTTGCATGCGATCCCCTTTTTGTTTCACTGAAGCAACAGTAACAATGTCGATGTCGGGCGTATGTGCGCCTTGGGACAACTAAGCTGATCAAAAAAGTTGTTTCTCATTTGTAAGTAAGCAAAATGTACCTGGACTTAAGAAAGAGAGGCAGCCTTTTAATGATTGAAGCGTGGTCATAAAACGACACAATCAGGAATCAGTTTCAACATTTACTACCAAAATATGTTAGACATATAGGAATTTGACATGGTCAATGCTCTTGCATCAAATAAATGCTGAGTAAGCACCGAGAAACATGTTCACGTTTAGTTGTAACATTAAAAATGACACAGTTTGGGCTCATAGTTGGTTCTAATTGGTAAAACTAACATACTGTAACAGATAGAAACACTATTCTTATCTTTTTTTTATTTTTATATTTCCAATCTTTAAGGAGAGTTGATAAACCACAGCTGATGGAACTTCATCTCCAAAGGATGAGCCCAGGCAATAAATTACCCCAACGGATTGTAAACTATGACGCGTGGATTGAACTGTGAGCTTAATCTGAGCCTACATCTTCAATTGGGTGAAAAAGAGCTTAACTTTGGCTCACTCTGTCAAAAACAACTGTACTACTGTATGTGCTATTTCAAAGGGAAAGTAAACTCAAATCAACGTAAAGCTGTTTAGCTGGCTCTACGTATCTGGCAATAAATAACTTCATCCAGGTTTCAGCGTGAAAGAAAATGTGTTCATTCGTGACAAAATGTAATCCTATTGGCTAAAAGTGGGGTTCAAGAGTGCATCTAGAAAACATATTTATGACAATATAAATCACAGGAAAAGCTTTGAAACTAAATTGACGAATTGAAAACCTTTTCCAAAGTGGGACTTAGTGGCTTCCATATTGACCGCACATTCAGGACTTTCAAACTAGTGCTCTGTACATAACAATTTGACAAATTCCCTCTATTTATAATCGGTAGATATACAAATCAGTGGCGATTATCACATTGAGACAAACATTTCGCCGATTATTGTGCTCAAATAGTATAATGCCCCTGGCAGTAGGAATGTTTATGTTCGGAATACTGAAATACATGTACGTGTATATATATTTTTTTCTTCTAGCGACAGTGATGAAACGGAAAAGAGCGTATGCCTGTCACCACAGATATGAGTGAGTCGTTGTCTTGTCACTCAGTGAAGCTTGTGTCATTGGCCCGGTCGCTGTCCGAGCTCGGCGTGGATGCTGCCAACGGAATCCCAGTCACCCCCCCTGAAAATGAGGAGCCTCCTCTTCCGGTACGGACTCCTCACATCCCTGGAGCTTTAACATCCTGCTGTAATATGTCGTTTTGCCTGAGCAGACACACACACACACACACACACACACACACACACACACACACAGCGTTGTCTATTTGTCAAGCTCTTACATTGCACCACTCCCTAAATCTTGTTGTTGTAACCCAAATTGCTTACGTCTTTAACAACATTTTGTGTGCTTTTGCACGTCTTGCGTAGGAGTCCGGCATTGATCTAGGCCCCGGGCTTTTTTTTGCCGATGGCAAGAGAAAAGTGGACTACGTCCTTTGCTACAAATTGAAAAAAAGGCACGCATCCAGACCCCGGCTGTCCATCACATCCAACGGGAGCATACCGTTACCTGTATTGGGCCGATGGGAAACGGAGGCAGAGTCTGGGGATGCAGGTGCACCTGCTGGAGATTTGGAGGAGTCAAAGCTGTCTGAGGAGGAGAAGGCTGTGATGAGGGAGGAGTTTGAAGCGGGTTTACTGGATGCTGGAGTCCAGCTACAGCGCGACAAAGAGGTGTGTTTCTGCTTTCACCCTGATTACTTTTCCATCTGCTGTACACTATGGACCGTTATGGGCCAGATTGTAGGGCCTTATTAGAGAGTGATTCACGAGTGGGAGGTGTGTGTGCTTACACATGATTGCACATTAGGGGAGATTGGTAGGTTTCAGTTGAAATTAATGGGTAGAAGGGCGGCACTCACTTGTACACTGTGTACTGTAGCAGTATGTCTGTCCTTGTGTGGTAAAATAGGAATAGGACAATATTTGAATATTAAGTGTTGCTGATATGCATATGCTCAGTTGTGCCGTGTTTACTAAAACCTATTTTTGTTATTATTTATATATTTTTCTCTCTAATTTTAACATTATCAGTGGTTTCCTAGATTTCGATTTTCATGGCACCCCAATATTATACATTACCCTTTTACTGGGGTTTCTTTAACCTGTGAAGTTCTGTCTGCCTTGCATTACGGTCGTTACAGCAATTTCAATGTCTTATCATTGAATTGTCCAGAAGAAGCTGTGAACATGATACAAATTAATAACTGGCTACATTGGGGTGTCTTTCAAGTACCTATCCTAACATTTTCTCCTCTCATCTTTTATTCTCTGGAGATTTGGCAGCTGTTGGGCTTGAAATAATGGGATTCCATACTAACCAGCCTCATTAAAACACAAAGTAACAGACTTACAGGTTTAGGAAGGCTCATTTAGCTGCCTCAAGCCAAGTGGCAGCAGCAATTACAAGCAAAGGGAGTGAGGAAGACCGATACACAGTTGGTCTGTCACATAGGCCTGTAATCTAAATCTAATTTGAGATGTACACAGTGGTTGATGTTGAAATACCATGATAATCTGTGGGTCGATGTGTGTTTTTATATGCAGAGGGCAAATGGCCTGGGGTTTATTCGGCTGCATATCCCATGGCCGATACTCAGCCGAGAAGCCGAGCTTCAGAAGATCAAAGTTCCTGTGAAAAAGGTCAGCGGACGTTTTCACACCCTGGTCTTTAATATTCTATACGATACAATATAGTACTTTAATTTGGGTGCACATCACACTCCCATTTAGATAGTAATGAGTTGTGTGTCAGACAGCTGGGACATGTATTGTAACTGATGGCTGGGTAATTAATCCATGTATGTTTTTATTTGCGCAGAAGTGTGAACTGCGAAAGCGAATGGGCGTTGCTGGACTGTGGGATTCCATAATGAGAAAAGTCAACATACCGTTTCAACCA